TGCTAGGAAGGGGCAGATTTATTTCCCCCCAGCTCCCACCTCCCTCCCCATCTCCATCCATTGCCTTGCCAGTGACCAAGCTTGGAAATTCATTCCAGGATAGATTTGACTTTGTGCTGTTCTGACGCGTGAGTGCACACAGCTACTCTCTGAGACACGGGGCAACCACAGAAGAAGCATGCCACGTAGACTAGAATGGGATGAAATGAAGGGCTCAATTGAGCCCATTCCTGCTTCAGCCCAGAAAACCCTACCTTACCTATAGCGTGGACCTCCATCCAGGCTGTATTCGGTTGCTGTCTCCAGAAAGTGCACACATTGCCTTGTTTCTACCACATGACCCTGCCTCTCCCCCCACCGCTTCTCTTCCAGAAGAAATATCCCAAACCCATTCCCAGCCTGGGGAGACCCTTCTTCTGGAGAGTGTTCAGTGGTTGGGCGAGTCATTCTGTCTGCAGTAAGAATCAGACCTTATCTGAGAAGTGCCAGTGATGCCCCATCACTCGAATGACCTCTTATTTTGGCTTCTCTATAATTAATTGGAGTTGAGTCATCATTGGGCGACTCTGACAGTATAGTATTGCCTGCCCAGCATGTGGCATGGGCAACAGGTACCAGCTCCAGACAAAGGGGAGAGAGGACAAGTTTGGTAAGTGGCTGTAACATCGCAAGTTGTACAACAGCTGACCGAGATCAACATGGTTGTAAATGTGGCCACGAAAGGCTTGAGGTGAGGTGGCAGTGTCTATACAGGAACTACTGGGCAAATCCTGTATGGTTCTTTGAGGATAAGTGGCACAGAGGCACCTGATCTGACCTAATGGTGAGGCATTGAATGGCACACAAGTGATTGAGCGACACACAAAGTATTTCACATGTGGCATTCCTCGGGCCTCTATCCTCGCTCCTCTCCTTTTCCTCATCTAGATACCCCCCCCAACATCATCCACAGACATGGGGTCCACTTCCACAACCCACTCTACCATTCAGTCTCTGCCCTCGATTCCAGGACCACAACTGTTCTGATAGACCACCTGTCACCTCACCCAACTCCACTGACTCCCTGTCCTCTCAGTGATCGATTTTATTCCTCGTTCATACCTTCAAATGCAGTTTGACTGCACCTTTGGCCCCTGTTCCCTTCCCAGTTCCCGCACCCACTCTGTATTTTTGCCATGTTCTCTAAAGATGAAAGGTGCTCTCTCTCTCAGTGCACCAGGAAATGAGACTGACAGACCTGCCCATGTGGTTTGGAAACGTGTATATGTAGAAACCACAACTGACAAAAAAATACTGAAGAGCAATCACTGAGGGGTGTTGGCGAAGAGAGGGAGCGCTGTACTGCTAATACACTTAAACTGATTTTACTCTTTCCTGGCTTCACTCCTGGCATTTCAGGCAGAGGAGAAGCCCGTGAGGACATCCCGAAAGGTAAGCGAGAGAATCCTGCACCCGGAAAGGGGGTAAGTACCCAATCAATTTATTGCTTCTCTTTCTGTTATTGCTTGTATTAGCATCTTAGAACAAAACTTCTGTGGCTTTTACCTGCAGCTCAGGGGTAAATGGGGTAAACCATACCCCAATAAAGGGATAAAATTGAAGAGACCTCATCCGTGATGAGGTCCACTACTCATTCTGTGCAGAGTTTTTAAACTCCCTGTTGAATTGAACCCAATTCCTTTTGTCGAAATGGTCAGCTTCTTTTTGTTTGTGTCCAACAGGAAGGGCCTCTTCCTAACAGGTGACTCCCAGTGTCGTTCAGGAGATCATTCAGTTGACTCATCTCATCCACTCCCAGGATGAGCCAGCGAAGCCAGAGAGGCCAAGTTGGAATCATCTGGGATGAGGACCTGATGATGTCTTTCTGAAGCAATGTGATGGCATCTCCAAACTCTCTGGTTCACTCCTCACTTGGTTCTGCAATGTAAAGTGGGCAGGGTGGCAGTTTGAAATGTAACGGGTTTAGCTGGCAGTTTGTTCTCCAAACTATTTTATCTGTCCCTTGCCGGTTTGATTTTCACCATGTCCACTCTCCATCTTAAGTGAAGCCTCTGCCTTTGCTCATTTGGCACTTACACTTTAATGATTGTAGTGTGTTCGAGCTGCATAGCTTGAATTCCTGGCATACTGCACTTCATTGACTTCAATTAACATGAATGGAGCAATCTGCAGTGTCCTAGCACTGACCTTCCTTGACAGTACAAGTACTATTCTCCTGAGTTAACTTTCTTTTATAGTTCTCAGATATGATCCATTATTAATTCGGGTGGGGTGGAATCACATTGGATGAATATATAGAGAGAGAGACAATTAAAAAATACTCTTTAGTCTTCACTGGGCAACTCTTGCGGAATAAATCTTTATACCAACTAGGAGATCAATTACCCACAAAGACCAACTCTTATTTGGCCATGTATCGATTAGGTGCTCCTTGTCTACCAATAACTCTTAACAAGCGAGAGAACAGCCAAGGAAAAGTGTGTAGTTCAGGGACAAAATGAGGAAGAGAAGGTGTCTGACAAAATACTTTACGTTTCTTTGCAAATTGTGTGACATAATCACGATTAAAAATGAAATGTGCATCCGATCTCCCAAAATAACCAATGTAGGCCGCAAACATTTGCAAGAAAACAGTACACCTTTCTAAGTCCTTAAGTGGAGTCCTGTAGCTCAGTGGTTAGAGCACTCGCTTTGCAAGTGAGAGACCTGAGTTCAATTCCAGGCAGAGGGCCAAACCTTGGGCAAGTTTCCTTACTCCACACAGAGCCTAATAATAATCCCTCCAAAAAACCAAAAACAATAATTAAATTGGTCATTTTCAATCTACGACTGTTTGTGGGACATTGCTGTGCGCAATTGGCTGCCGCGTTCGCCCACAAATATACAGTCAATTCACTTTACAGTGTGTTCTGTGAAGCGCTTTGGGACGTCCTCCCGACGTGAAAAGCGCTATATCAAATGCAAGGATTATTATTATTATTATTATTATTAATCCAGAAAAGTTAACTGGGGAGTTAAATGGTTCTGCCTGAGGAAAGTGCTTCAACATACTTGAAAAATGTCCGTTTGAAGCTTCAATAAATATTCCTCGCATTTGATTTAGCACTTTATTATGTTGAAAAGTCTCAAAGTGCTTCAGACTTTTTTCTGTGGTGACTGGAGCAGTCAATTTGATCACTGCGATGTCTGCTCACAAACAGCCGTGAAATGAATAAATAAAGTTATTTATCTGGGGGATTGTTGGCCGGGACCTGAGGAGAGACATTAAAGATCGCATGACACTGTTTGAAAATGGGAGTTTCTCCTGGAGTTCTGGCCAACAATCCTCCAGATTGGTTAGTTATTCAACGTAACTTCTATTTGAACCTTGTTAGGGGTGGATAATAGATAGCATTTCCCAGTGACAGTGACCACCACACCTGGCTAGTTACCGGCGACGCACCTTTTGAGATGCTAACCGATTGCGAAAGGTGCAGATTCTTCTCCCATTTACCTCAATTGCCTTGGTTTTTTTTTATTATTATTGTTATAATAACCTTGGGAGGTAACTGCCTGCCATAAGACACGTCAAAGATCCCAACAGAACGTATTCCGAAAGACCTAATGACTGAAATATCTGGATAATTGAGGTCTGAGCCACGTTAAGCTTGTCCCTCGGGAAGAGTCCAACCCAACAGCAGAAGGAGATTTTGGACTCAAAGAGCGAGAGAGAGAGAGAGAGAGAGAGGTCCAAGCTGGGGAGGGAGGGGTGGGGTGGGGGGGTTGAATTTATGCCCAGCAGCTGATGGGGTGACATAAGTGATGACAATTGGCCCCAGATGTTGGCTCTGCTGCAGGAACCTGGGTGGAGTCCTGTAACTCAGCGGTCAGGACCACTCGAGCCGCAAGCCTTGTGGACCTGAGTTGGATTCCCGGGAGTCCGGCTCCCCGCACCCCCTTTTAACCGCGCGGCGCAAAGTAGGAACCCGGTCCCGTCAGTTGTTAAGTCGATTGGCGACGGATCGCTTTTCCCGGCCGGGCCGGGGGGGGCTGGTGGTGCATTAATTCCTTCAGAGAAAAAAAGATAATAATAATAATAAATAATAATAATAATAAATTCGGTCGCTTCGGCCCACGACTGTTTGCGGGGACGCTGCCGCCCGCGATGGGAACGGGATGGGATGCCGCGTTTGGGCCCCCTCCCCGCCCCGCCCCGCCACCACCAAACCCCCGTCTTCCCCCCCTCCCCGCCCCCATGCCCGGAAAAAAAAACCAACACACAGTCACTACGCTTCACACCGTCTATCCCCGCGAAGCGCTTCGAGACGTCTGGAATAAGGAAAGCGAGGAATAAAATTGCAAAGGATTATTATGATGATTATTATTGTTGTTATTAAATAGCTGTGTGTGTGGAGGGGGGGGGGGGAGAGATGTGTGGGGGGGGGAGGGGGAGGGGTTTGCTGTCACTCAGGGGGAGGGGGAGGGGTTTGCTGTCACTCAGGGGGAGGGGGAGGGGTTTGCTGTCGCTCAGGGGGAGGGGTTCTTGTCACTCAGGGGGAGGGGGTGGGGTTTGCTGTCGCTCAGGGGGAGGGGTTTCTTGTCACTCAGGGGGAGGGGAGGGGTTTGCTGTCGCTCAGGGGGAGGGGTTTGCTGTCACTCAGGAGGAGGGGAGGGGTTTGCTGTCACTCAGGGGGAGGGGGTGGGTTTGCTGTCACTCAGGGCGGGGTTTGCTGTCACTCAGGAGGAGGGGGAGGGGTTTGCTGTCACTCAGGGGGAGGGGGAGGGGTTTGCTGTCGCTCAGGGGGAGGGGTTGCTGTCACTCAGGAGGAGGGGGAGGGGTTTGCTGTCACTCAGGGGGAGGGGGAGGGGTTGCTGTCGCTCAGGGGAGGGGTTTGCTGTCACTCAGGAGGAGGGGGAGGGGTTTGCTGTCACTCAGGGGGAGGGGGAGGGGTTTGCTGTCGCTCAGGGGGAGGGGTTTGCTGTCACTCAGGAGGAGGGGGAGGGGTTTGCTGTCACTCAGGGGGAGGGGGCGGGGCCGGGCCGCCCGTGACGTGTGGAGCCTGAAGGAGAGCCGCAGTGACGGGCGCGGGAGGAGGAGGAGAGAGGGCTTTTACCTCAGTTTATCGCCGTTTCCCGTCGACGGTTTCTCCTCATACAACATGTAAGTTCCCCCCACACTCCCCCTCTCCCCCTCTCTCTCCCTCTCTCTCTCGTTACCTCAGCGTTTTGTTTATTTGTTTATTTATTTTGCTCGACTTTCCTCTCTCTCTCTCTCCCGGGAATATTTTTTTCTCCCCCCCCCCCCCCCCCCCCGGTCGGGCCCGGTCCGCCCTTTGCCGCCCCGCGGCGCTCGAGTCGCGGTTTCCCCGCCGTCTCCGCAGGAAAGGCCGCAGGCTCGGCTCGGCCGGACTAGGCCTCGCCTGGTTGGGGGGAATGGTGGCGGGTTGGAGCGGTGTTTGGGGTGTGGTTGTGTGTGTGTGAGGGGCTGTGTGTGGGGAGGGGGGAATGTGTGAGGGGGTGTGTGAGGGGCGAGTGTGGGTGAGTATGTGGGTGGGTGTGGGGGAGTGTGTGTGTGGGTGTGTGTGAGGGTGGGGGGGGGTGTGTGTGGTGTGTGTGTAGGAGGGGTGTGTGTGTGAGGGGAGGAATGTGCGTGGGGGGGTGGGTGTGGGTGGAGTGTGTGTGGGGGGAGTGTGTGTGGGGGAGTGAGTGTGTGGGTGCGGGGGGGTGTGTGTGTGGGGGGAGTGAGTGGGTGTGGGGGGGGTGTGGGGGGGGCAGGAAAGAAACGATTAGCTTCCGTTTCTCCTCTTAAAAGAAACGCTTCAACCTTCACTTTGCATAACTTTTTTTTCACAATTTTTTCTGTTTGGGGGCTTGTCAGGCACTGAGAGAGATAGACGGAGAGAGAGAGAGATAGACGGGGAGAGAGAGAGAGAGAGACGGGGAGAGAGACAGACAGACAGATGGGGAGGGAGAGACAGACAGACAGATGGGGAGGGAGAGACAGACAGACAGATGGGGAGGGAGAGACAGACAGACAGATGGGGAGAGAGACAGACAGACAGACAGACGGGGAGCGAGAGACAGACAGACGGGGAGCGAGAGACAGACAGACAGACGGGGAGCGAGAGACAGACAGACAGAGAGCGAGAGACAGACAGACAGACAGAGAGCGAGAGACAGACAGACAGACAGAGAGCGAGAGACAGACAGACAGACAGAGAGCGAGAGACAGACAGACAGAGAGCGAGAGACAGACAGACAGAGAGCGAGAGACAGACAGACAGACGGGGAGCGAGAGACAGACAGACAGACGGGGAGCGAGAGACAGATAGACAGACAGACGGGGAGCGAGAGACAGATAGACAGACAGACGGGGAGCGAGAGACAGATAGACAGACAGACGGGGAGCGAGAGACAGATAGACAGACAGACGGGGAGCGAGAGACAGATAGACAGACAGACGGGGAGCGAGAGACAGATAGACAGACAGACGGGGAGCGAGAGACAGATAGACAGACAGACGGGGAGCGAGAGACAGACAGACAGATGGGGAGCGACAGACGGGGAGCGACAGACAGACAGACAGACAGACGGGGAGCGAGAGACAGACAGAGAGAGACAGACAGACATACAGAGAAAGAGAGAGGAGTGGGGGGGGTGTAACCGATCATTGGAAGCTTCACTGTTTGTCTTATTATTTTGGGGGGAAAAAAGTCTTTTTAAGAAGACTATCTATAATTATTATTGTTGTTGCTGTTGTTGTTTTTGTGAAACGTGTGAACAGAAAGTACTTTTCGGTGCAAGGTTAATTTTTTATTTTACTTTTTACTTGTTTTATATTCTGGGTCTAGAAGACGTGAAAAGCGCTCTATTGAATGCAAGGATTATTATTATTATTATTACTTTACTTTCTTCTTCCCCTCCCCTTTCTTTTGAATTTTCTCTGTATTTTTCACTTTGGAGCTGAGGAAATTCTCTTTTTTTGGGGTGGGGGGGGGATTTAGTTGCTTTAGATGTAGCAAACTTTATGAAAAACAACTGTTAAAAGTTTCTAATAATAATAATAATAATCCTTGCATTTGATACGGCGCCTTATCACGTCACCGAGACATCTCGAAGGGCTTCGCAGAATATTCTTCAAAGTGAATTGACTGTGTATGTTGTGGGCGAAACTTTCGTGTGTATTTCGCGGGCAAAAGTTTTAGGGGAACTTTGATGTTTAAGAGTTTGGAGTGTTTTTTTGTGTTGGGTGGGGGGGGTGCGGGTTATTGTTTTTATTGTAACTGATTGTTTCGGGGGCTTTACTGGTTTTTTTTTAAGATGATAGTTTTCTCATCTGTTACGTTTTCGGTCTTGTGAAGTCCATGGTACGTTCTGTTGTCTTAAAATACCCGTGTACGTGACTGGGTTCGAGTTTACTTGCCGGGGAAATTGTGTCAACAGGTTCAACTGGGGATGAATGGAATGGTTGTGTTAGTTGCTCAGTTATTTGGATTGTTGTCTCAGCTCTTGCTTTTCAGTCAGTCAGATCGCTGCTGACTTCAGTCTGTTGCTAAAACTCCTGCCCCTGGGTCAGAAGTCCCCACGTTGAGATTTTGAGCTCCCAGTCTATGCTGATGCTCCGTCACATTACCGAGGAGGGGGGTTAGCCTTGCATCGTAGGAGCTGCCATCCTTCGGATGAGACGTTAAACCGAGGTCAAGCCTGCCTATTCGGGTGGGCATTAAAGATCCCGTGACACTATAGAAATCTCTGCATGTCAGCCTGTGATGTAATTGTACTCGTGGTGGTCTGCCAGTATCGACAGCTACCGGGTAGGTCTCGCTGTTTACCTTGTAAAACTGTTGACTGACTTGCCAAAATAATAAGTCACTTAGAAGCTAATTGCAGGACCAGGTGCTGAGTAAACACTGGTGTGTGTGTGTGTGAACCATGGAATCCTGCTTTAAACTTGTCACAGACAGACTTGTCGCAGACAGTCTTGCAAATATAATTTTCAAATGCATATTTGCTGTGGGTAATTGGATGCTTAAGGCTCTACAGCCGTACACATTCATTTTATCACATCGCAAGTCGTAGTGCTTCTCAACTAATTGCTGTCTCTCTGGTGATTTATCACTAGAACAGTGCACCCTATAGCACCCTCTACCATTGAAGAGCGTATTGTAGTGAATTGCCATGAAATGCAGTGAATGTGAATTTTGTAGGCAAACACAACAGCCAACTATCACACAGCAATGCCGCTACGAAACAGCAGTGAAGTGAATGATCCAGTACCTGGGGAATTGTCGAGAGAGAGAGAGAGAGAGTGACTCTGTGGTCTTTCTAATTAATCAAATCAGCCGTGCGTTTCCTCTCTCAGGACTTCATGTAAGAATCAAATAATTTCTGCCCCATTGCAGGAAGTGTGAGCTCGGTGACTGAAGGAAGCAGGAAAGTTCTAGGTGGGGCTTGTTTTTTTGGAGTAATGGAAAACTGAAATCCGGCGATCTGCCTTGGTCACATGATGTTGTAAGCCATTTAGCCTACAAACAAATACAGTCACTACACTTTACAAGTGAATCCTGTGAGACGCTTGTAGATATCTCAACGTGACGAGGCGCTGTACTGAATACACAAATTATTTATTGCTATGCAAGTTGTCGAAGTGTTTATGTATCATCTTTCATTGCAAGGGAGTAAACATTGCAAGGGAATAAATCGGTTCATTCCTTTAACCCAGGTCCAGCCCAGGCCCCTCAAGCACACCCTCAGGGTCTGCCTCCTATGGCAGCGGAGGCAACAACAGGAAGCTGCAGCAGACGCAGGCCCAAGTGGACGAGGTACGTTGGGCGTGGGTGGGCAGGGGAGCAAGTGGAGGGAGCATTGATGAGTGTGGGCGATTTAGGGAGAACTCTGTCCATGTATGTTTGCGCACAGTGATTCGATGTGTGTGCACTCCTGCCCTTCCCCATCACAGCTTATAAAAACGGCTTCCGTCTGAAATTGAAGGTTGCGCACAAGAGTGGGAAACTCTTGATTGGGACTTGGATCTTCTGGAAGATGGGCTTCCCAATTTTTAAGAGTGAATTTTAGATTTTTTTTCCCCAAACTCTTCCAATTTTTTGTAAAATTTTACATTTTTAGGGACTAACCATCTGGCGGCTGAGACTCTGGGATTTCAGGCCTCTCTGATTGTGATGGTTGGGCGTTTACTGTAATGTTTGCACCTTGCAAACCTTGCGGCTTTATGACTCCTTATCAATTCAATCTTGTGTTGTGACGTGTAGCTATATGTATTGTCAAATTTGGTGTGCTTTCAGTTCGCTCATGCCTTAGTTGACTAATCAAGTTGCCATGGCTTGAGTGTCATGCTTTGCCCTCACATGTTAGCGTGGCATGTTGGTGCCCTGCGTTCATGTGACTTGCGTGACGTGGCATGTGTTGGCATTTCTCACAGTCGCGTGTCTTATGGGTTATCTCCAGGTGGTGGACATTATGCGCGTGAATGTGAACCGAGTCCTTGAGCGAGATCAGAAGCTGACGGAGCTGGACGATCGCGCTGACGCACTCCAGGCTGGAGCCTCCCAGTTCGAGACGAGTGCCGCGAAACTAAAGCGGAAATATTGGTGGAAGAACTGCAAGGTAAGATCCAAGCTGGTCGCCTCCAGCCACCACACCCCCAAACTCCCCTCCCCCCTCTCCCCAGCATCAATCCAGTGGAGTTGGCTTCATTCACTGTACATTTTACACTTTACAGTAAATCCTGTGAAGCTCTTTCAGATGTCCTCCTGACATGAAATCCACTGTATCAGATGCTATTTATTGAGCCTGGTGCTTTCTGTAGTTGTTGCCTTGGTGTAGTACATCAGGTTGTGAATCAGCAGTCGGCTCGTGAATGGGTGTATGTGCGCGTGCGATGTAACAGAACAAAAATTGATGTTTGTAACTTATTTCTTTATATTGGATTGGGTGGGTTAGAGGATTGCCCGCTGGCAGATCTAATTTCCTGCATGATTCGTCCTTTGAGTTGTTGCTTATTGTTTTCCAGATGTGGGCAATATTGATAGCTGTCATCCTGATCATCATAATCATCATAATTGGTAAGTATTGCCTCCGCTGGCTTTGTCTGTCTCTCTGGCTGCCCAGGCAATGCTGTGTCGGAATCAAAGCATCACTTTGATTAAAGCAGGAGCTCCTCCCAGTCAGCGTGATTACTCTAAGCTTGACCATTGGCAGGATGTGGGGTGACCGTTGTAGACGCAGTTTATAAGGCTTTTGCTTGGAGTCCATAAAATGGGGTGCTGGTTGACGCTTTTGCATTCACTGCGCGGGAAGTGACGGTGCTGGGAATCCGATGACCTGGAACTTAGCCATTTAGTGCATGGGAAGCCAGCCAGATCCACGGGGCAGTCCCCCTTTAAAAGGCGGGGAGTGGGGGGGGAAGGTAATGTTGTGATCGTGTCACAGGAGGAGACCACTCAAGTGCAGGCCTCTCCCCTGAACCTCACTCCTGAGCCCCTTTCCCTTGTCCCTTTTGCATGTGTATATTTTTTGCTGCACTGTGTCCACTGTTTGTGTGGCTTAACAACTGTTTTTATCTTCCAGTTTGGCAGACCTCATAAATCTGACGAGTATGCCCCCCCGCCCCACCCCATCCTACTCCTTCTCCTGATACGCCTAATGGGAATCGAGAGAATCTTTTCCTAGCTTCCACTTGAGCTGTCTCCTCCACTGTGTTCTAAGAAGTTACCGTTTTCCTTTCAACGACTATATATCCGCTTCAATCTTATTTTGAGTGGGGGAGGGTGAAGAAAAGAGGAATGAGCGAGAGGTTTAAATATTATCGCAAATTGTATCTGGATGGACCATCAGCCCTGACTCGTGGGTCTTCACTCCAAAGTCTTTGTCCTCATCACCACTCACTGAGCTGTTTGATGGAGGAAGCAAGTCTCTTCTCGTCCCGTCCCCGTCCCCCCCTCTTTCCCCTCGCCCCCAACACAATGACTGCAACCCGGCTCCACTGTCTAGCAATCGGCGACATGGCTGCGTTTTGAGGTGGTGAAGATTTCCAGCAAACATGTTTGGATTCTTGGCTTCTCGGCTCTCCCGCCCCTCGCCTCCACCCAAGGATGCTGTTGTTATACTGTGAGCTCCTCTTGGCTATCTGATTTATTGCTGTAGCTGCTGTCCCTCTTTCTGGCCTGTTCAGGCGTGACTTTTTTTCCTCCTCTCTCTCTATGTGCACTCCCACGCACATTTTTATTTCTTCCTTCTCTTCCCCCCCCACACCACCACCCAATCTAAAGAAACTTTATTTTATAAAAGCAAAAGCACAAACCGAAAATCTTGATTTATAAACAAAATGGAGTTGCTTTAAACCCACTTGGTCGCTGACCAGTCGGGGGTTTGAAATGTGTGCGGCACATTAATGCCGGCTTGTTCCAAATTGCCAGTCCTCGCCCTGGAACAAAGAGCTTGAGTGTGATCATGAGTACAAGTTTGTACATTGCATTTAATGAGGGGGAGGGGGTGCCTGAGGGTGGTTGGTTGAGGTGCTGAGTTCCGCTTTGCCTCCTGTCCCCTTGACTGGACACTGAGTCCCCAACCAGTGCCGAGTGGTGTCCCTCTTCACGACGTTCTTTCAAATTAAAGTTTGGGTTTGGACTGTTGGGAGGATGGTGGGATTGATGCCTCTTTATAATTGACAGGCTTAGACCCAGAGGCCAATGTCGATGTGCTTAAACTTTATAGACCTGTTGCCAGATTCCAGCGATCTACTTGCCTGGTGGTATCGTTGAGGTAATAACTGCAATGTGTTAATATGGTGCAGTTCTTGCTTGCAGCTGCCAATGGTGATTTGTGAGCAGGGAGGGAGATTCCTCCTGTCTCTCTCCCCCCGCTCCCCCCCCCCCCCCCCAAAGCCCCTCTCTTCCATCCTCACTCCCTTTCCACCACACAGTGGCTGGGCTCGGCGAGGGTTTGGGACGAGTTAGCCAATCGCCCTCTTGCGTTATTTCAGGAAGTCGAAATTGCCAAAGCTCTGTTCTGTTATTTGTCAAAACCGCTTCACACTCCACAAACCACTCAACAACCCGTGAGATGAAGTGCCTTATGTCTGTGGAGCGCGCAGCATTTAGCAAGCATTGTGTCGTCACTCTCGCCATGCGTTTGCTGTGAACCCATCCACACCTGCTGTTCCCCACTAAGTGCCTGGTCCTTAGATACTGGAGAAACAACACAAGTTCTTTGTGTCTGCTTAACGGAGAGCGCAGCCTGCAGGTTAACACTAAGCATTGCCTCTATTTTGTAACTGGTCCAGCCAAGATGCTTTGTGATCCTGTAAGCTGACTGCATGCAGCTTGTGCTGTTTTCGTGCCTTTTACACTTGGGCCTATCTATACACAACTGTCTGAATCCCATTCCTCAACCTCCAGCCCTGCTTAACATCATTGCAAACCTTCAGCTGGGGCTCTTCTGAGCATACAGCTTTGCAATGAGGATGAGAGGGTATTCTTTTTAGCAAATGGGACTTTTCTCCTTTCTCTCTCTCTCTCTCTCTCTCTCATGTGCCTACCCAATTGGATCCACTGTGCCAGTCCACCTCTTCCTGATGCAGCCAAATAGCTCCTTGATCCCAGCGCCCAGACCATTGTGTGGCACAGGTATCAGTGTAAGACCACATTTACTTGGCCTTGGGCACATGTGGTTCTGGCTGAGGTGTACAATTCTGTCACTGTTTAAAGTAATTTGAACTTTTCTTTAAGAAGCGTAAATTCCTTGTAACTTGACAATGTGCTTGATTAGCTGCTGAGATCGCTTGTGACCTTTTGTAACTTTGATATTCGATCTTTGATATTTTTGCCAAAAATATGAAGACAAAAAGGTCTTTTAAAAAATGAACGTGCATGTTAATGTCTCTGCACGGAATTGAGCGCTGTGTGCGCGTCAGGGGGAGGGGGGTTCTGGACAAGAACACAGCTCGCTCAAGGTCACACAAACGATTGCTTTTTTTTGGAGAATTTGCAATCTACATATGCTGATTTAATCAGAATATTTTTAATTGAAACTGCTAGAAAGATAACAGCACGTGCCTCTAGCACTGGGAGGAGGAAACTTTGTGGGTGGGGTGGGAGAATCTTCTCTTGGTTGAGAATTAAAGGACTTCCTCTATTGATGTACAGGCTTTAAGCGATGCACGGTTTTCACAATGAATTAATTGCACTGGTGTATTTTTTGGTAAGTTGGATATCTGCCACAATGAACAAACAAAATTTCCTTCCTTGCTCTGTTTTCAATGGCCACAAGACTCCCATCACAGCATAAAGTTCTCGAGTAACAATACTGGTTCAATGGAGTGCTTTTGGGTTGGAAAAGGTAACTTGAGGTAGCTGTGTGCGGGAGGGAGAGGGTGGAGAGATGTCCGTATCTCGTGTATCAATGTTGCCTGCGATACACATTTTAGACTTTAAATATTTGGGATGGGGGGGGCGGGGGGGTTACAGGTGTAGACAGCTTGGTTGTAATTGCACAGTCACCCAGCTAAAATACACAACCCTCCAACTCTTGCAGAGCAGATATATTTTATGGAAAACGAAACCAGCAAAACAAATAGTCTATTTTTCTCACCGGGCCCTCTCCCTGCACTTAAAATGTTGCAGGAAGGCCCAGCATGTTCCACTGGGAGCTTTTGGCAAGGTGTGTGTGTGTGTAGAGAGAAGAGTGGGAATGAACTATGGAGCCATTTCAGGAGTTCGATGCACAATACAATAGCCATTTTCAGCCCATGTGCCTTAAGGTGGTTGCACATCTACGGAGAGTCTCATGACAGTTTTTTTTAATTAACAAAGAAAATCTTAGCTCGTATTAATGTTGTAATATCTGAGCAGTGAGCTTCTTGAGCCACCTCAGTGCGAACATGGGGCTGAGCACGGGAGGCTGCCTTCTCTCCTTCCGCCCTTGGGGATGCCACTTGAAGTGATTTTTGGTTGGTGTGGAGTTTTATAGAAAACCAGGGTTGGCCAAAATGTGTCTTGCTGTCTTGGTGCCTCTTCAACGTGTGACTTATGACTTGGGTTTTGACTTACTGTGCCAAACCTGAAACCAGTGTCTTAAGATTTAAACCCTGTGTTTTTGCCCACCTTGTGTTGCATATAGTCCTGCAGTTTCCTTATTGTCTGCATTTTCTCGTAGCAAAGTGGAAATGGGATAAAGTTCTAAATAAATACAAATGTGCAAACGACTCGCATCATTTCCAGCTTTTATTACAAAAAAAAATCTGTTCCCTACCTCACCACCAACCACATACTTACACACCAATCGGGAACAGAAGGAGGCCATTCAGCCCATCAAGCCCCTTTCATCATTTGATTACAGTTTGACAACTTTTAATCTCAACGCTCCTATCCACTTCCCATATCCCTTGATGCATCTGGTATCCAAGTTAGCAATCTGCTTTAAATAGCTTGATTATTCCACCAATACAGCTGTCTAAGGCATTCCACATCTTTACAGCTCACAGTGTGATGAAATGCTTTCACGTATGTTCAGACTGATGACTGGAGGGGATGGGTAAAGCATTGGTGTTGTTGGGGTTGCCATTTGTTCCAGGTGAGATGTTAAAGCAAGGTCTGATCTACGTGTTCTGGTGGGTGTTAAAGATCACGGCGAGGTTTCTCCCAGTGTCCTTGCCCCACAATCCTTATTTGCCTAAACGCTCAACTGCTACATATGACGGACGTTCCCTCTGAAGCTTTGCGACGTTACAAGCGCAAAAGCCAACGTAATTCATTGTAGTCCAAAAAAAGTATATTCTGTGAAGCGCTTTGGGACATCTAGAAGAAGTGAAAAGCGCTATATCAAATGCAAGGATTATTATTATTATTATAGTCTTCAGAGCTCAGTGTTGGGACCAGATTGGGTACCTTTCCCATTTGAGCCACTAGAGTGAGCCTATGGCAAGGATATCCGGCTGCTATGCTGGTTCCTGGCCACCAGGTCGCTCCCCTGTTGCTAAAGTACATGGTTCCTAAATGGGCTGGAGTCAGAGGACATGATGGTGTCCAGTCTGTGCTTGGTGTGGCCACTGAGTCCTTCAAGCCAACCTGACCATCTCCGCAGGTGTCCCTGGAAACTCTCCCGTACATAACCCAGGTCTACACCGTATCAAGCAGAGACCAGAGTGGTTTCATCCCTCTTTGGGGAATGTGTCTGATCACTGTGAGGGTCAGTCTCTTGCAGAAGTGTTGATTTTTTAAAAAAAATTAATTTATGGGAGCGTTCCAAGGGATTTCTGAACTGTTTCTGGGACTAAAGCTCTGTGTTGCAGTTGAGAAAACATTCAGCCACAGTTTCCTCTCGTATCTTTTGGAAACAATTTTTTTTCCCTCCAGCAGAAACCGCCCGGCTCCACGAGGGGAAATTCAGAGATGTGTCAAAAGTGGAAGGTGGCTGGAGCCGGGGCAGATTGTTGCGTGGAGTTTCACTGGCGAGAAACTTAAATTGCGAGCTGGGCAATGGGTTCGTGTGCGAGTTATCACGGGCGCCATCCACCTCCCCACATTGTGATCCCGTAATCCTAGGCCCTCAGAGTAGAGAGCAAAGGAACTCCCCATTTGCAAACGAGCTCGGATATATTTCCTTTTCAGATATTTATCTTATTTCCTCTGGAAAATTAATCCGGATCCTGTCCCAACCAGGACTTTGGGTGTGGCTCATCTCCTCACAGTCCCTGTACAGAACAAAGTCTCTCCCCCACCCCCTTCACTATATTCCCTCTGTTCAGAGAATTAATGTTTGAGAATTCCCAGTGATTTCTCTTTTCTCCCGACTCTCTGGAGGAGTTTGGGGTTCTCCCTGTTCCCTCTCTTTCTGTGTGTGTGTGTGTCTCTGCCCATGTCCATCCTCTCCAAGAGCTTGGGGTCTCTCCCCCACCACATCACCCCTTCCTCACTGTCTCTCCCCCCCCTCTCTCTGTCCGGCAGATGTTTGGGGATCAGTCTCCTGGACAATCGGCAGTGGCTCATGTTTAAGAATGAAGCCGGAGCCGCTTTTGAGGAGCGGAGAGAGACAATGTGAAGCCTCGGTCCCCAGAGAGGCCATAAAGCCAACTCTGCCCCTTCAGCCGCTCCTTTCAACTCCTGCCCCCAACTCAATGTGATGTTAATGCGCCTCATTGGCCTCTCTCTCAGCTATTCATCCCACACCGACCTTTTCTTCCCCAAATCAAACTCGAGTGACTTAAACAATCTCCAGAGAAGTCTATAGAGGAGGCTGTTTGGTTTGCTTCCTTTCAAAGGGCAGTCGCGTGCCAAACGCCTTGACTCCAACTCCCAATCCCTTCCCATCTCTCTCTCTCCCATCAGGGCTTTCCCAGAGCCTTTCCCACTCCTGCCTCACCCCCCCTGGGGCTTGTGCCTCACACCCCCGGGGCTTGAGCCTCACCCCCCCGGGGCTTGTGCCTCACCCCCCGGGGCTTGTGCCTCACCCCCCCCGGGGCTTGTGCCTCACCCCCCCTGGGGCTTGTGCCTCACCCCCCCGGGGTTTGTGTGTGTGTGTGTGTGTCCGGGGTTGGCCAACCTCTCATTCTGTGCCCACCTGATGGGAGGCTGTAGGGGCTCACCCCCACCCCCTCACCCCCAACCCATTCTCACTGGGCAGTGAGATGCCAACTCTGCCACAAGCTCTTCCCTGTATTTACACACACGAAGGACCAGAGAGGGAGGAATAACGAGAGAAAGAAAGAGAAATTAGAGACTGACAGAGAGAGAGAGAGAGAGAGAGAAGGGGGAGAACGAGAAAGGGGCAGAAAGATAAAGACAGGTAAAGAGAGAAATTAAGAAAGAGATAGAAATTGAGAGAGAGAGTGAAAGATGTTTCTGTGTGTACAGAGTGAGGAGCTGCCCTGGGTGATGAATGGAAGAGAAATGTGCAGAAACAGGAGGCGTGAAGAGAGGGGGTGGGTGGGGGGTTGGTGGGGAAGAGACTCATATTGTGGGAAACACAGAACATCGCTAATCACCGTAACAGACAGATTTCAGGCCGTTTTTTTCTTTCCCTCCCAAAAGCCATCTGGTCCTTTCTTCACCCCTTCACCCTCTCTCTGTGGCTCTGAATTCACAAAACCTGAGGTTCCAGTGGGGGGAGGAGAAGGGGGTTGACTTTGCCAGGAAAATCTGGGGCACATTTTGGGGGCGTTTCTTAACCTATTCCTTGTGGTAATTAAGGATCCTTCCCTTCCACATGACATTGATTTCCAATTTCCTCCCTTTTTATATGATAAACATTTTTCACGAATTCTGAACGTGTTACACAGTTTCCAAATTTCCATATAAAGTCCCAATATTTCAGACCATATATAATATATTAATACTTAAATCCCATGCTCTCCAACCAAGAACTGTCACCGCACAGCCATCCTATATAATAATAATACATGCATTTGATATAGCGCCTTATCACGTCTCCGAGACGTCTCAAAGCGCTTCACACAATATACTGCGATGTGTAGTGACTGTATAATTTGTGGGCGAAATGCAACAGCCAATTGCACACAAGCAGTGTCCCACAAACAGTCGTGGACTGAGTGCCCAAATTATCATTATTATCATTATTATTATTATTTCTCTTGTCTGATCAATAAACACAATGTGTTCAATGTATTTATTGGAAGGGGGAAGTGGGGGGGTGGGTGGGAGATGGAGATGGTTGTCAGAGAGAGCGAGAGAGAGAAATTAAGCAATAAAGATACAGAGAGGGAGAGAAAGATAGAGAGAAAAATTAAGGAAGGAAGAGAAAGCATCCAATACAGTCTCTGAGCTGTTGTGAAGAGCAACTGTTGCTGGTGTTGGATTCACGTCGGGACAGGAGGGAGGGGGTGGGGGGGAGATGTGTCACTAGTCCCTGGGGGAGTGTGTGTGGGTGTGTGTGTGTGTGTGTGGTGGGGTGGAGGTTGGAGACTGTTGTCAGCCCCTGAGCAGAAAATTGTGATTGTGTCAAACATGGGGAGCATTAGCACGGTGCTGGCTTTGAGAGGCAGAGCGTGAAAGGGATTTGGGATTGAGCTGAGAGCCAGAAATAAGCAGTGAATAAGCGCCCCCCACCCACCCGCGGCATTGGGGCGCCTCTCACACACTAATCAGCAATTTTTCGCTCAATTTTCCGCTGCTTGACACATTACCCCACAAGACGGTCCCCTCCTCAGTTGCCACGTTTCCCTGGTTCGCGTTATTCTCTCTCCCTCCCGAGCCACAAAGGGGCAGCAAATTAGGGGGAGTTTCATAAAGGTTTCCTGGCAAACCTGGTGAAACCTCCTTATCTGTTGTACAATGTTTTTTCATCTATTAGCAATGTTTTCTTAATGAGAGACACGCATCTCTATTTATGAGACACTGTGAAAATCGACGTTCTTTCTTTCTTTCTTTCTCCGTCTTTCACTTTCATTCCCACTCTCACACTCTCTTAAAACCACCCCTACTTTCTCTCTCTCTCTCACACACACATTCTCCTATCTCTTTCCAGATAATAACTACATGTTGAGGTGCTCACCTCTTTGAATCGAATAATAATACAGTACTATTAATCCTTGCATTTGGTAAAGCGCCTTATCACGTCAGAAGGCATCTTCACAGGATTTATTATAAAGTGCAGTGACTGTGTATGTGTAGGCAAACACGGCAGGCAGTTTGTGCACAGCAACGTCCCACAAACAACCATGGAGCGAGTGACCAGTTTTATTTGGGGGGATTGTTGGCCAGGAGAGAAACTCCCTTCTGGTTTGAAATAGTGTTGTGGAATCCTCAATGTCCACCTGAACAGGCAGATGGGACCTCGGTTTAACGTCTCTTCCAAAGTACGCAGTTTGTCACAGAGTTGGAAACCTGTCCCATTCGTTATCAGAGAATGGTTATTTCACAGACCGTTACAGCCAGTGCCAGTGCTCAAACTCCACACGAGCCCCCACCCCTCTCACAGGTACCCCTCAGTCTCTCAGAGACTGTGGAGTGAAGGGGTGGGTGGGGGCAAGAAGCGGATTGGGATGGGGTGTATTTCAGAGCTCTGTGTGTGTCCTGTAAACACGGTTTGTACTTTATATCACATGGGTGGGTGATGTCAGGGGGCATTGGCCTGTTTAGAAGTGGAAGCCGGAACCCAGTTTACTGCTGATGGGGTTTAACATCTCTCACAATGTTAATGATTCACAGAGAGCCACTGAAAAGGCCAATTACCCAGTGGGTGTCTGCAGGGCACTCGGGCAGAGCACTGTTGTCTCTCTCTCCTCTCCTCGCCTGTGAACGCAGTTTATTGTTTCCCTGTGTTTAAAATGTAAAAAAGCTGTGGTGCGCGAATGAATGACAGAGTCTTTCCTCTGATGGTGGGATTGGGGGGGGGAGAGTTGGGAAGAGCGAGCAATTGGGGGAGGGGGAATTTCTCTCCAGAGATGATATCATGTTGTCTCAGAGACGTGTGTTTGGACTCGGTCTTTTCAGCGTTCCATTCTCATTGAGCCCAAAGGGGATGTCGATGTCTACAGTGTGGTGGAGTGTGAGTGGTTTAGAGTGGGAGTGAGAGGCGAGTGAGAAGGAGAGGCTCGTGAGAGTGGGAGGTGAGGGAGAGGGAGAGGTAAGTTAAATTGAGAGTGGGAGGTAACCGCAGTACGCATTGGAGATCTTCGCTGATGAAAGGGTTTGGATAAGACAAAGGAAGTTAATAGGACAATTTCAGCTCTGAAGCAGAAAGTCAATTCGACGTTTTCAATGACTATTAATGAACTCTTTATTGACATTAAAAGTGGAAAGTCTGGGGTCAAATCCCCTCAAGCCCCGGCATCTCCCAACTTCTCCGACCTCTTTACTCCCCACTCGAACACCCACCACCTCTGCTCGTCCCTCGTCCCCTATGCTCCACCATCGGCAGCCGTGCTTTCAGGCACTACCCCCCCCCCCCCCCCCCCACCGCCCGAAACTCTAGAGCCAAGGACAGTTCTTGAAACGGCAGAGCCTCTGTGAAATGGTGCAATTCCAACACCACGAGGCGGACACTGAGTTGTGTTTTAAACCCACAGACTTTATTCCGTTTCAATGTACAAAATAAAACGTAAACTCCACCGGCAGATGTTCATTCATTTTTCTTTACAAAACATTTACATGAAAGGCTCGTTTAAATACAAATAACAACAACAACAAGATTGCATTTAGAAGACGTCCCAAGGCGCAGGACAGTTGGGTCGGGACCTGAGCAGGGGGGAAATGGTCAGGGTGAGGGGAAGGGAGGGAGCGAGCGAGGAGGGGGTGGAGAGTCGAGAGGGGAGCTGAAGGCACGGTCGAAGAGAAAGGTATTGAGACCGGCCTTGAAGGAGGAAAAAGAGGGAGAGAGAGAGGGAAAAGAAACCTCATCGCAAAACGAAAAGGAATGAATTTGCGGCGTAACATTGGGACGTCCTCCCGACGTGAAAGGCAACTGTACAAATGCAATTTGCTGTTTGTCTGCGTAATTGGAACGTGTGGCAGTAATTAGAACAAGAAGCACACTCGGCTGCTGCATTCCGTCCACAAAATATACGGCCAATTCGCTTTGCAGTATATTCTGTGAAGCGCTTTGAGACGTCTCAAAGATGTGGTAAAGGCGCTGTATCAAATGCGAGGATTATTATTATTATTGTTACTATTTCGAAGCGGCCGAAATTCCGCCCCGTACTTTCTTACAAAAAAGAAAGAGGGCATTTTGTGTTCTAACTCGACAGCGGAGACGGTGAATGATTGCGGTCACCAAGGCCGCCAGACAGACCGGGAATCTGAGCAAAGTGTTGCGTGTTTTCTCTGGTCAGTGGCCGGCGCTGGGCAGAGCAGAGCCTGTGCTGGTTCGGAGGCTGGCGCTGCGGCTGTGGTCCTGTGATGAGGATGGTCGGCTTCTCCACTTCCCCGTTCTTCGCCGCTTTCAACCGAGGGAGCAGCCGGCGACCCAGACTGCCCTCGGTTGCCCCCCGGGGTCGCGGTTAAGGCTGACCCCTGGTTTGGACTCTCTCCGGCCACCGCCGGTCTGATGCGGACGTAATGGGGCCCTGGCACCGAGGTGGCCTCCGGAAGGCAGACGCTCTCCGCGGTGCTGAACCCCGAGGAGCCGGAAAACACCGGGAAGCTGTTCACCAAATGGTTGAGCATCCCCAGGCGCACGTGCTGATCGGTGTTGTCGCTGCGCAGCAGGTACTGGCTGACTCCATTCAAGCAACTCCTGAAGCCGCTCTGGAACTCAGCCACTCCCTGTTGGCTGAGCACCACAACACCTGAAAACAAGCCACAGGTCAGTCAGCGACCGAGCAATCCACCACAACAACAGGAGAGTTCAACACCACACGGTACCAGTTAATCATAATAACAAAAACCCTCACATTTGATACAGCGCCTTATCATGCGACGTCTCAAAGCGCTTCATAGGATATACTGTCAGGTGGATTGACTGTCATTTGTGGGCGAAACACGGCAGCCAATTGCGCACAGCAGAGTCCTACAAACAACCACTGAGTGAATGACCAATCTTTTATTTGGGGGATTGTTGGCCAGCCCGCCGACGGAGAGAAACTCCCTTCTCTCTTTGAATAGTGGCGTGGGATCTTTAACGTCCACCCGAACAGGCAGAAGGAACCTCAGTTTAACGTCTCATCCGACAATGCCATTCCCCACCCCAGCGCTGCATTGGAACGTTATCTTCCACTATTGTATGTGATTCCCGCCTTGGTGTTTGAACCCAGAACCACTAAGCCAAGCAATTTACATTTATATTGTGCCTTTTCACCTCAGGACTACAACTCAAGACTCCCCATTACACAGCTGCGCACGAATTGGCTGCACTCGCCCATAGAAAAAAAACACACAGTCACTACGCTTCACAGCAAATGCTGGGGAGGGGCTCTGACAGCCTGAAAAGCAAATGCAAAATTTTTTTTTAATTACCATTAGATTCTAATGATGGATTGAATGGCATCCTCCTGTGCTGTAAACTTTCAAAAAGCGCACTATAAGAACGTAAGAACTGCTGGACAAAGAAAAACACAAGTCCCATCCAGTTTTAATTTAATTTTTAATTTAATCCTTGCATGTGATATAGCGCTTTTCACATCTTCTCGACGCCCAGAACGTTTCACCTTCCACCAGCCGCAAGCACATGTCCTGTCCCAAACTTTCTACTGTATCTCGAGGCGTTATTTCCTAACGGAAATCTTAATCTAACGTGTTCTATTAAAGATCTGTCCTTTGGAAAGAGAATTAAACATCTGAAGAATTAGTGCAGACAAAATGTGCCACCACAGCCAATGCAGTCTCACCTTGACCACTGCTTTGCAAACTGCGCAGGTGTTTGACAGTCAGTTCCAGGATATCGGCCTTCTCAAGCTTACGCTTCCTGATCTGTTTGGACAGAGAAATAAATAAATACATCCGATTTAGACAAAATAAGAAGACAGAGAGCGCGAAAAAAGGAGCGGACGAAAAAGGAGAGAGAGAGAGAGAGGGAGAGGGAGAGAAGAAAAGAGAGAACTAAAGGAAGAAAACAAAAAGGAGAGGGAGAGAAAATGGAGAAAAAAAGAAAGCCAAAAAGAGAGAGAGAGAGAAAAAGGGGAGATACATAGAGATAAATAAAGGGGAAAGGGGAAGAGAGAGGAAGGAGGAAAGGAGAGAGGAGCGATAGAAAGAGAGAGAAAAGGGATGCAGACAGAGAGAGAAATAAAGTAGGAAAAGGAGGAGAGGAAAGAGGGAGCACTTACGCTGTTGGAGTATTGGATTTCCAGCAGTGATTTGAGTTGTAACAAACACTCGTTTATACGGGCGCGTCTCTTCTTCTCCATCAAAGGCTTTGAAACCTTTAGATTTAAAAAGATAATAAATTAATTAGAAACAAAATAAAAATCTACCCCCCCCTCACCCCCCCCTCCAATAACCCCCCTCCCCCCCCCCCACACACACACACACACACACACACATTTCGAGGTGCAAATCTTCTCCCAAACCTTATTATTCCTAATAATAATAACAGCAGCAACTAATTATTACTGATGAGAATGGTATCACTTCACACCCACCTTTCTGTAGCTGCAGGCGACTGGACGGGGCGGTTGCTCAGCTCGGGGGGTGTTTTTCATGGCTGGGGGGGGGGGGGGGGGGGGTTGAGGAGGGGGTGAGTTGTGGGGTAAATGATGGGGTGGTGGTGGTGTTGGGGGGTGGGTGGGGATGGGATGAGGAGGGGGTGAGTTGTGGGGTAAATGATGGGGTGGTGGTGGTGTTGGGGGGTGGGTGGTGGGGGGGATGAGGAGGGGGTGAGTTGCGGGGTAAATGATGGGGTGGATGGTGGTGGTGTTGGGGGGTGGTGGGGGGGGGGATGTGCTTGTCCTGGTCCAGGCTGTGTGATGGAATGCGCTGTGTTTGGCAATAGGGGAGGGTTACAGGGGCTTTTATATGGGGAGATTGCATTTTGCATTTGAATAACATTGTTTAAACCCCCCCCCCCCCCCACCCCCGCATTGTCAGGTTAGCAGAGAGTAGAATAGATTTTTCTTTCGATCCCCCCCCCCCCCCCCGCCCCCCCTCTCTCTCTCTCTCTCTCTTTCTGCTGAATTTCAAGCAGGGAAAGTTATCCCACTAATCTGTTAGGGTCGACTGATTAGCTCAACCCGTTCCTTAAATGTTTCCTCTTCTTTTTGGGGGGGGGGCGGTGGGAGGGGGGGGGGCAACGTTTTGAGTGAAAATGAAAAGATTTCGGTGCATTAAGTGGAGCCCCATTCTGTGGGTAATCCGGATCTGTGTTTAATCCGTGTTACCACATTTAAATACCGGTCCCCAATGCCACAGGAAAAAAAAACCTCAACTCATCAGGAAAACATAATAGGGATATATTTCAGAATTGATGATATATATATATATATACACACAAAAAGAGGGAAAGAGAGAGATAAAGAGAAAGAGAGATGGGTCAGAGAGAGAAAGACACAGAGAGAGAGGGGATACAAAGAGAGACAGAGGGAGAGATGGTCAGAAAGAGAAAGAGAGATTAAAAAGATACAGAGACAGAGAGGAGTACAAAGAGAGAGAAAGATGTCGCCGGAAAGAGGGAGATAGAGAGAGAAAGAAATGGTCAGAGAGAGAGAGAGAGAGAGGGGGGGGAGACAGACAGAGAGAGAGATAGAAAGATACAGCGAGAGATGGAGAGGTGTAGAAGGTCACAGGGAACTGCGGACAGAAGCAATTCTGGTTGGAATGAAACACGACCGATGTGTCTCATTGGGGGGAAACCATTGATATAACAGATCACGAAGTTCTCACCGGGTTTTCCAGGAAAACTTTATGAAACTCCCCCTAATTTGCTGCCCCTTTTGTGGCTCTGGGGGTGGGGAGAGGGGGGGGTGGGGGGGGAGAGGGAGAGAGAATAACGCGAACCAGTGGCCACTGAGGAGGGGAACCGTCTTGTGGGGTAATGTGTCAAACAGCGGAAAATTGAGCGAAAAATTGCTGATTAGTGTGTGAGAGGCGCCCCAATGCCGCGGGTGGGGGGGGGGGGGGGGGGGGGGGTGGGGGGGCGCTGAGTCACTGCTGATTTCTGGCTCTCAGCTCAATCCCAAATCCCTTTCACGCTCTCTGCCTCTCAGTGCTAATGCTCCACATGTCTGACACAATCACAATTTTCTGCTCAGGGACTGACAACAGTCTCCATCCTCCACCCCCTCACCCCCCACCACACACACACACACTCCCCCCCACCACACACACACACACACACACACCACCCCACACACACACACCACCACACACACTCCCCCCACCACACACACTCCCCCCCCCCCACCACACACACACACACACACTCCCCCCCCCACACACCCACACACCCACACACACTCCCCCCACCACACACACACCCACATACACACACTCCCCCACCACACACGCACACACACACACTCCACCCCCACACACACACACCCACACCCACCCCCACACACACACACTCCCCCCCACTCCCCCCACCCCTCCCTCCTGTCCCGACGTGAATCCAACACCACCAACAGTCGCTCTTCACAACAGCTCAGAGACTGTGTATTGGACTCTTTCTCTTTTGCTTTCTCCCTCTTTCTTCTTTCTTTTCTCTCTCCCCCCCCCCCCCCCCACCACACACTCTCTTAATTTCTCTTTCTGTCTCCATTTCTCTTTCTCTCCCTCTTTAATTTCTTTCTTCTCTTTCTTTCTTTCTTTCATTCTTTCTTTCTATTTTTTCTTTCTCTCTCCCCCTCTTTAATTTCTCTCTCTGTCTTATTTCTTCCTCTCCCTCTTTAATCTCTCTCTATCTCTCTCCTTCTCCTTTCTCTCCCTTTCTTACTTAATTTCTTCCCCCCCTCTCTCTCTCTCTCTCTCCCTTTTTCTTTCTTAATTTCTCTTTCTCTCTGGTTATTTGTCTCTTTCTCTCCCTCTTTCTATTTTATCTTTGTCTCGTTATTTCTCTCTCTCTCTCCCTCTCTGGTCCTTCGTGTGTGTAAATACAGGGAAGAGCTTGTGGCAGAGTTGGCATCTCACTGCCCAGTGAGAATGGGTTGGGGGTGAGGGGGTGGGGGTGAGGGGGTGCGGGTGAGCCCCTACAGCCTCCCATCAGGTGGGCACAGAGTGAGAGGTTGGCCAACCCCGGACACACACACACACACAAACCCCGGGGGGGTGAGGCACAAGCCCAAGGGGGGGGGGGGTGAGGCACAAGCCCCAGGGGGGGGGGGGTGAGGCACAAGCCCCGGGGGGGGGTGAGGCACAAGCCCCGGGGGGGTGAGGCACAAGCCCCGGGGGGGGGGGGGGGGGTGAGGCACAAGCCCAGGGGGGTGAGGCACAAGCCCCGGGGGGGTGAGGCAGGAGTGGGAAAGGCTCTGGGAAAGCCCTGATGGGAGAGAGAGAGAGAGATGGGAAGGGATTGGGAGTTGGAGTCAAGGCGTTTGGCACGCGACTGCCCTTTGAAAGGAAGCAAACCAAACAGCCTCCTCTATAGACTTCTCTGGAGATTGTTTAAGTCACTCGAGTTTGATTTGGGGAAGAAAAGGTCGGTGTGGGATGAATAGCTGAGAGAGAGGCCAATGAGGCGCATTAACATCACATTGAGTTGGGGGCAGGAGTTGAAAGGAGCGGCTGAAGGGGCAGAGTTGGCTTTATGGCCTCTCTGGGGACCGAGGCTTCACATTGTCTCTCTCCGCTCCTCAAAAGCGGCTCCGGCTTCATTCTTAAACATGAGCCACTGCCGATTGTCCAGGAGACTGATCCCCAAACATCTGCCGGACAGGGGGGGGGGGGGGGGGGGAGGGGGGGAGAGGGTGGGGGGGAGGGGGGAGAGAGTGGGGGAGGGGGGAGAAAGGGGGGGGGAGAGTGGGGGGAGGAGAGGAGTGGGGAGCACAGTGGGACAACCCCAACTCCACGAAGAAGATGGACATTGGGTGAAGGAGCTGTGGGACAAGCAGAGGCTGGGGAGGAGGGGACGTGAGGACAGAGCCCATGGTGCCCCCCCCCCATGGTGCCCCCCCCCCCCATAGTGCCCCCCCCCCCCATGGTGCCCCCCCCTGTCCCACCCGCTTGGGATTGGCCGATCTTTTTCATCCCCAATAACCCGCACTTTTCCAGTTTGAGGGTATCTCAAAGTTGTAGTTCACAGAAATCGGTGAAAGGCAAAAAAACCCACAGCGGGTGGTGGGTGAGACCCCACAGCGGGTGGTGGGTGAGACCCCACAGCGGGTGGTGGGTGAGACCCCACAGCGGGTGGTGGGTGAGACCCCACAGCGGGTGGTGGGTGAGACCCCACAGCGGGGACGGTGGGGCAGTCACCTACTGATGCCCAGAGTGGGCGAGTGAGTGAGTGAGTGGGTTCATGGGGTACCCGGAGAGCCCGGACATTGGCCTGAGAGGGGCAGAGGGACAGACAGACACAGAGGGGTAGACACACACACAGACAGACAATGACACACACACAGACACACACACACACAGAGACACACACAGAGACACACACACAGACACACACAGACAGACACAGTTTTGCGGTTCCCGATGGGTTGTATTAATTGGGACAAGACTGGGGAAGGGAGGGGGTAGTTGATGGCTTTCTCTTACACAGTCACTTCCTTTGTCTCTTTTCACCCCAAACCGGACTGTTAAATAGCGTTTGATTTGGTATTTATAAGCGAAATGAACGCAGTGAAAGCCTTTTAACAGGACCCTGACTGTGAAACAGACACATTGGCCCTGAGCCCTGGTTAATGATTCCCCCCCAGCGATGGGTTATTCAGTTAATTATCTCTAAAAAAAACCCAAATCTGCTTTAGTTGAGGGTGATTTCAGGTACAATGAACACTTAAATCCGCCTTTTATTTCCATGTTTTCTCTTGGAGTTATCAGTGGGTTAGCGGATGCAAAGCCAATCCTGACTCGAAAGCATCGTAAAAATACTCAGAAACCAAACTTGTTTTGTTTTAAATATATATATATATATATATATATATATAAAACACAGGGAAAAAAAGTGAAATTCCACAGCATCAAAACAACCCAAAAATCAGCATTTTTTTCAGGGCTAACTTTTCACCAGAATAATTTAATTATCACATTGACTTCCTCCGAGGTAACAGACTGTAAAGAAGAAAATGTGTTGTCACTTTTTTAAAAAAAAAAGTTTTTCTTATATTGAGGACGACTCATAACTTGATCTATTTTATTTTAGTTATTATCTAAATTATTTTAGTAATTTTCTGCTGAAATTTTAACCGTTCAGAGGCGATGTTTGTATCAGATTAATTTATTAATTTGAGCAAAAAATATACTACATCAATTGCACCTCAATATGTGTTTTGAGTTTTTAAAGAGCTCACTAATCCTTTTCAGTATTTTAAACACCTTACACACACCCCCCCCGCCCCCCCCACACACACATACTCAGAGCAGCACAATGCACTGGCAAAGTGTATTTTTTTGGGGGTTCAGCCGGATGTCTGAAACGTACAGAAACCCATCACCGCGGCTTAAGAGTCTCCAAACCAAACCGAGAATTCCATACATCCCACCTCCACGTGGAAATCCCGGCGAGAGATGGTTGGAATGGAATGGAATGCACGCTCGCTCCCCGGAGTGGACGCATCCTGCTTACCTAATGCCGGTAAGTATTCGGCGCAGGTTGGCGAGAGCCAAGGCGTGGCGGCTCCCGAGTGTGCATTGGGGGTGACTTGCTGGAGTCTAACCCGCTGAAACCCCAAGGTGTAGTGTAAGGACAGCGCCATGGGGAAGCTCTGTACTAGATTGCTAGCCATCTAACAGTCCCAAACCAGCATTGGGGTGGAGGCTTTTTACACAGTCGGTGACAGGACATTGAAAAGCGCCTCTGTAACGCAGGAGAGGAATATTAACCCGGCCTGTGAGGCAATAAGCAGGAGTGGGAGTCGCGTAGCACACCGGGACAGCGATTACTGTACAAATATTGACTGTCCTGTGCAGTCAAAGGACAGTTAGTTGGTCAAGGTAGGGGCGCAGGGGCATTTTGTTTCAAAATAACTTTGAATCAAACTTTTGTTTTTGTGTTTACTGCATATAAGTGGTGTGTGGGATTGTCTCTCTCCCACCACAGACACACACACTCTCACACACACTGCTTTGGTTGCAAATACATTATCAGATTCTTCAAATTGGAACTTAAGAAACTTAAAAGCTTCTTTGCCTTGTAACCTGCAAGTCCGTCAAGGGATCTGAGCTCAGAGACGCGGCGTCTTGTGGGGTAATGTGTCAAGCAGCGGAAAATTGAGCGAAAAATTGCTGATTAGTGTGTGAGAGGTGCCCCAATGCCATGGTTGGGTGGGGGGCGCTTATTCACTGCTTATTTCTGGCTCTCAGCTCAATCCCAAATCCCTTTCACGCTCTGCCTCTCAAAGCCAGCACCGTGCTAATGCTCCCCATGTTTGACACAATCACAATTTTCTGCTCAGGGACTGACAACAGTCTCCAACCTCTCTCTCCCCCACCCCCCACTCCCACTCCCCCCGGGGCTGGCGACACCTCTCCCCGCCCCCCCCTCCTTCTGGACTGAGCTCCCAGCAGGGACCGGGCCGCTGAATTACAATTGCATCACAACACAACATGTCAGGAATCAATTCCATTAAATTACACATCTGTGTGTAAATATTTCATAAAATAAAAATATAAATTCATGGTAAGAAATTAGCCTCGTCATTGAAAATGGAATGAATTGTCTTTGCATTGCATTGAGTTTAACTAGCAGACATAGTTGTTAGTTAACTAGTTTTATACCCATTAACTAGTGGGTGTAAACATGTTCTGACATAGGCACAGGACAACACTGGGCTACTCTACTTGTCTGACGTGCCCAGTCTGATTGTGCTCTGCTCCATCTTAATGGGACACACATTGACAGTAAGTCACTTCTGGTGAGGATCTTAAAGTAAATTCTGCTTTCAGACCGCACTGTTCAGGTGCATATTAAAGATCCCACAGGACCACTGTATTTGAAAAGAGAATAGTAATCAACCTTGCATTTGCAACCTTATTACGTTGTTGACATGTCTCAAAGCGCTTCATAGAATATAGTGGGTTGATTGCGTATTTTTTGGGCGAAACACAGCAGCCAATTGTGCACAGCAGTGTCCTGCAATTATTTGTGGATTGAGTGTCCAAATTATTATTTTTTTTAAAAATCTTTGAAGGAACTATTGCCCCCAGAAAGCAATTCACCAATCGTCCAACAACCGGGTTCCTACTTACTGCTACGTAAACAGAGGCGTGTGGAGTAAGGAACCTTGCCTCAAGTTTCACCCGAGTCGGGAAACGAACCCTTGCGTGTGAGGTGAGTGCTCTAACCACTACGCTGCAGGACTCCTGCAAAGATATAAAGATTTTTACTGTATCGTTATCAGGGGCCCAACAGCTTCCTGGCAACAGTCAATGGAAATGCTTGTGTCACCTTTGGACCTCTGTTCTGGCAACAAATCAATTTCAGACACTGTCTTGTCAAGAATGAGCGAGAGATGGGGGAGCGAGGGAAGAAAAGACCAGATGGCTTTGAGGAGGGAAAGAAACGGGTTGAAATCTCTCGGTTACGGTTATTAGTAATGCTCCGTATTTCCCACACCCGTGAAGAGACTCGTTCTCATGCTCTCTCTCTCTCTCTCTCTCGCTTCACGCCTCCCCTTCCTTAACATTTCTCCTCCATTCATTATTCCTCCGATGAAAAAAAAACCCCAAACAATACGAACCTAGAAATGACCGCTTGAAAATTGGTTCCGGATAATTTAGAGTTTTACTTTACTCTGAAAAACCCATTGTTTATTTCTATATCTCACTGCTTAACTCGCTGAAAGCTCAACGTCAGTCTTACAATTAAGCTTGCGCAGAATTGTGCAAAATCAACTAACTTGCAAACTACTTTATTAATATATATATATAAAAAAAACTTGGGTAAAACTTAAAGGCTTTCGAATGAAAACTGAATGTAAGAGTTTGCCCACAATCCAGCAACTTGTTGTAGTTTAAGACACACAATGGGTTGGCAAAGGCTAAAACTGAATGGAGTTTCGGAGCTGATATAATTGACGGTCAGTATTTGAAAGAGGAGCTACAGGGAGGGCAATGAGCTGCAGTTGTCAACATCAGATTGAAAAAGCATCCGATCCTCTGATCAGTTCATATCAACCCCTCCATCAACCTCCGCGCACAGTTCAACACTTCAAACAACTGATATATAAAGTGACCCCCGTCCTCGCGCTCTTTCTTTCTCTTAATTTATAATAATAATCCTTGCATTTGATATAGTGCCTTATCACGTCATTGAGACGTTTCAAAGTTACAATATACTGTAAAGTGGATTGACTGTATTTTGAGAGCAAATATTCTCTCTCGCTCTCTCTCTCTCTGGCCCTCACTGGCTATAATAAAGGGAGAGTTTTGTAGAGTTGAGGCCGGACAGTCGAGCGCGGGGAGTGGGGTGGGGGAATGGGGGCTCCAGTCATCCTGTGACCCGGGGGTGACAGGAGTCTTCAGTCAGGTTGGTATCTCGCAGCACAGAGAGAATGGGGGCGAAATGCCCTCACCTCGCTGAGCCTCCCATCAGATGGGCACGGAGAGCGAAAGGCTCTCCAGCCCCGACACACACACACACACAAAGCCCAGACTGCGGGCAGGAGAAGATGGGAAACCCTGGAGTGTCCGTTTTGGGAAAGCCCTGATGGGAGAGAGATGGGAAGGGATTGGGAGTTGGAGGCAAGGCATTCGGCACGCGTCAGCCCTTTGAAAGGAAGCAAACCAAACAGCCTCCTCTATAGACTTCTCTGAAGCTTGTTTAAGTCACTCGAGTTTGATTTGGGGAAGAAAAGGTCGGCGCAGGATGAATAGCTGAGAGAGAGGCCAATGAGACGCATTAACATCACATAGCATTGGGGCAGGAGTTGAAAGGAGCGGCTGAAGAGGCAGAGCTGGCTTTATGGCATGGCTTTTCTGACCTGACAAAGGCAGCCTGACTTCATCCTCAACCAGTCTCTTTCCTGTTGTTTGAGTTTTATCTGCTGGAAAGGATAGGATAAGATTTTTCTGGACAATATGATACATTCGCGTTTGATGTACTTAACATTAGATATTGCGCTTATAATTTTTGAATGTCTCCACACTTTTGCGCACAGCGACATCCCATGAAGGGGTTGATCAGTTTATCTGGGGCATTTGTTGGTCAGGACACTGGGAGAAACTCTCTGCCTTTTCCAGCAATTTAACAGGAGCTTAAACCTGAGGAAAGACTGCTTCGTCTCTGACAGAAATATCTAAACAGCACAAGGAAACTCTCATCGTGGAGTCCCGGAGCTCAGTGGTTAGAGCGCTCGCTCTGCAAGCGAGAGACCCGAGTTCAATCCCCGGCAGGTCAGGGCCAAACCTTGGCCAAGTTTCCTTACTCCATAATCCCTCCAGAAAACAAAAACAATAATAAATGGGTCATTTTCAATCTCTGACTGTTTGTGGGACATTGCTGTGCGCAATTGGCCGCCGCGTTCGCCCACAAATATACAGTCACTTCACTTTACAGTGTGTTCCGTGAAGCGCTTCGGGACGTCCTCCCGACGTGAAAAGCGCTATATCAAATGCAAGGATTATTATTATTATTATATTATTATTATTATTATATATAGCCCCACCCCCAGGAGGACCCCACCCTGTGTGAAGCTCAGCCCCTGTGGAGGACATTGGGGTAATGATGTCAATGATGTAATGACGTCAAGGAACTGGATGACGCGCTGTGCGTGCCGACGTCACCACCCTGCCTCGCCACCCCTGCGTGCGTGCGTGCGCGCTGACGTCAGCCTTGCGGAGGGTGGGTGGTGGGGGGAGAGAGAGAGAGAGAGAGGGCAAAGTGGGCGGAGGGTCGGCAATGGCGGCCGATTGCACGAAGGCGCCCGGAGGCGGCGGCGTCCGCACGTCCCGCTCGGCCCGCGACGGTTTGGACAAAAGCATCACCCTGCCGCCCGACGAGATTTTCCGTAACCTGGAGAACGCCAAGAGCTTCGCCATTGACATAGGTGAGAGGGACGAGCGAGGGCGTGTGAGGGAGGGAGGGAGGGAGGGAGCGAGTGACAGCTTCAGGGCCGTTCGTGTCCCCGAGCGAGTGTTCGGCCTGGCGAGAAGGGCCGCCGTACGCATGCGCGGCGCTCAGGCTCTTCCCCCCCCCCCCCCGGGAGCTGTAGTTCTCGGAGCCGGCAGTTGGCGGCTTTAAGGGAGGAGCAGGACTACAACTCCCAGCGAGCACCGCGGTCCGGCCCCGCCCCCCCCGCGCCCTGTTGGCCCTTCCAGGCGTATCAACAGCCCAACTGAAGCCACAGGGTTTAAAGAGCCCCCAACGGCCTCAGCTGTGGCGGCACCGCACCGCACCGCACCGCACAGCACCGCACAGATGACCCCTTTCCGATTCCGGAGAGTAAACCCATCGCGCGGTCCTCGCGTCCCGCACACGCGGCGCCTCATCACCACGCCGTCGGGACGTCTCAAAGCGCTTCTCTGGGCGCCGATACACCGCGCAAAGGGAATGGGCTGTGACTGTGCATTTTGTGGGAATAAACTCAGGCGAAGCGTCGCTGAGCGCTCAGGCCTTGGGCGGACCTGGGATCGGGGGGGACCAGGGAGGGTGAGAGGGTGACCTGAATTGGGATGACGAAGGGAATTGGGCGCCGTCCGGGGCGGGTGGAGGGAATCCTCGAAGCAGGGAGTCCCTTTACATTTAAGATGAGAGCCGCGTCATTAGCATCGATGGTCAAGTCATTTCATCCATTAGTGGCTAACGAGTCCACGACAGCTCGTGGGGGGCACTGCTGTGCGGCATTTGGCCGCTGCCATTCGCCCCCCCCCCCCAGGAAGGTACAGTCGGTTCACTTTGCAATGCGTTCCGCGCGGCGTTACGAGGGGTTTCGGTGACCTGATCGGGTGCTGTGCCGGATGCGAGGCTTGTCGTCGTCGCCCAACGGGGGATCGGAATACGTGTCTTCGCCCGCAAAAAGGGCGCAGGGAGATGAACCGGTTGAGGGAAACGATTTAGAAGCATCTTAAGCAGCCTCTGAATTGTTCTGTGGGAGCAGTGCAGTAAACCCAGCTGTACACAATGTTATTGTTGTGTTCTGCGCAGGCGGCTTGTGTTGTACACGATGATTCACGTGGGAGTACTTTTTTTTTTAACATTTACCATACATTGCAAATGCAAGGAGCAGTATTAGTTCAACATCTTCGGGCTCCTTTAAACTCCCACAACTAAACCAGACAGGGATCCAAATATGTATGCCTCCTCTAAGTAGGTTTGGATACTCTTATAGCGACACCCGGCTGACCAAAGCAGAAAACTCTGCAGTATACAGTACTGCAAATTTTCTCAATTTGTGGTGAGCTGTGCGCTGAACATGAAGCTGCTGTTAATTGTGTTTAATCAGACTGTGTACTCCCAGTGTCTGGATTAGTGACCTTGAAATCAGAACCTGACGTGTTTTTTTGCACTTTCTGGGACTGAAAAAACAAAGGAATGTTGGATACCGTCCAGTTAATGTTTTATCTCCCTTCACATCTGGAGCTGGGTGGGTGGATGTAAAGAGAGGGAACAGTTGACCCTGGTTAAAAATAGAAGTAGCTCGGAACAAGCAGTAGGTCAGGTAGCATCTATGGAGGGAGGAAAATGAGTTAACGTCTCCAGTCAATAACCTTTCGTCAGGTTGCTGGGTTGGGAAACTAAAGAGTTAGAGAGTGAGTGCTGTGTGCCTGACGTACTGTGTACTGGTCTGCTACGAGTTATCCCATGCTTGTGTTTTCGTTGTTTGAGACGTGTAAACCTTCCCACTAGCAGAATGTCTTTTACCAACAGGCGGCTCCTTGACAAAGCTGGCGTATTACTCCACTGTGCAGCACAAGGTAGCCAAAGTGCGATCTTTCGATCATTATGGCAGAGTAAGTGAGCGCACAGAGACAGGTCTGATGGCATGTTCTCTGAGGAATGGGCCTTCTCAAGGTTTTTTCCAGTTATGTTTGGGACAGTCTTTCCAGGAGAGGAGGAAAAGAATCCTTCCGTTTGCCCAAAGGCCACACAACCTCTCCGCGACACGATCTGTGCCCAAAGACAACTCCCATTCTCTTTCCACCCTTCACCACCTTTCCATTGTGCTGTCCACTGAGTGGCTAAATGTTTATCTATTGGCACCTTTCCAGTCCTGACTAGACTGGTAGAGCAGGAACATTGGTGAACAAGTTGTACATGGGTCCCTTTTGCATTCATGATAGTGGGAGCACGTTTGCTCTGCGCCTCTTCCTCCCCTCCCCCAAGTGGCAGGGATTGACGTCAGTTTTTGGAGATAATAATAATAATAATCCTTACATTTGATATAGCGCTTTATCATGTCGCTGACATGTCTCAAAGCACTTCACAGAATATGCTGCAAAGTGAGTTGACTGTATATTTTGTGGAAGAGACGCGGTAGCCAATTGCGCACAGCAATGTCCCATAAACAATCCTGGACTGAGTGATCAAAATTTTTGATTATCTTTTATTATGATTATGAATTAGTGATGTGAGACGGGAATCTCTTTGTGCCTCATAGACTGACCCTTTGCTCCTGGTTTGTAAGGGTCCGGATGATGAACCTTTGTACGAGATCTCCGTGCAGGAAGAGATTACCGCCAGGCTTCACTTTGTCAAGTTCGAGAATGCTTACATCGAAACATGCCTGGATTTCATCAAAGCTCACCTGGTCAATACTGAAACCAAAGTCATCAAAGCCACGGGGGGCGGCGCACACAAATTCAAGAGCCTGATAGAGAAAAAACTGGGATTGAAGTAAGTGTGGATTGTTAACTTACAGTGAATCCTGTGATCAACAACAACTTGCATTTATATAGCGCCCTTCACATGAGATAGTCTCACGGAGCACTTGACAGTGGTGGAGTCTGACCCCGGGCCAGGGGGAGAGGGAGGGGCGAGGTGACCATAAGCACGATCAAAAAGGAAGATCTTTAGGCCGGATTTGAAAGTGGGGCGGGAGGTGGCAAAGCGGGGGATTGAGGGAGGGAATTGCAGAGCTTCGGGGCATAGTGGCTGAAAGCATGGCCGCCGATGGTGGAACGGACGGGGTGAGGGATGATCACGAAGCTGGAGCCGGCCGAGCGGAGGTGGTGGGTGGTGGAGTGGTGGGTAAGCAAATCAGATAGGTGAAGCGGTTTGAGATGTCCTCCCCACCTGAACAGTACTGCATCAAATGCAAGGATTATTTGTGAGATGACCTAAGGAGCACTTTTTCCCTGCACTGAAGCTGAGAAGGATATTGAGCGACCTGGCAGAGGGTAAATAGTAATAGGTTATTTCCGCTGATTGACAAGTCAGTCTCCAGAGAGTGCAAATGTGAGATAACGAGATAACAAGTTTGCACGGATGTGGCACCTTTCGTGAAGGATGAATGTCGTGAACTGCTTTGCAGAGACGATGTGAGCAGTGAGGAGAAGTAGAGTGTTTAAGGGTGTTGACTAAAGGCATGGTTAGGCGCGGCAGCCATGACTGATGCATTATACAATATAAAATATATATTATACAACATAGAATAAACAGTCAGTCCACTTTACAATAATCAGTGAAGTGATTTAATACGTCTCAACTATGCGATAAGGTGCTATATCAAATGCAAGATTATTATTATTTTTGTGAAGTTCTCCCCTTAGCTCGGGGATGTCCCTGATTGTTAACCCCTCGAATATATATAATATAATATTATAATATAATATATAGTCGAAGATTATTTGCTGTAAAATCGCAGCCCAACTCCTGTTTATGATTTAGATTTTCAGCGTCTGCTGCTTTTTACTTTGTTGTCCCCTCCGAAGGGAACAATATGTAGAGACCTCTAGCCCCAGCTAGGAATAATCCGATTCAGTGCTTGTGTAATCCTCTTACCCTTTCTATACTTAGTTAAATCACAGGCTGACAAAGGATTAAAGTGATCTCCTGGTCCCAGGTTTGTGTTAATTGCGTTGGGTCAGTGACGTTTCCTTTTTTAATGGATTTTTAAATTTCAAATGCAAAATCAGTTAAACTGTATTTATACGTAGAGCACCTGTAACATTGATATGTCTCAAAGCGCTTCTCAGATAACTTGTTGTCAAGTGTAGTAGTGACAGATTTGCTGGCAAATGCAGCAGCAATTTGATCACAACAAGGACCCTGGACTGTGAGCTCAAAGTCCTAATGAGGGAGCTTAAACCCATGACCTTCTGATCCAGTAGCAAGAGTGCGACTCTGAGCCAGGCTGCTGTGTTTGGCTGCCCTGACCTTGCGATGTGCTGTTGCGTTGGTATTCGACCCTCTTTAGTATAGCTGACAATTCCGCTCCTCATTTTTGTTTGCAGAGTGGATAAGGAGGATGAAATGACCTGCTTAATCAAAGGCTGCAACTTTGTGTTGCGAAACATCCCTCACGAAGCCTTTGTGTACGTGAAGCACGCAGACCCCGAATTCCGCTTTCAGACAACACACCCTGATATCTTCCCGTACTTACTGGTAAACATTGGGTCCGGAGTATCTATAGTCCGGGTACGTCACACTAAGCTGTGTGGTTTTAGCTACTTCTGATAGTTTGTAAGTGAAATCCTATTGAAATGGGGTGGGGGGGGCTGGATGGACTGTAGAATGAATAAACTCATCTGTTGTGTGTGTGGTGGTGGGCGGGTGGAATATAGAATGAATATGGTGGGGGAGGGTAGTGTGTGCGCGTGGTGGTGGGGGTGAAATATAGAATGCATGTGTGTGGTGGATAGGTTGTGTGTGTGGGTTGGGGGGGCTGTTTACCCACTCACACCCATTTTCACGCCCGTCCTTTGATTTCTACAGGTGGAATCCGAGGACCAATTTGAACGAATAGGAGGCAGCTCGATAGGTGGCGGGACCTTCTGGGGTCTCGGAGCCTTGCTGACAAAAACAAAGGTGATTTTTTCCTCCCCTTGTCCTTTGTCACTTTCCTCAATGCAGAAGTTTGCTGCGTCGGAACGTGGAGGGCTTCATCCATTCAGGCCGTCGACACCGCTGTGGCAGATCTTTTATCCCATTTCCCCCATAGCCGTTCATGTCCCTCATTCAAACGTTATAGTCCCGAAGTTCCACCTACTCTTGTTTTTTTTTCTTTCTCTCCCAGTGTTCTGGCCAACAATCCCCTTTGATAAAATTAGTCCTTCACTTCACTCTATGCTGCCGCATCCACAAAATACACAATCACTGCACTTCACAGTAAAATCCTGTGAAGTGTTTTAAGACATCTCAAGGTAAAAGGCCAGTGAGACTATTTTGTCTTCAAATGTAAGATAGTGCAGAATTGTGAAGCTTCTTAAAACAACTACGGAGTGGATGAGCGATTTTATCCAAGGGGATTGACAGCCAGGACACCCTTCCCTTTGCCAATACACTTTACAATGGTTCATCTCAACTGTTTGCTCCCGCAGCGCTTTGACGAGTTACTGCAGCTCGCTTCGAAAGGGCAGCACACGAACGTAGACATGCTGGTCCGTGACATTTACGGGGGCTCCTACGAATCCTTGGGTTTGACGGGCGATCTTATAGCGAGTAGTTTTGGAAAATCTGCAACGACGGATAAAGGTGGGTGTTCCTGCTCCAGGGACCTGAAACGCCACACGGTCCATCTCACAGTCCTCTTTCGCAACCTCTTTCACTTGTCTTTCATCTGTCTTAAAATTTCAAGGTTGTGCAGAATTGGGTAAAAAATCTTCCAATTCCAGTCTTCATTTGGAAGCTAATATTGTGCAGTTCTTAAAAAGTTCCACGTCAAGGACTTGGAGCTCACAGCCTGTCACTGCACAGGTTGATGGGCAGAGGGGAGAGCGGTGCATTGTCAGAGGTTGTGTCCTTCAGATGAGACAATAAAAGCCATGGGCCTGTCTGCATTCTTCAGGCAGACTTTAATGATCCAGTAACACTTGGTAGCACAGAGGAGGGAGTTTCTCCCAGTGCCCTGGCCGACAGTCCTCCAGATATTTGTGGAGTCCTGTAGCTCAGTGGTTAGAGCACTCGCCTTGCAAGCGAGACACCTGGGTTCAATTCCAGACAGGGTGAAACTTTGGGCAAGTTTCCTTACTCCACACAGAGCCTAATAATAATCCCTCCAAAACAAATTGGTCATTTTCAATCCATGACTGTTTGTGGGACACTGCTGTGCGCAATTGGCTGCCACGTTTCGCACACAAATATACGGTCAGTTCACTTTACGGTCTATTCTGTGAAGCGCGTTGAGAAGACGTGAAAAGCGCTATATCAAGTGCAAGGATTATTATTATAAGTTGGTTGTTCATGGCATAGCTGCTTAGTGGGACATCGTAGTACAGTTCGTATAAACAGTCACTATACTTGACGGTAACACTGAACTATCAAGGACTTTTCGCCATGAGGTGGCACTGTAGGACAAGGCCTGTGCTGATACTGCTGTTTCTTTGCTCCAGAGTTCACCAAGGAGGACATGGCAAAGAGTTTGCTTCACATGATCAGCAATGACATCGGCCAGCTGGCCTGCCTGTACGCCAAGCTCCACAACCTGAGCAGAGTCTACTTTGGCGGCTTTTTCATTCGAGGACACCCCCTCACCATGCACACCATCACATACAGCATCAACTACTTCACAAAGGTAAGGTATGCAAGAACAAAAACGACAACGGCACATTACATTTACTCAGTACCTTTCACGTCAGGAGGATGTCCCGAGGTGCTGGACAGTCAGTGATCTGCACCCGAGCTGGTAGTTGGGATCAGAAGGGGTGGAAGGCAGGGAGTGTAAAGGTAGGAGGGTGACCAAAGGCATGGTTGACAGGGCTGGGCCTGCGTGGGTTAGGGACCTCAGAACTCCTTTCCTCCTTTTTCCTTGCAGGGAAAATGCTGTAATATACTTGCAGGTAATCAGCTTGTTGACAGGTTAATCTCATTGTCGCCAGGGCGAGGTCCAGGCGCTCTTTCTCAGGCACGAAGGCTACCTCGGGGCGATCGGGACATTCCTGAAGGGAGCGGAAGAGGACAGTGAGTAATTGTTGTTGGTGATGTTCCAAAGTCTTCACCCCCGCCGGGCGGTAGATTTATAGAATCCCCCGCCATCATCGTTCGCTCACGTTGTCTTCTCTCTATAGATCCCAACCAGTACAGCTGGGGCGAGAACTACGCTGGCAGCTCAGGGCTGATGAGCACATCTCCTGAGGTACATCCGATGCAGCGGGCACGCAGTGGGACGGTACGTGTCTCCGAGAATCCCCCGTGTTGTGTATCTGTAAACGACAGAGCCCATGGTGTTGCCATCCGGAGGGTCAAAGTGCAGAGAACTTCTCATGTTTTACTCTGTTTGCCCCCCTCCTTTTTACATATTTTGTTCAAATCATTGCCCAATTCACTTTTGTTTTTCAGTGACGATCTGTAATCGATCTCTCACTAGTTACTAACTCATTGATCACTGGAATCCACCCCACCTCGCCCCCCACCAACATTTACCTCAAAAACCCTTGTTTTGTTGAGTGGGTGGGTGGAAAAGACCAGCCATCTCCAATCCGCCTCTACCCTGGAGTTCGCTGGAAAGCCGAGCGTTGCTTTAAAACTTTCTTTTGTCCCCGTGGTTGAGTTTGGTTAATAGAGAAGCCCTCAACAAAAGGCTTAATTAAGAACAATTCTTGTTGATTCTTTCAAAAGAAAATTACATAGATTCATATTAAGAAATAATACAGTATGTAGATTGGAACATGACATGTACGTGTGACTACCAGGATGGTGGAAGGCGAACTGGATGGACCTTGGTTTTCTTTTGTCTAGCAATTGTTATGTTCTTAACAAGACAAGATCTGGCTGCTATGCAGCCTTGAGGTGGAGGGGATAAACCCTTTCCCCCATCCTCCTCGCCTCTCTCTTTCTCTCTCTCTCACATACCCTGGGGAAAGGAAAAACAAAGCATTTCAGTTCTCAAAGAGTTCAGACCACAGCCCATTTCCTGTAGCTCATTTTGTTTTGTTTTTTATTTCCGTCGTCCACCTTTGCACGTTTATATTCTAACATGCATCTTTCATTCCTTTCTGGTCTCTTTCGTTCACCGTCCTCCCGACAGTTTTCAGTAAGTGACGCTCTTGAACTTTCTCCTCTTTGTTTTCCTCACCCTCACTGACCTGTGATTTTCCCGTTCTGCCGAGTGCCTGTGTGTTAGCCAGTGATGGACACTGTGCCCCATATCCCATTACCGTGACCTACCAAAAATCTATCGACCCCAAGATCATGTGGGAGGGGTCCCCGTGTCCCTATTTCACGTCCATCTAGCTCTCTATGCCCCGCGCAGGAGTGAAGGGAGGCGGGTTCCAGCCAGCCTTTGCCGGGTGAGAATGTGCTGCTGTCACCAGGTTTTCCCAAGTGCCGTCTTGTCAGCCTCGCGTGAGCTTTCTTACACTCGCTTTGATTTGTGTGTTTGTGTTTTTTCACGTTTGGGGATGGTGGGGATGTGGTGTCTCTGATGCAATGCAATGCGATGCCCTCATAGGCTCATGTGCAAGAGAGATAATGCGATGTGCAGCCAGTGATTGATTGATTCATTGATTGATTCATTCATTCATTGATTGGCAGTTTGACATGTTGGAGATGGACCGACTGGAGAGACAGCTGGTGAACCTACCCCTCCTCCTCGATGCCTCGTCCTATGTCCCTGACACCGTTGACCTGACTGAAGATGCCATGGCGAGGGAGTACTGGCTGTCCTGCTTTGAAGATGCTTTGGATGGTGTAAGGTTTTTAAATCTCTTTGCACTGGAGGGAATGTACAGTACATACTGTCCTCTTTATCAAAAGCCGAACAAGTGTAGAGCCCCAGCCTTTGAACTTCTCTTTGTTTGGGGGCGAAGGTACAAAGAGAGTTCTTCTGAAGTCAACCTGTGGCATCAGCAAAGAGGGGAAGTGTTCTGATCACAACCCTCTACCTGTTCAGGTGGAAGTCAAAGAATCTGTCTGTTGTGCAATATCTGTTGCATGTTGAGACTGTCATTCATTATACAGTGATATCGGTTCTTGACTGATGGTAAATGACATGAGGAATACAAATATGTAATGAGCTTTGCCAAATTTTTAAAGCTCTTTCCTTACCTGTATTCCAACGGGGTTCTATGCTAAACCTTCCGTTTTGAAACTCTGGCTTTTGTTTTCTCTGCTTTTCGGTGCTTCACAGGTAGTGAAGAGAGCGGTGGCGAGTCAGCCATTGGCGTTGGATGCCGCGGAACGAGCAGAGAAATTCCGTCAGAAATACAGGCACAAGCTTCAGACACTGAGACACCAGCCATTGTAAGCATTGGTCGGGGCGAGTGGGCAGGAGCAGGTGCAGTGTAGGCTGATGCTGAAGTGAGGCTCTGGGGAGCCCTGCACTGTCCGTTAGTGTCAAGTGAAGGCAGCCTGGCTCAGTTGGTAGCACTAAGCGTGTCTGAGGTTTCAAGCCCCACCACCTCCTCCTTGGGACTTGGCAATAAGGGAATTAGATGATTGAAATGGGATGAATTCTACAGGGCGTGAGACGAGCGAGAAGGAGAATGGGATTTGACTGAGTGGCTCGTGGAGAAAACCCCAGTGCAGACTCGATGAGCCGAATGGCCTATTTCCGCGCTGTGACTCTGTGTAACTCGCACTTTCCAAAGTTCAGCAATGTTTCTGCTATAGGGGCTTGTGAGAACTGTAAGCAGGCTGAACGTCCTGTTTCTGTGTGTTATTGTGTACGTAGAACCACAGAGAAAGGCCAGTCAGCCCATGGTGTCTGTTCGTGCTGGCTCTTCGCTAATACCTTGCCCCTGTCTTTCAGCGCATACGGATCTTTGACAGTGCGGAGCTTGTTGGACACGAGGGAGCACTGCCTGAACGAATTCAACTTTCCCGATCCTTACTCAAAGGCAGGCTTCGTTCGCTCTTTAATATCCCGAATAAAAATTAATGGAAAGTATGGCCGAATGTGCGGTCGGCGTGTGTAGAGGTTGTGGTGAAATCCCTGGAAGCGCTACTGTTTGCACTGCACCTAACAAATAAATCTTGCACTTCTGCTGGAGTTTCACCCCAGACTGCAAGTCGCTCCCCCAAAGTGGGCTCCGACCCACAATCTACCGGTCCAGACTGAGACCCAGTGATACTTTTCCTCCCAACTTTATGGCACAAGCGTGCTGGAGGAACGACTGTCGGGAAGTTTAACCTGCTCGCTGGGAGGTAAGGGGGAGGCTTTTGTGGCAGAGACGTGACGACTTTGCTCTTGTGTCCCGCAGGTGAAACAGAGGGAGAATGACGTGGCTTTGAAGCACTTTCAGAAGGTGGTGCAGGCCTTGGAGTCGCTGAACATGGAGCAGCGGCAGTTTGCGTTGGTGAAGGGTCTCTTAGCTGGCAACGTCTTCGACTGGGGAGCCAAAGCTGTGTCAGAGTGAGTTCGCTTGAGAGACTCGAGCAGGAGTCTGCCGCATTTAAAACAAAGGAGGAGGTCACTCAGCTCAGCCGTTGCTTAGCTTTTATCTCCGAATCCCACGATACCCTTGCGTCTCTCTCTCTCTCTTGCCTCAGTTGGTTCTGTGGCTCTCTGAGACACTCCATTCCATATTCTCACCAACTTTTTGTGTAAAAAAATGTTTTCCCGGGCTCCCCTGACTCCCTTCTCTTTTCAGAGTTTTACGATCACAATGAAGAGCTATTGGTCTTAGGGAGGGAGGTGGGGCTTGGGGGGGGTGGGGGCGGAATGGAGGGGGCGTTTGATTTGTTTGGGCGAATATATTAAGTCACGTGAACCTTTAGCAATGTTTGGAGAGGGTCAGAGAATGGCTTTGTTGTTTCCTTTGCTGCTGAATGTGACACCGTTTCTTTCTTTCTTTCAGCGTTCTCGAAACAGATCCAGCGTTTGGTTTCGAAGAAGCGAAGAAACAGTTACAAGGTGAGGGGCTGTGAGACCACGGTTTGAGAATCTTAACCTCTGGTGCAGGCGGTGGGAGGGGACACGAGAAAGAGAGAGAGAGAGAGCATGGTTACGTTTGAAACAACGCCTGTGATGTCGGAGCACCAAAGTTCCCCTTGCACAAGTATCCGAGGCTGTTTTGGCAAAAACAACAAATTCCATTTGTATCGCGTCTTTCTTCAGGAAGACGTCCCAAGGCGCTGGACAGCCAGCTCCACCCGAGCTGGTGGTTGGGATCAGGAAGGGTGGAGGGCGGGGAGGGTAGTTGTAGGAGGGTGACTGAAGGCACAGGTGAAGAGGAGAGCCTTGAGGCAACAACTTGCATGCGATTGTTCTTATCGAGAAATGTCTTTATGAGTGTTGAACCTTGCAAAACAACACCTTAGGTTTTCCAGAATTTCAATAATCACACATTTCTTGTTAAGCAATCTGGTAAGAGATGTGGCGGGTTAGCCCCCACCCCACCACCCTGAAGTAACTCGATCCGATGAAGTACAGTGTCTAATGGAGAATTTTGTTCTTGTGTTTCTCAGCTCGCCCGTGGCTGGTGGACGCCTATGATGATTGGTTAGAACGACTTAAGGTAGGAGTCGTGGAGAAAACCTTGGCTTCCCATTCCCTGACCCTGTATTGGGGTGACGTCTTTGGGCGGGGCGAACGGGAGGGTGGGGTGGGTGGGGGGGAATAGGGGAGAAACGTGCTTAAGTGTCTGGGACTGTGATGCGAGACTATAATCTAAAATGCATTCAAACCACATCATCGCCCAAAATAATACATTCTTGTATGCAGTGCCTATTAACACGAAAATATCTCATAAAGCGCCTCACAGTCAATTGAGATGGCATGTAGTCACTGTAGGAGAATGCAACAGCCAATTTGCACACAGCGAGGCCCCACAAACAACCGTGAGGTCAACGGACAATATCCTATACTGGGGGATTGTCGGCCAGGACACCACACGGGTTCTGGGGGGTGGGTGAAGAGAAACTCCCTTCTGTTTTCCAATAGCGCCGCAGAATCGTAAAACATCTGACTATAAATTCTCTCCCTCGCATTCTCTATCTTCCTCTCGCTGACACCGACCGTGTTCTGTTGCCAATATTCTGCCTGCGGTTGCTTGTCAGATAGCTGCATGTTGGGGGCTCCCTTTACTCCCACTCTGAACTCCCACCCCAATCCGGTTTTCGGGGAGGAGAGAGTTTGCGCCCACTCCCCGGTATCACCGAGTTTCTTCGCGGCGCTGGGGATTAGCAGCACGTTGAAAGCAGACTCCCGAACCATTCTGTGATCAAATACCAAACCCTGCTGGCTTTCTCTTGCAGGGTCCTCCTCACAAATGTGCCTTATTTTTCGTAGATAATAGTGGAATAGACCTAATTCTTGGAGTTTTCCCATTTGTCAGGGAGCTGCTCTCGAGAGGCACAGAGGTAAGGTATCGCATGCGGCTCCTCTCGGTTGTGTGATAATGATCAGGTCAGCCGTGGTTTTAGCAAACGCAGCCATTGCATTTGGTCCATTGAGTCCATGCTGCTGCTCACTGTTCCCTGCAAGGCCCCCTCCACCCCACTACTCCAATCCCATTCCCCCTGCTCTTTCCCGATCCTGTCCTGTCAGGAGGGTGTCTCAAAAGATCGTCACGGGATACAGTGCAAAATATAAGGTGTAGTGACAGTGTGTAGAGTCCAGAGTTGCAGTTTTTCACTCAGGTAAAGCCACCGCCACCTCTTTATTCCATCCTGAATATGCTGTAAAGCGGACTGACGAGGCATTCACATCGAGTTTCGGAGTTCAACTCCTTAATGAGAATTACAAGGTTGCTTTCCTGGCCTCTCTACGTGGGGTGGCTAACTCCCTGTGGTGTAGGGAGGGGTGGGAGGTGGGTAACACTGCGTTGCCTGTCTGTCACAGCTGCAGCCTCGTTACAGTAAGCGGTTGGTCCAAAGCTCTGACCAAAGCTGCCATTACTCCGCTGCGCTGATTGCTGCAGTGTCGGCCGTCAGTGGATGGACTCGCTGCCCCATGTTATCTAACGTCGCTGCCTCCTCATTGCAGATCATCTTAGCCAGTAACTCGGGACCGGCATTGAATGACGTCACCTGCAGTGAGTTGGCGATTGTTACAGAGAGGATAGCGGCCATGGACACAGTGATCAGGTATCCAGAGCAGAGGAAATCTTTTCGGTCACGCAAGCATATTTACTGCACCTTGACCATCGCCATCCCCGCATCGTTCAATCCTAGGAGATATGAGTTTGTCTGATATTGCTAAGGATAGTAATAATAATAATACTTACATTTGATATAACGCCTTATCACATTGTTGAGACGTCTCAAAGCGCTGCACCGAAAGTATTGCAGAGTGGATGGATTGTGGGCGAAACGCAGCAGCCAATCGAGCACAGCAGTGTCCCACAAACAGTCGTGGAGTGAGTGACCAAGTGATGATGGTACGAGGATCCAAGTGTTAACATCACTCACTCTCTGTTTTGTTCTTTCAGGACAGCATTAAACCAGGATAAACTATTACTGGTTCAAAGTGGCTCCAGTTCCCCTTGTCTAGATTTAAGGTTTGTTAACTGTTCCTTTCGCGACTTTTGCTTGTGCCCTACCCCAAGTTTGGAGCAAAAGCCAAGCCAACTCTAACCTTTTGTCACTCTCTCTCTCTCTCTCTCTCCCTCTCCCCCCCCCCACCCCCACCCCCGCCACACACACACACACACTCTCTCCCCTTTTTTCCTGCAGTCGACTGGACAAAGGCCTGGCCACTGTGGTGCGGGAGAGGAAGACTGACCTGGTGGTGATTGAAGGGATGGGCCGAGCGATCCACACAAACTATTACGCTGCACTACGATGCGAGAGTCTGAAGCTGGCGGTTATCAAGAACGCCTGGCTGGCCGACCGGCTGGGGGGCAAGATCTTCAGTGTGGTGTTCAAATACGAGCTGGCCCCACCGTGAATTCCGGTGGGGAAACGGGACGGGGGGGTGAGCGAGCGCTGGTAATCAAGGACTTGTCATTGCCACCCGCCAACTGTCATTGCTATTCACCCCCAACGCCCCCCTCTCCCTTCCCTGCCACTCAATTACCTACAGCTCCGAACACGTCTGCTGGGGATCAGCGAGCTTTTGAGTCAGAAGCAATAATATATATTATATATGTACAGCACACACATATCTTTTTGTTTCAAAAGACATTTATTGTATTATAAGGGCAGCGTTTGTGGAAACTGATCTGAAACGGCCATCAACCTTAAATCGCGGACAATCAAGTGAGATGTTGTTTAATCCCTTCACACACACACACACACCAGTTCCAATCCAGAGCCGACCAACCCTACACTCTTCTTCCCCCCACACACGCGCACACAGTCGGAGAGAGGATCATGTTGGAAACGATCTATATCCCCTTCCTCCCCCCGCCAACACTCGCATCTGTATCCTGGAACGCTTGAATATAGTAATGAGCCATTCTCTTTCCTCTCCCCCTCCCCCTCTCTCTTCCCCCCCACCCCCCGCCGCCTCTCGGCAGGTTAGCTCCAAAAAGGGAGTGTGGCTTTAGTTTGATTTAAATCCCTGGGAAAGGGCGGTGGTGAATGCATTGTCAGATGTTCTGCTGTCACAGAATGCTTCCCGACCCCTCCTCTTCCCCCTCACCACCACCCGCCCCCCCCCCACCCCTCCACCACCGACCCCCAACCCCCACCAAGTATGGGGGAGATCAAAAAACGTTGGGGGATCGCTAGCTTCCATTTCAGGTCTTTGCTCCCCACACCCCCCACTGCTCTTACATATGCTGCCCCCACACTCCGGTCCAGAGCTCCCACCTTATCCTGGGAGCCCAGGCATCTGTGGGAGTACTTTTTGACCCTTTCCCCCCCGACTCCTTCCTGTGAGGGTGGGTGTGGGTGAGCGGTGAATTTATGGCACCTTTGTTAAAAGAGCATGTGCTGGGAACAACACCGTTGAACTCGACCACGACGGCTCCACAGGCTTTAAGAAAATCTTTAGACCGAAATTCCATTAAGAAATACCGTCACCTCTACCCCCCACCCAACCCCCCTCCCAACCCCCCAAACACCTCAAGTTCCCAGGGGCTGTGGTTACACAGTGGCTCGTCAGCACCAGTTCACAGAAAAAGAACTGTTTTCAATCTTACAAATAAATGAAATCTTTTATTTTTATGACACTTGACTTGCTCTGAGGGTTTGTGAGTGAGTGAGTGAGCCGGAAAGCCAGATAATTCTGCTGATAAACATGTCGTCGCACTCACAGCGACTGATTTCAAAGGCAAAGGGTGGAAGCTATTTACACACAGTGCAATCTGCTGTCAAGTAAGCTCACGGTTATTCCGTGGGATTGTCGCCCAGAACGCTAAGAAAACCCCTTCTTTTTCGCAATGGTGTTGTGGGATCTTTAAGATACGCTTAACTTGGGTTAAACAACAACACATTACATTGACACAGCGCCTTTCACAGCTGGAGGACATCCCAAGGCGCTGGGCAGTCAGTGATTTGCAACCGAGGTCACAGAGTGGAGGACTTCGAAGGCAAACGACTTTTTAACACATCAGCTTTTCAGAACTACGGATATCAAAAACCACAAAGCACAACTCTGAAAGAAATACTGTCACTTTTAAAGTCATTTATTTAAGCAACTGCTTGCGATACAGGATTTAAAAAAAAAAAAAAAAAAATTTGTTTTAGAAAAACCCGTCACCATTAGATGAAAACAGTCTCAGCCCAAACAAAACTAGTGAAAAAAGTGCAGTAATAGTGAGTAAGGAGAACAGAGATTAATGAGCGGGGATTAACATGTGAATTGCATGTGATTATTAAAGTGCGGAGCGTGATATTCAACAACTGGCATTGCAAGAAACCCTTACACTCTTCATTCTAAAGTCATTCAACGCGTCACTCTTCACCCTCTGTACCTTGGGATCCGTAAATTCTTCACCTCTTTCATGTCCCAGTTGCTGTGAGGATTCTTCCTGCCCTCCCTTGTCCACAGCTCAATGGTCTCCCAACTCCGTCACTTTTACTCCCACGTTAAAAATACCATTTTTTGTTAAAAAAAATTGCTAATTATTACGGATAAATTCTTTTCCCAACCGCTTGCGTTTCGGGTGGAAAAGGGGGAAATAGGTTGGGAGAGTGAGGAAACTGGGAGAGGCTACCTTCCTCGCCTCGGTCTTCAGGCTTTGCTCTTCTCCGTGTCATCCTTGCTCTTTCCCTTGAATCGGAAGCTCAGTTCCTCGGAAAAGATGTTGCAGCAGGATTTCTGAGGAGGAAGGAGCACAAGTTATTGGGGGAAAGTTGAGTGGGATTTGAACTGGAGGTCTTTGCTTCATTGCACATTGCCTACAAAATAGTGGAGTTCTGCAGTGGTTAGAGCACTCGCTTTGCAACCGAGAGGACCTGGGTTCGATTCCCTGGCGGGATGAAACCTTTCCTTTCTCTGCGTGTCTCTGATGACACAGCAGTAAGTAGGAACCCGGTTGCAAATCGATTAGTGGATCACTTTCTGGGGCAAATAATCCCTCCCAAGAGTGATTTGGGTCACTCAAACCCACGACTGTTTGTGGGATACTGCTGTGAGCAATTGGCTGCCGCGTTTCGTCCACAAAATATGCAGTCAATCCCTTTCACAGTATATTCTGTGAAGCGTTTTGAGACGTCTCGAAAACAATTGCAAGGATTATTATTGTTGTAAATTTCCAAAGCCTCACAATGTTGTCACACACAGGAACAACGTGAAAATACCTTTTTCTGATCGGCAGCTTTCCTGGACTTCAGAGCCAGCTCTGTGCAAGCGACCACCATGGCCACGGCCAGGCCGGCTGCCAGGAATATGAAGAGGCCGCCCAGGGGGTTGGGTGTCAGCGGTCCTCCCTGGGCTACGTCCTCGGGACTGCACAACCTCTTCCACCACTTGTCCTTCAGATTGTCCAGGTCACCAGCCTCCCGCAGCTCCAGGATGGCCACAGACAGTTTCTTGGTTAAACCAGAACCTGGAGTCAGAGAGAGAGAGGGAGAGAGAGACAGAGTGATGATGGGGTGATTGTATGTGACGGTCTGAACTCCACACTAGTTGTGAATATGGAGACAGCACGGATATCAGCTTTGTGTGCGTGTCTCTCTCTCCGACTCTGTGTGTGGTTGAACGAGCGGTGGAGTTCCGTATCGCTCTCTGACTGTATGTGTGTGTGGGTCTCCTTTATGTATTCTGACAGTGTGTATATGTCCCTCTGAACCTCTAATTATCTGAGGGTCACTTCCCCTCCTCTCCCTGGCCCCCATCCACCCCCAGCGTGTACGTCTCAGCCAGGCGTTGCCACCAGAGTGGGAAGGCTGGTGGATAAATACGCGGGTGTGTGGACGTCCCAAGGCACTGGACAGTCAGGGATTTGGACCTGAGCAGCGGGGGAGGGGTTGGGGGGGGTTGCCAGGGTGGGGGTGGGGGGAGGCTGGGATCAGTAGGGGTGGAGCGTGGGGAGAGTAGGGTTAGGAGGGTCTCAGGGAGAAGGTGAAAGCGGAACCCACGGGAAGTGGCTCCGATGCCATATCCTCGGAGGGCAATGACTTCGGTCGCCATTCTCAGGTCACAGTGCTGAGCCACGGCATATTCCAGTGACGATGTCTCGCCAATGTAGGCGTAGTTGGATTCCTGGACGCGATGGATGGCCTCGGTCATAGAGGAGACCAGCACGAACTCCCCCTTCTGCTCCATGTTGTCGTAGATCATCTGGTACGTTGGGTTTTTGGAATTCTGCAAACGTCAATGAGGAAAACATTGTTGGTCATCTCTGTTACTATTATGATCTGGTGGCGCCTCATCACGTCTGTCGAGAGACGTCTTAAAGCGCTTTGACCAGGATTTTATTGAGCCCCTGACCGTGTATTGGTGAATCTCACCGGCCAGGTTGTGGACAGCCACGTCCTCACAAACGGTCGTGAAGTGAGCGACCGAACGTATTCTGAGGAGGGATTGTCGGCCATTGGAGCCGGGAGATGGAGAAACTCCTTTCTCTTTTCCCAACTGCACTGAAGGATCCATCTGATCAGGGTATATACGAGGGGTGGGGTGGGGGGAGTTTACCCCGCCCCACCCCTGCCCCTCCCCTGACCCCTCCCACGCACCTTGAAAAACTGGAAGGTGGAGCCACCCCTGATGGTGCCGTAGTCGAGGTCCTTCTGCTGCAACAGCTCCTGGAAGGAGTTGATGGCCGGGCTGGGAGTGTCTGACCTCAGCATCGCCGTCAGGCGCGTGGCGTAAACAAGCAGCAGCACAATGACAAACAGCCACCAGGCAGCGCCGATGATCCGCGTGGACGCGGCCTTAGGATGGGGCCCAGCGCCTGTCAGCAACACAAGGGACACATTGGGGTACTCACCACCAACTCAGGGGCAGCGAGGACGATCATTTTGGCTCCTTCCCCCCCCCCAACCACGCCCTCCGGCTCCTTCCCCCCCAACCACTTTTGGTCAACAACCCTTATATGTTGCTCCATAACATCGTCAAGACCCAATAAGGATGATTATTATTATTACTGCCCAAAACGTCTATGCTCTCCCGCCCCAGCTGGGCTCCTAACCCGGGGGTCTACCTTGTAGAGTGAGGGCCCCCACCCCGAACCAGAAGCTGTCGAGGAGAGAGAAACGGTTGCTGTGCTCCTCGTTTTCATTCCATTCATCGGGGCTCAGTCTGTGGGGAAGACAAACAGAAATAAACCCTCGTAATCGTAATAATCAGCCTTGCATTTGTAATAAATGGAATCTTGTTGTTGCATTTGATATCGCGCCGTTTCAGACGTCGCAAAGCGCTTCACAGAAATATACTGCAAAGCGTAGTGACTGTACATAACGTGGGGCGAAACGCGGCTGCCAATGGCGCACAGCAGCGTCCCATAACCGTGAACGGCCGAGCCAAGGCTCCACTGTACAGAGTCTGTGGCGGCTTTTTAGTAAAAGGGAGAAATGTTTGACAAAGGAAAATGAAATGAACGATTGTGGGGGCAAAAGGGTGAGACTGAGCTTCTGAGTTGATGAGATTCCATCATTGTCACTGCCTGATTTGTGTGTCCCCCCCCCCCCACCCCCCAACCCCCACCATGAGCGTGTGGCAGTACCAGTGATGCCCTGTGGGCGGCGGTGTTGAACCTTCAGTGTGAACAGCGCACACAGAAAGGTCTGAAACCCAAGGCGTTGGGGTTGTGTGATTCCCGACACCTGGGTTGGATTGCAGCCTGTAACCCACACAGGATGGAGTAAGGCTGACCTTCCAACCCGGTGCTGGAGGGAACCCTGTATTGTCGTATAGGCGATTGTACCTTAAAACCGAGCTCCCTGGCTGTGCCCTGTTCGGGCAGACGGTAAAGATCCCGAGGAGGCTATTGGATAGAGAAGGGAGTCTCTCTCCTGTTGTCCTGTCTGACAGTCCCTACTCTCCACTGGTAATAATCGCTCACAAAAAACAATCACTCGGTCACTTGATCCACGGCTGTTCGTGGGGACGCCGCTGTGCGCAATCGGCTGCCGCGTTTCGCCCACAAAATACACAGTCACTCCTCTTGACAGTATATTCTGTGAAGTGCTTTGAGGGGTCTCGACAACACGATGAGACTCTATATTAAATGGAAGGATTATTATTTATTGATGATTATAAGACGCAGCGAATACCACGCCCGTGTTGGTTGGTTCTCTCTCTCACCTGGATGCCAGGAAGAGGCAGAAGCAGGTGACGAGGTAGGCGATGAGGAGCCCGATCCAGGTCTCCGAGGGGAAGGGGCTCAGGAAGCGGAAGAGGCCGGAGGTTGGGGTCACCTCTTCTTTCCGGAGCAGGATACTCAGGCCGATGGACATGAAGGGTTTGGTCAAGGTTACATCCTTCTCCCTTATGGCCGTGATGGTGAGCGGGGCCACTGCCAGGTCAGCTTCCTGTCCCGGCGAGACACAGAGGTCAGGGCGGCCTGGATAACGGCTAAACCTTGACCACACTGTGACCCAAGGTTCAGGCGAACCTTCAGCCTACTCCTCCCCCCCCACACCCCTTCACCACTCCTTACCCCTCCATGCGCTCACCCCCTCCACTCTTCCCCTTCATCTACATTCCTCCCCCCAACTCTCACTCCCCCCCCACTCCTCCCCGTCCACTTCCTCTATTCTCACCAGGCCCAGTGCCTTGGCCTCAACCAACCGTCCCTTCCATGTAAACAAACACTCCCTGGGACGGTGGGGTCTGACCTGAGATGGGGGATGGAGGGGGGGATCAAGGTCGGGGTGTGGACTTACCTCCCTTGTGATCTCTCCTATCATCCCGACCCATGAACCATTTTTTAGCTTTCTGCCATAGAATCCATCTCGGACGAGGTGGAAGTCATAGTCGAAGCCTATCTTCTCGGAGAGTAAATTCAGCAAATCCACACAGAAGCCTTCGAATCCACCACCAGCCTTCTGGCTTATGAAGGGTGACGCCTGTCAGGCAGAGAGATCGATAATAACAACAATAATAATAATAATAACAATAATAATCCTTGCATTTGATTTAGAGCCTTATCCCGTCGTTGAGACGTCTCAACTCGCTTCACAGAATATCCTATCAAGCGGATTCACTGTGTAATTTGTGGGCAAAACGCAGCAGCCAAATTATGCACAGCAATGCCCATCTCACTTTGCTTTGAGTGACCAACATTTTTTGTCTTTGGAGGGATTATTACCCCCGGAAAGTGATCTGCCAACCGACTAACAACCGTGTTCCTACTCACTGCTGGGTAAACAGAGGCACGTGGAGTAAGGAAATCCGCCTAAGGTTTCGTCCTATGCCGGGTATCGAACCCAGGTCCTCTCGCTCGCGATAATGATAATAATTATTATTAGACATGAAACGTTTTTTGGAAATGGGCCAATAGACGGGCAGACACTCAGATAGACAGACAGACAGTCAGGCAGACATACCAGAATGGTGGTGACTGACAGCGTTGACTCTTTTTTCTGTCTCTTGACTCGGCTCTGCACCTGCCAGGAAGCCGGGAAGAGAAAATCGGTGATCGGGAAATGGGAGGAAGAACAACCCCCTCCGAGAACTGGCTCATCTCATCCCAATAAAATTCCCAATGTTTTCCCGAAAGATTTCAAGGAAGACGAGGGATGACCATTTGATCTGACTTTTTCAGAAACCAACTCGATGGCAGCCATTTCTCCCAACATCAGTCATGAGAGGCTCCCTCCCTCCCTCTCTCCCTCCCTCCCACCCTCCCTCCCTCCATGGTCCTGCAAGTTCCTGGGCACTAAGCCAAGCCTTATGTGGCAGAGTGTTGGCCTCTCTCCTCCTGGGTGGGTCTATTGTGGCCCCAGTGGATGGGACCCTGTGTGTCTATCTGTGCAGCAGAGGGTCTGCACTGTGTGGTGAGCGTCTGCAATGTGGGATGAGGAGGGTTCACTGACCTGTGTTAAGGGTCCCGGATGATTCTCAGCGCCTGTCACAAGAAAGAGTCTGAACTTAACCTGGCGCCCGAACAGTGCCAGATCAGCAGTGGCAACAACATCAACGTCAACAACAACAACAACAACAACTTACCTGAGCCTCCCTGTGTCTCGGCTAGACTGGTAACAGGTCTCCCCGACTCGAGAGCATTGCTCACCGGTGGAGACGTGTCTATATACAGTACAGTAGTAACACGTATAATAATAACACAATGCAATTGACATTGACACAGGGTCTTTCGAATCAAGAGGACGTCTCAAAAGCACCGAACACTGCTGACGATGGCGAAGGGGTGTGGGTGGTGGGGGGAGTGTGAGGGTGGGGGTGGGGACGGGGGCGGGTAGAGCTGGGAAAGGTGACCCAAACCATAGTCCGAAGAAGTAGGTCTTGAAATGGGGATTGGTGGGGGTGTGGGGAAGAGCAATGTAGTGAGTCAGAGGGGCTCTGGGATGGAGCTCCACAGGAAGAACAGCACCTCTATAATAATATGTCTGTAATAAGGGTGCGATGTGCGCTGAGGTCAGTGGGCTGGTACCTGCTTCATGTTCTATGACCAACATGAGAAGCAGAAGACCCAGTCCCTTCAGAGTCCACATTGTCACAGCACCTGCAACGAGAAAATACAACAGGTAGTGAGCGTATGTGCGAGTGTGTGGTGCATATAATGTGTGTGTGTGTGTTTTAGTGTGTGGAAATTTGTGTTAATGTGTACTACTACTAATAATAATCCTCCCATTTGATATAGTGCCTTATCACACCGTTTCAAAGCGCGAAAAGCTTGTGCCTTGGCATCATTTCAGCACTTTGGGACATCCTTCCAACGTGAAAGGCGCTGTATAAATGCAGATTGTTGCCTATGTGTTGTGTATAATTACATTGGTCTGCGTGTAAGTGTTTTAGGGTGTAAGCTTTTTGGGGTATCTTCACTTGGGAGTTGCTTTCCTGTAAAGTTGAGAAACTACAGAAAATTAGAGGGTTAAAATAATAATAATAATCCTTGCATTTGATAGAGCGCCTTATCACGTCTACGAGACGTCTCAAGGCAGAATATACTGGAGAGTGAATTGATCTGTATATCTTGTGGGCGAAACGCGGCAGCCAATTGCGCACAGTAGTGTCCCACAAAAGCGATCCGCCAATCAACTAACAACCGGGTTCCAACTTACTGCTGGGTAAACAGAGGCGTGTGGAGTAAGGAAACTTGCCTAAGGTTTCTCACGGCCAGGAATCGAATGCAGGTCCTCTCGCTTGCGAGGTGAGAGCGTTAAACACTAAGGTACAGGACTCCCAACTGATCAACCCAGACCGAGGGAAATTTCTTACCCACGTACTTTTAAACACACACAATTAAAACTAAGTGAAGAGAGAGAGAGAGAGAGAGAGAGAGAAAGAGCAAGGGAAGGAGAATGAGAGAGTACGTGAGAGAAACAGAGAGAAAGAGCGAGAGAGAAAGCGAGAGGGAGGGCAAGAGAGAGAGAGCGCGCACGATAGAGAGAGAGAACGTGAAAGAGAGAAAAAGGGCAAGAGAGGAAGAGCGAGAGAGCGCGTTCCCTGGGATGGTTTTTAAGTAAACCCCGTCTCGGATTCCCCCCAAGAATTGCGAACCAACTTAGAAAAAGATTTCAAAAATCATCTTAAAAGTTGTATTTTCAAACCGTGATCGAAGGGGATTTTTGAAAAAAAAATATACATCAAATTTAAAAAAGCAGGAAGTTTCACTGGCTTCAGAAACACAATAAATAAAATAAATCCTTGAGAAATAAATCCTTGAGAATCCACTTACTTCTCTCGTCTCGTCTTGTTCGGACTCTGGCTGTGAGCTTTCCGTCTCTCTGTCTGTGTCTCTCTCCTGGACTGTCCGACACTGTGAGATGGGCTGAGATTTAAGTAGGGGGCGGAAGCACACTTGACAATTGGGGGGAGGGGAGGGGCGCGGGGGGGGGCAGGGATGGTGGGGGGTGGGGGGGTAGGGGTTCAAGATCCCTGGGAGGAGTGGAGTTGGCTGCTGCTCATCTCTTAGCAACTCAAGAGACGAGCAAGTTCCTGTGCTGAGCTGTGAAATGATGAATTAGCTCAGAGCCGTTTACATCAACTCACACTCGAGCGGCGCCTTTCATGTCGTGTGAAGGTCTCGAAGACGGTAGGGAGCCCTGAGCGGGGAGCGACGTTTACAGGTTGTGACCAAAGGCACCAAAGGGAGAGGTTTTTTTTTCAAGAGTGTTTCGAAGGCAGCGAGAGAGGATGCGGGGCAAAGGCTAATCAGGAACGAGTTCTTCTGACAGGGGTGGAGGGGGGGGGGGGGAGCATTATTAATAATGATAATCCTTCCATTTCATATAGCGCCTTCTCACGTCGTTGAGACGTCTCAAAGCCCTTCACAGAATTTATTGTGAAGTGTAGTGACTGTGTATTTTGTGAGCCAAACGCGGCAGCCAATTCCGCACAGCAGTGTCCCACAAACACTCGTACATTGAATGACCATCTTCTCTTTTGGAGGGATTATTACCCCCAGAAAGTAACCCAGCAATCGACTAACAGCCAGGTTCCTACTTACTGCTCGGTAAGCAGAGGCGTGTGGACTAAGGAAACATGCCCAATGAAGTTACACAGATTTGTCTGCAAAACACATAGTCACTACACTTGCCAGTCATTCCGATTCTGCCAATGAGCCAGGCTGGCTGAGCTGTCATGGAATAACATTGCTGGAACACAACTTGTGTTTGTCTAGCGCCCTTCACACCGTGTGGCATCTTGGAGCGCCTAACAGTGGCAGAGCCTGACCCCGATCTGGTGAGAGGGAGGAGATGACCTTACGCACGGTCGAAGAGCAAAGTCTTCAGTTATGAGGGGAAGGAGTGGGCAAGTTGGAGGGATCGAGGCAGAGAGTTCCAAAGCTTCGGGGCGTAATGGCTGAAAGCACGGCTGCCGATGGTGGCGTGCAAGGGATGAGGGACGAGCAGGAGGCCACAGCCAGCCGAGCGAAAGCGGACAGTAGTGAAATGGGGAATAAGCAGGTCAGAGAGGTAGGGAGGTGCCAGGGCACGAAGGGATTTGTAGACGAGTGAGAGGATCTCAAAATCAATCCATTCTGTGATAGGGAGCCTGGCGAGGATTGGTGTGATGAGGGCACGGAGTGTACAGCGGGTGAGAGGAGTTCTGAATCAGTTGTAGTTTGTGGGTAGTGGAGCTGGGGAGAGTGGCGAGGAGGGCATTGAAAGTAGTTGGGGCGGGAGTTGACAGACGTGTGGACAAAGGTCTCAGTTGCGTTGCGATATGGTTGGAGGCGAGCATGGATGTGGAAGAAAGCAATCCTGGTGAGGAAGAAAGCCAGATCACGGGATGAGAGTGAATTCAGAGTTGTTCCCTCTGTGCTCACCATGTATTTCTGGAGCCCCGCTTCCAGCTGGCAAGAGGACAAGCCTTGTGACTTAAATTATCGCCCCCATCCCCGCTCGCTCACCCCAAGAGTCCACTTAGTTTGCAGCAGGAATGTTTCCCACTCCAAGTCCCATGTCTCGAACCAAACAGGTCTTTGGCTGAGAAACATTAGTGACCAACAGTTTTCCTAGAAAAAAAGGCAATTCCTGTATTCGTGGCTTAGCCATTCTGGATACTTTGTGGAGTCCTGTAGCTTAGTGGTTAGAGCACTCGGCTCACAAGCACGAGGACCTGGGTTCAGTTCCCGGGCAGGGTGAAACGTTGGGCAAGTTTCCTTACTCTCCACACCTCTGTTTACTCCCAGCAGTAAGTAGGAACCCGGATGTTAGTCAATTGGCGGATCACTTTTCCGGGGAGTAATAATCCCTCCAAAAAAAGTTTAAGAAAATTTATTTTTGTCACAGAATCCACACCAGTTTGCAATTAGTATACTCAATTGACTGCTGAGTTTTGCCCACAAAATATACAGTCCATTCACTTTACAATATATTCTGTGAAGTGCTTTGACATGTCCTCTCAACGCAAAAGGTCCTGTATTAAATTTCAACCCCCCACCCCACCCACTACCTGCACACCTTCCCTGTCCAGCTCCTTGGGACATCCTCCCAACATGAGAGGCATTAAGATAAATGTAATTGTAGAGTCCTGTAGTATACTGCTTAGTTTACTCACCTCACAAGCAAGAGGACTCAGGTTCAATTCACTGGTGGGGTAAAATTTCCTTACTCCACTCCTCTGTTTACCGTGCAGTAAAAAGGAACCTGGTTGTTTGTCGATTGGCAGATCGCTTCCGGGGGTAATAATCCCTCAAGTGAAAATAAAAATAATAATAATAATAATTCAGTCACTCAATCCACGACTGTTTGTGGGTCACTGCTGTGTGCCTTGGCCACAAAACAGTCACTCTACTTCACAGTATATCCTGTGAAGCGCTTTGAGACGTCTCGACGACGTGATAAGGAGTAATATCAAATGCGAGGATTATTATTACTATTATTTATTAATGAACTAATTCATTATTGCTGTACACGGAGCGGCTGTGTGAAGATCGGTCACACAGGACCTTAAACTCCTAACCCTTGAATCACGAGTTCAGTTGTTTACAGAGTTTGGCTCCGGTCCACATTGTGCTCAGTCTTTGTTTCGCAAGTGACCAGTTTCCTCCATCTCAGCCCTTGGCAACAGCATTGCAATGTGCCCTTAGCCAAGCGCTTTGGCCTGAAAGCCCATTAATTGATGCTCGCTCTAAATCCCCTCTGAGCAGCTTTGCAAACAGAACGTTTGTCCACAGAGTTAACTCCTGCAGCTCATTTCTACTTCCCCCCCACCCACCCACTTCCCAGCTCTCTCCCTATGTCCTGTACCTCCCCACCCCACCCAGCCCCCAAACACACACACACACGGGCGGATCTTTTGCGATGAAGAAACGTTTACACAGCGGACCTAATCTGCAAGAGAGGTTCGTGTGCAGAAGTCCCTCCCTTCCAGAATCTTCCCCCACCACCCCCCCCATTCCTGGGGAGTCCGTCCCTAGTTGGCGCAAAGGGCACACTTCCTGGAGTCTGTCCGAGAACAACAACAACAAATCACATGTGTATAGCGCCTTCCTCATCAGGTGTATACGTCCCAAGGCACCGGGACAGTCAAGGAATTGGACAGGGGAAGAATTAGACGTGGGGAAGAACTGCAAACAAAGTGTGTGTGTGTGTGGGTGGGGGGGTGAAGGGTTCGGATTCCTGGCTGGGAGCAGCGCTCAATTTGAGGGGCACGGAATCCACAAATTTGTGTGAAAAAATAACCCACATAAAAAATGTAAGATAATTGACATAAGAACCGGAGGGGAGGCGAGGAGAAATGTTTATACAAGAGAGTTGGTACGGTCTGGAATGCACTGCCTGCGAGGGTGGTGGAAGCAGATTCAATAATAGTTTTGAAAAGGGAATTGGATAAGTACATGAGAAGGAAAAATGTGCAGGGCTACCGGCTGAGATCGGGGGAGTGGGACTTGTTGGTAGCTCTTTCAAAGAGGCAGCACAGGCACGATGGGCCGAAGGGTCTCCTTCTGTGCTGTAGGATTCTTACGATTCTATGAAAAAACACACACAAAAAAACTCCTGTCTCTCTCTTTCTCGCGAAAAAAAAACCCAACATCCCCGGCAAAGACAAATTGGGGGAAAGGAAAAAGGCCATTTTTTTGTGTGTGTGGAAACGAACAAAGAAAGAGGGCCAGACAAAAACCCAACTCATCTCAAGAGCTGTCATTGGCTCACAATGCAATGAGGGACAGCATTTGATGGAAGGTTCCAGAAATGGCGATGAATGAATGAGGCTTTTGTTGCAGGCGATGGCAAGGAACATTTTCTTCCCAGTGTCCAGGCTGAGGGGTGTTTGTGCGGCGACACAGGGCTGTGCGTGGCGAGGGTCTTGGTGTCAGTTTCCTTGGCGACGACTCGGGAGCCCTGGGGCCTCTCACTCACTGGGAGTGAGGGCCCGCGGACTGGCACGGACGGCGCTGGGGAAAGGGAGAGGGCGGCCTCTCACATCACCGTTAGTTACCGTCGCAGCTCGCCAATCTCTGCCATCGATTCCTGTTTGTTCACCCCGAGGAGGGGGAAGAGAGACAGAGAGAAAGAAAGAGAGAGAGAGAGAGAGCGCGCGAGCGAGCAAGAGACAACAACAACAACTTGTATTTATATAGCGCCCTTCACGCAGGACCTGTGTATCTGAACCAAACTGAGAATTCCACGCATCCCACCTACACAAGGAAATCCCAGAGATAGATTTTTCGAATGGAATACGCTCTCTCTCTCTCTCTCTCTCTCTCCCCCTGGAGGGACGCATTCAGCGTATCTAATTCTGGAAAGTATTAGGCGCAGGTTGGCGAGAGCCAAGGCTTGGGAAACCCAGAGCCTGCGTTGGGGTAACTGCTGGAGTCAAACCAGCTAAAACAGCAGAGCCTGCCATTGATATCACTGTCTGGCAAGCTTTCCCGCTGCTTGTCCGGCTCGCACCACCCTACCCATCAGCGCTTTGGCTGCAGGATTAACAGGAGCTGAGAAGGATGATTCCCTGTTTCCCCCCTCCCCCAGCTACTGGTCTGCCCTTCCAGGTCCTGCCAACGAGCCAGGCTGGGCAGTGCCCTGGAATACTGCGGACCTGCCTGGCTCAGGACCTGACTAATAGGGTCTGGCACAGAGGGTTGGCTCGATCTCGACATTCCGTTGCCAAACATGTCACCTCGGAGCCAGTTCAGCTTTGAAGAGAGTCTGCTTATCTCCCCTTCCCCAAAGAGACAGGGGAGAGAGAGAGAGAGAGAGAGAGAGAAGGGGTTGGATGGGAGTGGGGGGGAGATGTCTCTATACCACCCTGTGGTACGAGCGAGTTACTCTAGAAACCTGCGACGGGGGTGGGATTTACACAGCTGAACGATCCCTGCCCATCCCAACGTAATAACAAGCCACGGGAATCCAACGCGTGTTTGATTTACCTTCAAATCAAATCAAATCAACATCAAAACCAGAATCCAATCAAGTCTGTTTTTGTTTTATTCCAATGAAACCGAAGTTAAATTACAAACAGCGTTTTTATAATGTGCAGAGAATCAAAGTGAGGGGTAACGCGCGCGCACGCGTTCACACACACACAGACACACACACACACACAGACACACACATACACACAGACACACACACACACATACACGGTGTGAAAACCATCACCGTTCCTGAGTGGGGGTCGGGATAATTTTTACAAGGTGGTCTCAGTGTGTGGGTTAATTTACATGGAAAAATCATAGTTTTTGCATTAAATATTACTAAACCCCAACCACCCCCCCAGCCAAGCCCCCCCCCCCACCCTCCACACACACACACACACACACTGCAGAATACTGCTTTTTTTTTCCTTTGTCGGTAGTTTATTTTCTTAATATCGATATTTACATTAAAAAAGCCAACCGTTGAAAAATAATTCAGCCACCCTCCCCCACCCACAAAACCATTGACGTGCGCACACACTCACACACACACACAAACACACACACCGAGGAATTTGCTCCTTAATGGACGGCAAGATTTTTTTCTTTTAAAAAAGATTAAATATTACACTCCGGAAAATCTTACAAGCACACCACGGATTCAATTAATTCATCACATCATCATTATGGATGGGCAGCGCATTGTTGGAATTATTTAAAAGGTGCACAGAGTAAGTAACCACCATCTTTCCTCCTCCCTCCCGCCCTCCCCCCCCCCCCCCACCCCGAACCGAAATATAACAACGATGCAAATGTAATGGACTAAAAATTCTCTCTACCTGCGAATTATAATATTTTATGCAGGGTTTTGTTGTGTGCCGTTGAAATATTTAACCTTTTTGTCCCTGGCACTTGCCTAGGACTGATTTACATAGCCCCTCCAACACCCTCCCCCCCCCGAAATGTTGAACCCATCTCTGAGTCGCAGAAACAAAATGAAAACTAAATGCTCCAACAGCGGAGTTGTGAACTATGAACCTGAGAGGGACAGACCAGTGAACAGACAGATGTACAATACAGAGCTGTGTGGCCTTGAGCATTTTAACACACGTCCCCCACTGCCAAAATACACATATATATCAGCTCACTTTTCAGTCCGCGTCGTTTAAATAACGCTAACAAATACCCCCCCTCCCCGCCCAGCCCCCAAAAACAAAAATCAGAATTTAGCGAAACAGGGGAAGAGAGAGAGAGAATAAAAAAGAGGCCCAAGGCCAGTTTATTTTCCCCAAACGTTTAAAAATCGAACGTGGGATTTTTGTTGGAAAAATGTAAATTCTTCTGTCTTGTAGTAAAATAGAAAAGCGGATTATTTTCTAGAGGGGGAGAGACTGGGTAGTGTTCGTGTTCAGAGGGATTTGCGTTGCCCTTGTACATCAGTCACAAAAATTTAGTATGCAGGTACGGCAAGCAACTAGGAAGGCTAATGGCATGTTGGCGTTCGTTGCAAAAGGGTCAGAATACAAGAGTAGGGAAGTTTTGCTGCAGTTGTATAAGGCCTCAGTGAGACCGCACCTGGAATATTGTGCGCAGTTTTGATCTTATCTAAGAAAGGACATACTCGCCTTAGAGGGGGTGCAGCGTAGATTCACGAGGTTGGTTCCTGGGATGAGGGGGTTGAGCTATGAGGAGAGGTTGAGTACACTAGGCCTATATTCTCTAGAAAATAGAAGAATTAGAGGTGATCTTATACCTATACGATTCTTAAGGGTTGTGACAGGGGAGATGCCGTGAGACTGTTTCCCCTGGTTGGAGAATCTATAACTAGGGGTCACAGTCTCAAGATTAAGGGTCAGCCTTTTCGAAGTGAGTTGAGGAAACACTTCGCCACTCAGAGGATAGTGAATTTATGGAGTTCTCTACCCCAGAAGGCTGTGGATGCTCAGTCCTTGAACATATTCAAGACTGAGGTTGATAGATTTCTAAAGGATAAAGGGATTAAGGGATATGGCGATAGGACGGGTAAATGCAATTAGGTTAGATCAGCCATGGTCTTATTAAATGGGGGGCAGGCTCGAGGGCCGAATGGCCTACTCCTACGTCTTAGGGTCTTATGGTCTGTCCATCCATTCATCCCTCCACAGTCAACGTTTAAAATAATGACCTGATTTCAGGTAACCATTAGGTAGTGAGAAACAGACAGACAGACAGACAGACAGACAGGTGTGTGATAACCTCCCTTTCCTCACTCACCCACCCACTCATTCACTGACTCACTCCCTCCCCTCTGTTGCACAGATCTCCAGTTGAGCTTTCCCCCCTCCCTCGCCAGCCCTCCCCGCACACAATCTTCTAGCCTTTAGACAAAAGAAACTAAACTTGCACTTAAATTTGGTCTTTACATTTCCAATGCAATTCCTGTGAAATTTCACGGCAAAAAAAAATAAAAATAAAAAATTGGCACGAACGCCTCTCCCCCCGGCCCCCCCCACACCCCACCCCCACCCCGCACCCCCAGAGACCTGAGACGATCCGTTTGTCCACCTGTCTCTGAGCCTCAACGCAGCCCCTCAATGCCGCTGTTTGGTTCAGCCTCTGGCTCTCAGCCTGGCTCAGTCGCACGGTTGTGGGTTGGAGCGGCCACATCGGAGGCTTTGAGCTCACAGTCCAGTGCGGTGTTGGGGGGGGGTGGTGGAGGAGAGCGCCGTGCGGTCGGAGATGCTATGTGTACATTGGCTGTCAACAAAAATACACAGCGTTACAAGTCACAGCGCCTGGCGGGATACAAACAATCCAGCAAAGTGCTTTGAGACGTCCTTCGAGGCGTGAAAGGTGTCAAATTCAAGGAGAACTGTTTTGTTATTTCGCCCCCCGCGCCCCCACGGCCGCTCTCCCTTCTCCCACCCACCAACACCCCAGCCCCCCCCCCCCCCCCCGGCCTCAGAGTTTTAACATGAAGAAGACTTCAGCCCCCTCCTCCCCAAGGTTTGACGGACCCTTGGCCCCCTGTGTGTCGGGGAGAGTGGGGGGGGCCAGGCTGAGGTCGGCACAGACGCTGCGAGAGTTGGAACACGCTCCCTCGGGGTTACCCCGCTCCTCCATCAGCCCCAGGAAGAGGGGGCTGGCGTGGCCCAGGCTCTGACACCGAAGCCTCTGCTCTCTCTCAGCCGCCTGACGGGCTCGGGTTTGCACGTATCGCACTCGGCTCTGGCTGCGGGAGGACGAACGGCGCATGGCGACGGGGCTGAGGTCCTCGGGCTCCTCGGTCTCCGGGGTCGGGCCCCCCGCCCTGGCCGTGGGCGAGGTGATGTCGTCCTCTCGCTCGAAGCTGGTCAACCTCCGGAGCCTCTCGGTCAGGTCATCGCCGTCGCGAGCGGCGGCGGCCTTGCCCCTCCCCCCGGCCGCCCGCCGTTGCTCCCTCATGGCCCCGGTCACGAAGCTGCGGCTGATGCTCTTGTACTTGCTCTGGAAGCTGCAGCCGATGTCCTCAGAGGTCAGGTCCCCCAGGCTCTTGGACTTGCTGGGAGCGGAGGCCACCCTCCTTGCCGGCTGCACCGCTCTCTGCGGCTTGGAGCCCGTGGCGGGCCCGGGTGAGGCAGAGGGGGAGGCCGGGGGTCTCAGGCTCTCCACGTACAGCCTGTTCCACGTGTGGCGTCTGGGGTGGAGGGCCAGGGGGAGAGCCGAGGGCGACGGTGGGGTCTCAGGAGGCGAGACGCTTGTCTCCCGGCTCTCCCCCTCGCCCTCCTCGGCTCGGAGGTTGGGATTGGACTTGCTCTTGCAGACCCCCCTGCTGTGCATCTGGCCCCGAGACCCGGGGTCCATCAGCGCCTCTCCCCCCCCGTCCCCGCCACCTCCCCGCAGGCAGGCGGCCTGCAGGTCGCACAGGCTCTTCCTGGCCAGGTTGGGCAAGGAGAGGTCGATGACGGTGTCGTTGGAGGACATGCTGGAGGAGGAGGACATGCTGTCCCGGTGGCTGCCTGGCTCCAGCTTGCACCAAATCCGGTCATTTACCGTCACGTCGGAGACGACGGCCGGCACCGGGGAGGGGTAGAGTTCGGCGGGGTTCGGCATGGAGGCTCGACGCCGGCTGGGCACCAAGCGGACATCCCTCCTGGCCTGGCAACTGGGGGTGCCTCCGAGACCGCCGGAGAGTCGTGGCTCGGAAACGGGAGCCGGCGCCAAAGCGACCGCCGCCTCGTCGCCGCCGTTAACGGCAGCGGCCCCGCCGGGCGCTGCCGGGGGAGATTCGCACCCCGCGCTTGTCTCCTCCGGGTGGTCGGCCGGTCGGCGCAGTCCGTCTGGTCCGACTCTGACTCCGGCTCCAACTTTCCCAAGATCTTCCGGGACCCGCTCTCCCGCGGCCTCCTCTCCCGCCGGTTCTGCGCCCTCAGCGCCCAGGATCGCGTCCCCGTTCCCCGCTGGCTCCGGACAGCCGGAGTCCGTGGCACCATGCGTGGCTCCCGGCTCTCCCGAGCGGCAGTGGTTTTCCCCGGAAAATCCGTCCGTCCGGCGGGAGCCGAGGGCAGCGCCGGGTTTCTCTGCCGGGAGTGTGGATTCCTCGCTGATGGTCTCCAGGGCGGGTGTCGGGCTGCCCGGCGCTGGGCACTGCTCAGCGTCTGAGGAGAGACAGAAACGCGCAAACCATCAACGCAACACGCACGACAGCTTCGGGCCCGGAGAAAGGGGATCAGTGAAACACACAGGAGTCAGAGACCGCGAATTCAACCTAGTTTTACACACGAGGGAAGATGACCAAAGGCACGCACGCACGCACGCACTCACTCACGCACGCACGCACGCACGCACGCACTCACTCACTCACTCACTCACTCACTCACTCACTCACACACACTCACTCACTCACTCACTCACTCACATGTATAAAGAATGGTGGTGGACACGACACGAGATTTATTGTAAATCTATGTAACTGGAGAGTTTTCTTTATCAACCTGTAACCTGTCGGGAGAGAAAGCGCTTCACGGGCGCAAGTCGCCTGTTGCGTCGGTCGGTCAGTCGGTCACACAATCCACGGCGCCTACACACGTCACACAGCACACACGATACACGGCACACACAGTACCTAACACACACGGCACACAGCACAAAGAACACACATGGCACACAGCACACGGCATGCAGTTACCGTCCCCGACACTTCATTGAAAATGTTACTCTCGAGACGGTTTAAAGACTGCGCTGCGCCACACGAGGCACGGACGCCACTTTAGACCTGTTCCTATCGATGTAAAAGTTGCCTCCAAATCCGTGGGTAACGATGTCTCAGCTCCTGGTGCGGTCTTCAAAAAAGAGACGGAGTTTCTCTCTCTCTCTCCTGGTGTCTTGGCTGACAATCCCCGGATAAAAAGCAATCCTTCTCTCATTTCGTGGCCGTTTGCGGGGACGTCACTCGGCACAACTTGGCTGCCGCGTTTCCCCCACGGAACGCTGCACTTTACAGTGACAATCCTGCAAAGCGCTTTACGACGTCTCGACGACGTGATAGGGCGCCGGATCCTAAGTGAGGATTATATTACGGGACGTAATATAACACACAAACCCAACACGTTCAATGAAGCCGGGGAAAGGAGGGGGAAGAGGAGAAGAGAACGAGGGGAGAGGAGAGAGTTACCTTAGTGATGTCCTCGAATCAGTTGTGCACTGCAGACCCCAGCCCGTGCCGCAGTTAGGGCAGAAGGTGCAAAACAATTAGTCCCGTGAGCAAACCACAATGAGAAAGAGACGAGCACACACACACCCACACACACACAAGGAGACGGATGGTGATAACAAACAATCCACGGGAATTAGGGACGCACTTCAGTGAGAGGGACACCGCTCAATCGTCTCGGAGTTCAGCTGCAGAGAAACTATTTCCTCCTCTGGCGGGTGGGGAGGGGGGAGATCCGGAACAAAGTGGGGGCATCGTCTTAAAATTAGAGCTAGGCTATTTAGGAGTGAAATCAGGTAGATTTTTTTTACACACACGTGGAAATCTGGAACTCTCTCTCTGTCCCAAAAGGCTGTGGATTGTGGTTGGACCCATTCACATTTTCAAGGCTGTGGTGGATAGATGTCCGTTAGGTCGGGGTATCAAGGGACATGGGATAAGGCAGGTATTTGGAGCTGAGGTACAGATCAGCCATGATCTTGCAGAATGGCGGAACAGGCTCAAAGCGCTGAGTCTTACATGCATGTTACGCCCCGAGTTTCACATGCGTGTTACACGCCAGGTCCCACACTCGTGTTAAACCCAGAGTCTTACAATGTGTCCTGTGTATATTACTGTGTGTTTACGAAGAGGGACAGACCGACCTATGTATTTGGGACCGTTCTCTCTCAGTCTGAAATCTTTGCATGTTCCTGCACTGGAAATTGTCCTGTATTTACCCTCTAACCCCCCCCTCCACCACCCATTGATATTTTACTTAATCTAACTTGTGCTGTTTTTGTAGGAGCCCCCCCCCCCCCCCCCTCGCTCTCTCTCTCGGGGGGAAATAGTTAGAATCTTGGAACGGGGAAGGCAAAGCAAATAGTTTGCTCTCAGCAGATTTCGCCCTTTGAGCCAAGCTCACAATTAACTCCAACTGTCCTCCCCCGCACCCCCCCCCCCCCCTCGGCACACACACAGACACAAAGACACACACAAGACCCCTTGACAATCCATTGGGGGCAGTGAATCCAGGCAGTATATTTAGGGTCTGACCAGGGTTGGAGCAGGCTGGTGGGCCTGGGCGAGGGCAGGGGCGAGGGCGGGGGTGGGTGGGTGGCAAGGCCTTGGCGGAGTGCAGGGTAAGCGAGTGTGGGATCGACACGATCTACAAACTAGACAAGGAGGGAGGGCTCCGCGCAATCCCCGCCCCCCCCCCCCTCGCCACCACCCATCCAGTTCAGGTCTTACCCGTGGAAAAGATGGGAGATTTGCTTCGGATTTCCTCCATTTTTTGGGCAAAGAGAGTGTTCATCTCCCGCTGCAGGGTCCCGGGGCGGGGGGGAGGCGGCTGGGGGGGCTGCTTCCAGCGGAACGCCAGCTCCAGGCTATCCATGCTCCCGGATTCCGAGGAGCCGCTGCTCAGAGTCTCCAGGTTTTCCAGGTCTCCGGTGCTGGAGGCGGCGCCCGGACAGACCTGGTGCCTCCACCGTTGATTGCCGTGAGCTTTGGCGTTGCGCCCGGCGCCGATCAGCCTCTCCCTCTCTGAGGCGGCGACGGTGGAGGCAGAGATGGAGGCGTTGGCGGCGGCGGAGGAGGTGGTGGTGGAGGACGAGGGTTCCCCTGGCGTCTGCTCCGGACCGCCGTCCCCCGCCTTGCCGTGACCCTTCCACTTGCGCTCCAGGTCCGGGCTCTCCCGGGAGCCCACCACGCACTTCATGCAGTTGGTGGCCACCCCGATACGGCCGCAGCCGTTGACTGCGCAGCGAGCGAAGCCCCCGGCGCGAGGCGGCTCCTCGGGCTCCCGCGCGCGCACGCGGTTCGCTCTGCGCAGAGGCTCACTGAAGGCCGCTCCTTTGGCCGCCCCGGTTGCCCTCGACTTGTGATCTCTGCCCTGACCCGTCACCCCCTTACCGTGGAGGGCTTCCCCGTCGGTGCCGGCCGTCCCGGAGCATTCCGGCGCGCTCCCGGCGCGCTCGGGCTCCGCCTCGCCCCCCCGGTCCTCGCTGGCTCCTTCTGAGCTGTAGCCTTTGGTGTCGATGGCGATCTCTGGGAAGCCCTTCTTGCTCTTTTGTTGGCCCTTGGCCGGAGCGCTGGCTGTCCGGCGCAGGAGGTGACTGTTAAAGGAGTGTTTGCGGGCGAGAAGAACAGCAACATGGCCGTCCAGCGAGGACTGCTTTGGATTTCTGTGGAAAAGTCCTTTTAATCCCAAGACTTGTTTGATCTGCGGAGCAGGGGAGACAGAGAGAGAGCGAGAGAGAGAAAGAGATAGAGAGGGAGAGAGAGGAGAGAGAAAGGTCAGCGTGTAATGAGCCTGTCTTCAGTTTTGCAAACCAACGCACTCAACGCACACACACACTCACACCTCAACCTACACACACACACACACATACACCCACCCAACACCCGTGCACTCACACACACACACACACACAAACAGTAACCTTGAGCAAACCTGAGGGACGGAGGAGACTTCGTTATCAACGACTCTTTCGAAGGGGCCAAAGTTGCGAATGGCAGCCCTTCCCGCGCTGTGTTAGTTAATGGATGAGGAGTAAACACGGATGTTGTGAGCAGCCCAGAAAGCAATGTGTTAATGTCAGCGAGTGTGTGGGTCCCTGCACGTTACTGTAGTGCGGCAACACTAATGTTATAATAATCCTTGCATTTGATACAGCGCTTTATCACTTCTTCGAGACGTCTCAAAGAGCTTCGCAGAACATGCTGTGAAGTGGAGTGACTGTGTATTTTGTGGGTGAAACGCAGAGGCCAATTACCCAGCAGTGTCCCCACAAACAGCTGTAGATTGAGTGACCGCATGTTTTTTCGAAGGGAGGGATTTCATCAGGGATAGGAGCGATGTTAGCATCATTCCCACCGGACATCTGGGAATCCAACACTTTTCTCCACTAAGTGGTACAAGGGTTTGTTGAGACGGAATTTTGTTGGAAAGTGACAATGGCTGAGGTCACTTTCAGGAAATCGCTGGTAACAGGAGTAGAACGCACAGCCCATGATTCGATATCTCCATTTCCCCCCCTCTGCCCCCTCCCCCCAAATTCTTCAGTCCCAGGTTACAGAGCAAATTACTGTCCCCCCCACAAGTCACTCAACTGTTAGAGGAGTGAGTTACACGAAATAACAGGCTGAATGGCCTCCTCCTCTTGTAACTTTTCGATGGGGATATTTTTAGCACAATCTATTTTTATATCGAGAGATGCACACAGTGAGAGAGAGGCACAGAAAAAGACAGAGGCTGAGAGGAATACATACGCAATGAGAAAGAGAGAGAGCGACACACAGGTACATTGAAAGAGAAATACGCAGTGTTTGATAGACACAGTGAGAGAGAGAGAGAGACACAGGGAGATGTGAGAGAGACCCAGAGAGAGATGCTTGCGCACACAGTGTGTGTATGACAGAGAGAGAGAGAGAGAGAGAGAGAGAGAGAGAGTGAGTCGTGGTTTCTAATCTGGGTTAGACGCCAGGTGAGAGCGCTGTAACAAGCCACAACACCAAACAGAATACTCTTATGTGCTGACGGCTGACGAGCGAAATCGCTGCTTTAAGATCCAGTGGGAGCAACAAGCCCAGTGGCTACATTTAGCAAAGAAGAGGTGAAGCCCAGGGAGCCCGAGGCACAATACAATTTGGAGATTGGAGATGGCTGCAAACAAGAAGCGCAAGTGTGGAAGTTGCGGGGCGGTAAATCATTGATGAGCTTCCTCGTGAAAAATTAATGGGTGGGAACACGCACCAAATTAACACACTAAACCAGGGCTGTGGAAACAAGTCAAGCTTCCAACAGGATCACGCTCTGGAACGCCGGTGCAGGATGTCCATTATTAATGTTGAGTCCTGTATTCCCAAGCGCTATTTCCGCCAGCGCTTGGTCCCTGGATTTTGCAGCATTTGCGACATCCGTGACTGAGATCAGATGGTGAAGACCTCCTTCTCATTCTCTGTCTCTCCCACACACATCCCCCCCCCCTCGCCTTCCCCTCCCCTCTCCCATCCGCAAATTGGGGTAAATTGGAAGGAGCATCAGATCAGCCGGTTTAAACTCAATGATGATACCAGGGGTTAAAGGGTTAAATTACGAGCGCATGTTGCATAACTTGGGTCAGATTCAGAGCAGAGTTGTTGTTGCTGGAGGGGGGGACAGGAGGGGAAGGGGGTTAGAGAGCGTTGGCCATGGAGACAAGCAAGATAATGGGAGAAACTGTGCAAGAGGCTGGCAGCGTGACAACTACACGAGACCATACCCCAAGGAGCTGATCATTGGCCAATTTGTTAACCTACTTTCAGGAGATGCAGATGAAGAGAACATTTGATATTCCACAGCTGCCAAAGAGAGAGACACATGGAGTGAGAGGGAGAAAGAGACAGAGAGTGATAGATACAGAGAGAGAGATAGAGAGATAGACAGAGAGAGACAAGATAGAGAAAGAGAGGGAGAAAGACAGAAAGAGCAAGATACAGAGAGAGAGAGAGACAGACTCAGAGAGAGAGAGACCGAGAGAAATAGAGACAGAGAAAGATAGAGACCGAGAGAGATTGAGTGATAAAAGAGAGAGAGAGACAGAGAGAGGGACAGAGATATTGATCATTGGCCAATTTGTTAATCTACTTTCAAGAGATGCAGATGGAGGAAACTTTTGACATTCCACAGCTGCCAAGAGAGAGAGAGAGAAAGAGACAGACAGACAGACAGACAGACAGAGAGCGCGTCAAAGAGAGACAAAGAGAGACAGGACAAAGACACACACGCACCACACATACAGTCAGAGAGAGAGAAAGACATGCACACGCAGAAAGATGGAGAGAGAACCGCACACACAGAGACAGAGAGAGAGGGGGGTGGGGGGCAGAGAGAGATACAGTCACACAGAAAGAGAGACACACACACACATACAATCAAAAAGAGACACCACAGAGGGGAACATCACAGTGGAGTCTGACCCTTTATTCTCCCAATCTCCGGGGGTTGAGGGTGGGATATCTCTCTGGACAGCGATCAAGAGATCTATTGAACTGAAGAAGTAGGCCAGGGTCAATTATGCACGATTTCTTAACAGATTTCTTAATTAAGAAATCCAGTCAAGAAAAAGGGCAAAATCGTCCCAGCAGTTAGTTCCGGTCGCAATTTTCGGGTGAGAGCGGACGGGTGGGCATTCGGCCAACCTGGACTTTGGTAGTAATGCAGCTTGGTTGGGCAATTATTCGGTCAGTCGGTTGGTCCTACTAATGTTAAAGGCTTACAAGGTGTCCTGCCCCACTAACCCCCCCACCCCACCGATCATTTATCAAAGTCGAAGGTCATTCTAATTCGCCATCTGCTTTCTGCTCAAGATTTAATTTCCCCCCCCCAACCAACCCAATTTTTTCAAATACATATTTTTTTAAAAATGCAAAACAGAAATCAGTAACGTGTCGGCAAATCCAGTGAGTCTACAGAGTCTGAAATAAGTTCCTCTCTCCCCACACGCCCGGAGAGGTTCTCGTGTACTGTCTCCGTATCATCGCACGCTCCAATTTGCACAACACATCTGTTCTATGCTTTCTGCCCAGGGACCAGACTGTTATAATTATAGAAAACGACCAAATAATGCCCCCAGCTTGTAGCTCGGAGATCGGTTCCTGAGCCGAGGGTCAGATCTGGTCACGGCAGGGCAGGGAGAGAAGGGATGGGGAGAGGGCCAAAGGTGGAAGATCCACTATTCCAATTATTCATCAAAGGCAGATGTGTCCCAGAATGGCGATTGGGAAAATTGGGGATTGAGAAAATTAGAATTCTACCTTTACAAATGTTGGATCAGGGAAAGAGGAAATTGGTTATCAATGAAAAGGCACGTTCTCAATGAGACTCTGGATCTGTTGAGATGCGATTTACTTGCGATTGGCAACACATACACAATGTATACACTGTGTATGTATCTCCGGCATCTGCCAATCTTAAGTGAGTTTGATGGACAAGCAGAGAGAGAGAGAGACTGAATTCAGGTACGAGCTGAAAATCGCTCAGTCCAGAAAGCGAGTCAATGTCAATGGCGTGACTAGCAGATAGGCATGCAGCTTTGTAACTGGTCTCACTACACCTTGCTGAGCCAGGAGGTAGGGTCAGTGCTCCTAACCCTGAGAGCCTGTGACAAGTGGAGGTTTGACAGAGAGGATTCCACTGTAATCACAAACAAGACAAAGAAGTGAAGGCAAATAAGACCACCCAAGACAGCACACGCCAAGAATCTGACAGATACAAACACATTGGGTCTCACACACACGCACACACACACACATACGCACACTCTCTGGTCAGTACCACTACCGAGGAGTGGAGCCTTAACACTAACGTGGTACCAATCTAGATGGTCAATATGGCTCTATCAATCCCGTCATTAGCTACTCACCTGCATTGGGACTAGTGTTGGGGTTGGTGGTTGATAACCTGCCGGGGTATTGGCACTGGGTAAGACAGCCGCAGAGGGTGGCTAACAGTCACCTACCCTGGGTTAGGGTTAGGGTTAAGGTAGGAAGCACCTATCTGAGTTACAAATTAGGTTATCTCAGTTTGGTTTGGATACTCTTTAAGCACGGTGAAGGGTTTCCGTTTGTGACCGAAAAATAAATGACCCACCTCCAATCCAAGGTTGGAGCCAGGACTGAATGGGTGAGAGGTGTCTTAGTCTAATTTTCCCTTTGAGTCAATTCCACAGATAAGAAGCGTTCAGACATTGAGCAAGGTTACGGAGGAAGGCTCGTAGAGTTAGCGGAAGGTTAGACACACGTTTTACAATAAGGAAGACACGCGCACACACACACACGCACGCGGACAACAACCCAGCCAAATGGGAGAAGGAGATGGAGAACTCCATTCACAGCAGAGATGGACGGGAAGCTTATCCGAGGAAGAGAAGGGGACAGATTGGAAGGCAGAAGGAAAGAACTTGCATTTTCCTACGATATTAGGAAATCTCGACCGGCCGTAGAGTAAGTCAGTTTTTTGCGCGCAGCAAAGTCCCACAAACATTACTGTGAACCGAACACCCGATATTACCTGGAGGATTGTCGGCCAGGACATGGGGAGAGAGAGACTCCCTTCTCTTTCCCAGGATGTTTTCCCTTACGAGACCCTAAATTCCACCCAATCTCCTGATTCTTTGGCTCAATATTTGAAGGTGATGGAAAACTGGTGAGTTCATAAACCTGAGAAACCGCAGGGGGCGGGTGAGGAGTGGGGGTGGGGGAAATAGCTTTCAAATTAATACTGGGTTTAAGATTTTTTTTCTCAGTGTGTGTGTGTGTGTGCGCGCGGCCAACAATGAAAAGAGTTTCAAGACGTGAAGCAACGTGCAGAGGCTGAACACCTTGGGGGAGAAAACATAGCACGTTGTCCTGAGTGAATTTACTTGTGACAAGAGAGGGGGAAGCAATATCTGCTTATCTCGGTCCATCCCCACTGGCCCCGGTTGGCTGATGTTCTCCTGGGAGCGGGGTTACCAGGGTGGCGCCAACCAGATAATGTCAGGTGACCTCCCGCCTTTGATAAGAGTATCAGTTCCTCCTCCCCACCACCCCCCCCACACCCCCCCCCATCAACCAGTGGCTCCTCTGGTGACCAGGCTGGCGATGGGTATATCGCCACATCCTGGACACCACATGCACGAGTGAGCAAGAAGTGGGTCCCACAGCTGGAGCATGACACAGGGGGGCAATCGTTGTTCCCGAGGGGAGAGCACGGTCCGTAGTACTTGCTAAAGTCTCCCCCGACTGAGGCGTTCACTCACCTTACCACTGATTTCATTGACAGCGACATGTACAAAGATAGAAGCCTCCTCCATCCCCTCCAGGTACACGTGCCGATAACCTGGGCAACCAGAAAGGCATGACTGTGACACTGTTCTCTCATTAGTCCCTTCCCCGCTTTCCCTCCCGGGGGCATGAGGGGAGGGGGTTGGGCTTGAAGGAGGGGGCCATGGTGGTAGGGGGATGGCCAGAAAGGCAGGGGGGGTGGCCCATGACTGAGGCAGGGGACCACAAGGCGGCAGGGGGCGGAGGGGCGGTGCACAAGAGCATGGGAGGAGCAACAAGGGCAATGGAGGGGCCTGAAGAGCAGGGTGGGGGCTACAAAGGCAGGGGAAGGGCCCATGAGACGGGGGGGGGGGGGGGGGGGGGGGGGGGGGGGGGGGAGGCGGGGCATGAGGGCAGAGGGGGGGGGACTCACCAGGCATCATGCTCGTGAACGCCAGTGTCCGTTGTCCGATGAAGTCGCGGCCGATGGGATCGTGGTCCCAGACCAAGAAGCGTACGAGAGCGATTTCAGGCATGTGCATCGTGAAGACCAGAGTCTCCTCCCACATGGGGTTGAACCCTGAGTGCAAAATAATATTAATAATAATTAATGAATTCTCTCCCCTGTACCCAGACTCAGGTGCCCGGCCGGCAGTGTCGAGTGTTTGACCTCCTCCTGACGTCAAAGCCGCTGCATATAATGCAAACTGTCTTTGATATAACGCCTCGCCGCGTCTCAGAGTGCTTCACAGGAGGTTAAGGTGAAGTGTAGTGACTGTGTATTTTGAAGGCGGACGTGGCAGCTAATTTCCTTGCAGTGACACCCCGCAGACTGCCTCCGCCTCCCCACCTTCCCGTTTGGAGATGCCCCTCCTTTGGTGTTAATTGGAGCTGAGGTACAGATCAGCCATGATCTAATAGAACGGCGGAACAAGCTTGAGGGGCTGGATGGCCTACTCCTGATCCAATTGATGATGGGTCACCTGAACCCATAAGCTGTTTGGTTTGGTTCTCGAACCCAATGTGTGTAAGAGCTTTGAGACGTCTCAAAGGCGTGATAAGGTGCTATATCAAATGCAAGGATTATTATTATCAGTGCATCAGGTACCGTCTCTGCCAATGTGACATCTCGGTCCTACACTCGTGCCCCCTCCTCCCCCACACTCACCGTTGTCGTCAACCACTCGGGTCTGCTCCTTGACACAATCGACAGCCAGTCCGATCACCTCGACCTCCACAAAGGGGTCAATTATCTAACAATAATAATAATAAAAATTAGAGTATTATAATGAAGTTAATTGTTATTACGCAACTATTATATCGTGTTATATTACTATGTTGTGCCTCAGAAATCGGTCAAGAAATAGCGCAAACGGTTCAAAAACAATTCAGTAATTTGCAAAATGTCTTATTAAGAAACCTGACGAACTCAGCCCTGCGAGCGCCCTGGGAACACGGATGGGACGCATGTACGGGGAACACGGCTGGGGGAACGCGGATGGGATACGGAGGGTGACACGGATGGAGACACAGCTAGCTACTCCTGCTGTGAGTGGCGTGGGCCCTGGCACTGACCTCTCCCCTGTCCCCCAGCATGGAGTCCTTGGGTTTGGGTAGTTGCTGGCCGCTGATGATCCTCAGCACTAACTGCTTCTTCGACTGTGTGGGCAGCGGTTCCTCGGCGGTGGGATTAAAAGTGCCTGCGGGGTAGGAAGTCAATAAAAACAGGGCAAAATCTGACCGGACCCTTTAAACAGAGCCATTTCCTTCCCCCCCATTGTGTTGCTTCTTCCCCCCTCCACACTCTACCCCCCACCTCCCCCTCCCGCACCCCCCCACCGAGCTTGTAGCCAATCTGACATCTCAGGACGTGAGGAGATGGGATGATGTGCCAGGGGGGAGGTGGGTGGCGGCGGGGGTGTGGTGGGGGAGGAAAGAAAGAGTGGGGAGAAGGGAAACCCTTCAATAATAATGAGTGAGTGCGTCCGAGTGTGCAGCTGGAAGCGTTAACTGCCGCTGTAATAATTCGCCCCCCACTCAAAAAAAAACTTCCGTCTGTCTCATCTCCACCACTGTGGCCCCCCACCCCCCCACCCACCCCCCACCCCCCTCCACCACTGTCCAGAAAAAAACAATCAACACTCAAGAGAGACTCCAGCCGGTCACACAACCTTTCCAATCCTGTCAAATAAATCCTCCTGAAGTAAGACATCACTCCGCAATAATCCTCGGCCTGGGACTTTGCTCAAAGTCATTTGATACGAAATTGGCTCCGGGAACCGCAGATGGTGTCAGTGTCTGAGCAGCAGGTTCAAATCCAGCCAAGGATTGATTAAAAAAAAACTCCACCATTCGTTACAACAATGATAATATTTATAATAACCATCCGAACATTTGATATAGCGTCTTATAATAATAATAATAATAATAATCCTTGCATTTGATGTAGCACCTCATCACGTCGTTGAAACTCTCAAAGCCTTTCACATCGGGAGGATCCTTTTTTAAAAAAGTGAGGGGCAATCACCAGATCTAGTGTCCCCCACCAACCCCCACGACCCCACCTACCCCCCACCCCCGCTCGTCCCCACACCCCCAAAACTTAACAACAGGCTCCCTGCTCCTCACCTTCCGTCATAAACTTGGGCTTAAGGACGTATCCGCAGTTCCCGTTGGTGTTAAACTTGGCTCGGTTCAGCTGTAGCACTCTCCCCTCTGACTGGTAATTCAGGGCAACTGATGGGAGGAGAGAGAGAGAGAGAGAGAGGGAGAGGCATCGGAAGAATGAGTGACTGTCTGGGTCTCATGCTCACATGTTCATCACCATCCCCAGCACAGCGACTGTCTGGCAACAGGAAGTTGCCAACAGGCGTAACGACTGCGTATTTTACAGGTTGGGCTACTTCCCTCTTTTCGTGTCCACCCACCATGAACATGCACAGGCGGAGAAAGCTCGGGTTTGATGCCTCACTGCCCCACACCCCCCAACCCCCCCCACCCCCGGCACTGCACTGAGCGTCAGCCTGAACTTTGAGCTCAATAATAATATGATAATAGCCCTTGTATTTGATATAGCGCATTGTCACATCCTGAGGATGTCTCAAAGCGCAGGAGCCTGTTGGCTTCAAGGGCTGAGGTTCTGTACCTAACTGGCAGCCAGCGTTCCAGAACGGCTGAGGGTTGAAGTTGCTGGAATCCACTCTGTAGGAGGAGGGGTAGATGCGGGATAGCTGCCACTGGTTGAATCGCAGGTAATGGTGAGGCTTTTGTAGCAGGAGCTGGTGGGTCTTAGCCTCGCTGAACGATGACACTTGCCAACTACACGAGACTGCGGGGGTGTGGGCGGGAGTGAAAAACAGAACACAGGTTACTGAAATACTAACCCCTTTCCCAGCCCCTCCTGCCAGACAACCCCTCTCCTCACAACCCCTTCGCCACACGCAGCCACTCAGACCCACCTTCTGTCTCGATGTCCTGTGTGCCGACAGACTTGGTGTACCTGACCAGGTCAGACAGGGCTCGGGACAACTTCATGGTTTTCTTCTGCCGCCCACTTCTGTGTGAGACACACAGCAGAGAGAATAGCACTATCAATCATAATAATAACAGTAACAATAACAACAAAAATAATATCAAAAATAATGATAATAATATTAATAACAAAAAATGATAGAACCAATCATAATAACAACCATAATAACAAACCTAATAACAATCATAATAATAACCATAATATTTCTTATATTGGTACAGCCCCTCATCGGGTCAAACGTTCTCTCATGACTTTACAGAGTTTTACACAGGGCGTTACAGCATAGAAACGGGCCCAACCGGGCTGCATGGGTGTTTCTCCTCTGTTCTACTTCTCCCTTGTGTTTGCCTCGACTTTCCTCTTAAACACATCAAAACTTTTTTTCTGCTTCAGATGGCAGCAGCGAGTTCCATCTATGCACGAAGAAAACTACTGTGAGGTGTAGTGACTGTGTATTTTGCAGGCGAATCCGGCAGCCAATTTGCTCGCATAGCAACGTCCCACAAATAAACCGACCAATTTTAACCTGGGGGGAGTGTCGGCCAGGATACCTGGAGAGAGAAACTCTGTTCTCTTTTCCTCTAGCGCCGCAGGAGTTTTTAAGGCCCATCTAAACAGGGCGCCGATGGGGGGGCAAGTTGGGTTTAAGGTCTCACTCTTTGGCCTCCAATGGTGTCACCCTCAAGCCTCAGTGATGGTTGAATTGGCACTGGTTACCTGGTGGAATGTAAGGGCATCTTGCCAGCGTTGGCTTGAAGCTCGTGATCATCCTCATTGTCTTCAAAGCTTGAGGACTTCTTCAACTTGGCTGTTTTTTTCTACATGGAACAAAACCACCGTCACGTATACGAGAAGAGCTTGTTGCATTTGATATTGCGCCTTATCACGTCGTTGAGACGCCTCAAAGCGCTTCACGGGATACACCGCAAAGTGAGTTGACTGTGTATTTTGTGGGTGAGACGCGGCAGCCAATTGAGCACAACAGCGTCCCCACAAACAGTCGTGGATTGAAGTGACCGCATTTTTTTTGGGTGGGCAAACATGGCAGCAACTTTGCACCCAGCGACATCCCACGACCAGCAGTGCCTTTCACATCGGGAGGACGTCTCGAGGCGCCGTGACTGTGTGTGAACGCGGCAGCTAATATTGCTGCACAGCGAGGTCCCCGCAAACAGTCAGGCAGAGAACGGATGATCAATTTATCTAGGGGGATGTCCTGTCAGTCAGGACATCGTGTGGGAGAGGAACTCCCTCCTCTTTTCCAATTGCTCCGCGGGATCTTTAACGTCCGCCTGAACGGGTAAATGATTCCTGAAGGGCAGGGTTTCTGACAGTGCAAGGGTGGCATCACTGTCTCGTCTGATCCCGTCCTCGCCCGGCATCTGGTGCTCTGCCAGGAGTCACAGGTTACAGGGCAGGAGGTCATTCAAGCACGGAGTTGGAGTTGGCTCTGGGTGGGAACAAGGAAGAGATTCCCTCCCATGTATCCGGCTCGGAGAGACGCCCATCCCACTGACCTTCCGCTTGGAGAAGCTGCCGATGAAGGAGCGACTGTGCCTCTTGTTGGTGCCTCCATCATCCCCAGAGCCCAGCCCGTCCTCGGTTCTGTGCTGTCAAGAGAGAGACAGAGAGAGAGAGAGAGAGACAGACAGACACAGAGAGAGATTAAATGAGAGACTTCTGATGGATGGTACCTCTGGCAATGCAAAGCCCTCCTGCTCTCCGCCCCCCACCACTTCCCCCCAACCCCCCCCCCCACCACTCTCCGCACCGCGAACACTTACTGTTGATTTGTCGCTCGCTGCCCCTCCCCCCGAACTGCTCTTCTGCTGTTCAAAGGATAAAATAATGACAAGATTATAACAACAACAACTGGCGTTTCCACAGCGCCCGTCACGTACAGGAACGTCTTGAAGCGTGGCACAGGGACGGTGGGGGTTTGGGCACCGAGTAAGAGAGAGATAGGAGGAGAACAAGAGAGGGGGGTGAGAGAGAGAGAGAGAGAGAGGGAGGGAGCGAAAGAGAGTGAGGGACGGAGGGAGAGGAGGAAGAGAGGTGTAGGTGGCACGTTGAAAGTGGTAGGATTTGAGGTGGGATTTAAACACCGAAAGAGATGGCGAGAAGGGGTGTGGGTGGGGGGGTGTTGGGGCCGAGTGGGAGAGGGAAGGAGTTCCAGAGGTTCTCAGCCCGTATCACCAAATGCTCCCAACTCACCGCACCCGCCCAACAGGCCAGAACCCCACCTGGTTTCTGCGCACCCCTTTTAACTGCTGGCGGTAACAGTCAGGATAACTCAGCCCCTTTAAGACCAACAGATATCCAGCTCATTCCCTTTCCTTCCTCCTGCCTTCCCCAGCCCGGCTTATGTTTATTTTTGCGGCTCTGTGATTAATGAATTCAGCGAAATTAAATGTTTTTTTTAAAATAAATGCTAATTTATGAAGATTGGGCTTCTGCCGTATTCAAAACGTCTCAAAAACAATACTCTCTCCTCTCCCTCCCCCCCTCCTATTCTCTCTCTCTGTAGATTTAATGATTGAAGGAAATTAAGAGAGACTTGGTAACCTTGGTAAAGAGGAACAAAATGAAGAGATTACATTTTATATAATAATAATAATAATAATCCTTGCATTTGATACAGCGCCTTATCACGTCTTCGAGACGTCTCAAAGCGCTTCACAGAATATACCGCAGAGTGCAGTGACTGTATATTTTGTGGGCAAAACGCAGCAGCCAATTGCGCACGAACAGTCCCACAAACAGTCGTGGATTGAGTGATTGAGTGGCCGATTCATTCTTTTTTAAGGGAATTATTACCCCCGGAAAAGCGATCCGCCAATCGACTAACAAACGGTTTCCTACTTACTGCTAGATAAACAGAGACGTGTGGAGTAAGTTGTCCAACTTGTCCAACGTTTCGCCCTGACGGGGGGATTGAATCCAGGTCTCTCTCTGTTCTAACCACTGAGCTACAGGACTCCATCACATGGACTCTCCAGTGCTATAATTACCAGCAAATGCAGTGGCTGTTAAATTTGCAGGTTACCATTAGCGCACGGCAAGCGTCCCCACAACCAGCCTTGAGGGGAATGGCCGATTCATCTGGGGGGTGGGGGGGAAAACCGGGAGACAGAAACTTCTGGAACGTTTTCTAAAACCTCTATGGAACTCCAAACGGGAGTCCCTCTCACTGGCTCCATCCGACTAGCTCCCTCTCTCCCACTCCTTGTTCAATGCCCGTCTTAAGACGTACCTCTTTGACCTCGCCTTCGGTCAACCCTCCCCTGCCCCCCACCCCTAACCCCCTCAACCCCCAAGCTGGCAGTGTTGAATGCTTTGAGACGTCCTCCTGACGTGGAAGCCCTGTGTTAGCGTTAACTGTGCGGTAGTCCCTCTGAGCAGGAGGTTTGCTCTGCTCACAGGATCCAGATGGACAGATTAAAGCTTCGATCCCAGGAACCTGGAACCTCCCCCCCCCCACCAATTCCCCTCTCTGCAGCCTCTCCCCCCCCCCCCCCGCGCCCCACCAGGCCAGCCTGGCGCGGATGTGATTATGCCGAACGGAAGAAAATATGTAAAACCCATTTCAATCTTATTTGAAGCCGCGATCTGACTTGTAAATTGATGCCTTAGCATTTCAATGACAAACAAGACAGTTGGCAAGGCAGCCCCCCCGTTGATCTTACAAAGTGCAGCGAAGATTGCGTCAAATTTCCTGAGAGCAGGGAGTTCTCCAGTCTCTTCGACCGCGCCTTCGGTCACCCTCCTACCTCTACCCTCCCTGCCCCCACCCCTCTTGATCCCCCCCACCCACAATTCGTGTCCAAATCCCCGACTGTCCAGCACTCCGACGTGTCCGGGCCAAAGATTCCCCCGCCAAAGTGAAGTAAAACATGAAGTTTTCCCAGAGGATTCCCATTTTCCCGGAGTTTTCCCGCTCGTGTCTCCCTACCTTCTTGGAGTTGGACGGGGAGAGGCTTTTCCCGGCCTGCGGAATGGCGTTCACACTGAAGCTGTCCGGATCTTCCCGGTCTCGGATCTTCGACTCCTTCATGAGCGAGTCCAGCTTCTTCTTGGCGAAGCTCTCCACATGCTTCCTGTTAGCCGTGGCCTGGAGACGAGGACGAGAGACCAGGGAGTCATTCGGTCTGTCCCTCCCGCCCGGCCAGCGGGGAGACATGAATCAAGGAAGCCACAAGCAGAGAGGACAGGGAAGGAGAGGGGGAGAGAGCGCGTCTCACATAGTGTGCGGTGCTGTGGGAATCGTATGCGCAGTGTGCTTCCTCCTACACTCCAGATCTCCTCACCTCCCTCGCTCTTCCCTCCCTCCTACACTCCAGATCTCCTCACCTCCCTCGCTCTTCCCTCCCTCCTACACTCCAGGACTCCTCACCTCCCTCGCTCTTCCCTCCCTCCTACACTCCAGATCTCCTCACCTCCCTCGCTCTTCCCTCCCTCCTACACTCCAGATCTCCTCACCTCCCTCGCTCTTCCCTCCCTCCTACACTCCAGGACTCCTCACCTCCCTCGCTCTTCCCTCCCTCCTACACTCCAGGACTCCTCACCTCCCTCGCTCTTCCCTCCCTCCTACACTCCAGATCTCCTCACCTCCCTCGCTCTTCCCTCCCTCCCTCCTACACTCCAGGACTCCTCACCTCCCTCGCTCTTCCCTCCCTCATACACTCCAGATCTCCTCACCTCCCTCGCTCTTCCCTCCCTCCTACACTCCAGGACTCCTCACCTCCCTCGTTCTTCCCTCCCTCCTACACTCCAGGACTCCTCACCTCCCTCGCTCTTCCCTCCCTCCTACACTCCAGATCTCCTCACCTCCCTCGCTCTTCCCTCCCTCCTACACTCCAGATCTCCTCACCTCCCTCGCTCTTCCCTCCCTCCTACACTCTACAGGACTTTAACAATGACTTTGCTCAGAACGATTTCTCCTCTGGTCCATTCCCAGGTGATGTCCTTCAGACAGGTTTCTGGATTTAGAAGTGAGGTGCCCCTGGGTCAGGCTGGCGTCATTGCTGAATACAAGACTCTTTGTTTTGGCCTTTTACGTCCCTCGTGTCTTAGATAACTTCCAATGTAAATGAAAAGCGGAGCTAGGGAGCGAGCCCCAGCGCTTTATTCCGGAGATTGATGTGGGCTAATTACAACATAGCACAGGCTCCAGCCTCAGGGCTCGAAGGGTGATCTTCACAACCATTCCAATGACATCCCAGGCAGCGTTAGGAGGTGAGGGAGGGACGGAGGGAGGGAGATAGGGAGAAAAGAGGGGAAAGCAAAGGGGAGGAGAGTGGGAAAGGGAGAGGAGGGGAGAGAAGAGGAGGAGAGAGGAGAGAATAGGAGGGGAGAGGAGGAGAGGAGATGGTTTCAGCCACTCCGCTTCACGGACCCCCACTTTCCACAAATTCTCTCCGTCTCGCTCTCTTTCTCCAATCCTCTTCAAGACCCACCTCTTCAATCCTCTCCCTACCCCTCGCCTCACACTGTCACTGTAAAGTGCTTTGAGGCAGCTGTGTGCACTGAAGGTTGCTGAGAGGGAGATGTATAACGTTGGATGATTTTGCCTCAGTTGCTCCGGTTGAAGATCACCGCATGCACAGGCGCGGGGGGAGGGGGAGACGCCAACGACAGAGGACCAGGAGTAGGCCATTCAGCCCCTCGAGTCTGTTCCGGGTGGGGGGAGGAGAGAGGGAGAGAAGGGGTGGGAAAACGTGCGCTCTAATGGGTTTTGCTGAGAGGGTTTATCACACAATACCTTCCACTTCAAGCCAACGCAGCAGCGGGCAGAGAGACAGAGAAACAGAGACAGATCAGAACAAATACTGTGATGGAGTGGGGGGGGGGCAGTCGGAGGAGGAGGATGTGGAGGGGGAGGAAGAGTGGAGAGTAAAATCAAGGAGGAAACTGCCCCCGAGTCCATCCTGAGTCAGACTGAACACAAACCCCCCCCCCCCCACTGCCACCCCCTACCCGCCCGCCAGCTACAAAGAAACTCACCACTCTCCCACACCACCACGTGTTAGGCACCAAAATTCCACCCAGTCTTAGCCCGAAGATATTTAAATCCAGTCTTAATTTGGGAAGCTGTTTTTTCTGTGGTTCCTCAAAAGTATATTCCTGGCTTCCGAGTTAAGACTAGATTGTTATTCCCCTCCTCTCCCCCCCCACACCGCCCACATCTCTACATCACAGAGTCCAGCTGGTTATAAGTAGACCCCAGCCTCGACCCCCCACCCCCTCAACCCACCCCTTGTGATAAAGTGATGATGAGCATTCGGGGAGCGGGAGGCTGTTTTGGAGTCCAGGGCTCTCTGTGAGGGACGCCTTGTTCAAACCTACACACCCACACACATACACTCACACGCGCACACACACACACCGCTCCATCCATTAAAGACACCTCTCCACGAAGCTGTTAAACTTACGTCTCCGTTCATTAATTTACATTCGTCTTCAATTTCATCCGCGCTGTCTTCATCCGATACATCACCTTCCTCTGCGTCTGCACTGATATTCGCTGGGAGTTTCTTACCCTAGAGAGATGGGAGGAAGAGAGAGAGGGGGAGGTGGGGGGGTGGGGGAGAGCGTGGGGAGAGGGAGAGATTCAGCGAGAGCAAGGGAGAGAGAGATATAGAGAGCGGAGAGAAAGGGGGGGAGAGAGTGAGCGAGACAGACAGACAGAGAGAGGGAGGCAGAGAGGGGAAAGAGAGGTGGGGCGGGAGGTGGGGGAGAGAAAGGGGGGAGAGAGAGAGAGTGATACAGTCAGAGAGAAACAGAGAGAAAATAAATAATATCACTGGCACTGCCCGTTGTTGTTTTCGCTCTCAAAAAAAAGTGAAGGCAACTTTTCCCAATAAAGGTTGAGATCTCAGAAGTAAAATTGTTTGGGATTTTAAGGCACAAAAGTGTGTCGTGTCGCAGGTTAACACCCGGTGGGGTGGCAGGGGTGAGGGGGGAGGGGGGATAGGGGCAGCGCCAAGCTTGGCATCGGTGACTAAGGTCCCGGTTTGGTTTATCTGAATCTGTTTGATTCAACCTCAGAAGGTTGTGAAACGCGAGGAGGCGTTCACGGGGGGAGGGGGGGGGGGGTGGAATCTAAGATCTAAGGAGAGAGGGGAGGGGAGGAGGGCCTGGGCTTGGTTGGAGGGTGGGAGAGACATTCATCAAAGCTGCCCTCAATCTCTCCAGTGTTGTTGCCCCATTTAGAAACCTCTGCAGGAGGCAAAGACATTTCTAGTGCACAGTGCTGTGACCTTCAACATACATCACAGGCTTCAATTCCGCAATGACTAACATAGAGATTGCAGGCCAGGGAAGGGATGGGAGAGGAGGGGACATCAAACTAAATGTGGCTCACTCACCCCTGGGGGTGTTGGTTATTTTGGCACGAGGGAGGGTGGGGAAATTGAGGTTGTGTGCGGGTGGAGGGGCGGGGAAACAAGAGTAGAAATAGACAGGTTGGCATTGAGCTCTCTGGGTTTGCTCACAGCTGTGAAGTGAACGGCCAACTTTATCCCTGGGGATTGTCGGCCGGGACAGCGGGAGAGAGAAACTCTTTTCCGACAGTCCGCCCGAACAGGGGGGAACGGAGATTGTGTATGTGTGTGTGTGTGCGTCTCGAGTTAACATCTCATCCAGGACAGTGCCTCCGACATTGCATTGCGCTGGAGCCTGAACTGTGAGCTCCAAAGACTTCAGGGCACAAACTACGAGGTGAGAGAGCAAGTTAGAGACAGTGTCCGGCCTCCTCGTGTGCTCTGTCATTGACTGTGGCCCAGGCAGGAACATCGCTGAGTGTCTCTCTCCGTACCTTGATCAGGATCTTGCCCCTCAGGCTCTCGGGCGATGGCAGCCGCGATGGGTCGTCCGTGCTGACAGAGGTCAAATCCAGTTTGTCGCCCAGAACCTCACACAGGTGCCTGGCCATGGCTTTCTGCTGGGGCACGCTGCAGTGGTTCTCAATGGACAGGATCACAGGGTAACTGTGGGGCAGAGAGAGGGCGTGATTGCGTGAGAGAGAGAGAAAGAGAGAAATAGAGGGGGGGGGCGGTGAGAGAGAGGGATAGAGAGGTGGAAGAGAGACGGGGAGAGAGTTGGGGGGGGGGAGAGAGAGAGAAAATAAGGAGAGAATGAGAGCGGCTCAGGCCACTCTCCCACCCCCACCTCATTCCCCACGGACACTTACTCAGTCTTGGCAAAGGCGTATTTGTTGATGGTTTCGATCACATCTCTGAAGAGGATTTTGGAGGTGAGAGTGTACCCGTGGTGAACGATGGGCTCTCCGTCCGGGCCATCCCAGCAGTCAACTGTGGCGAAGACACGTGAATGATCAGTGAGCGGGGGTGGGGAGGTGGTGGGGGCAGAGAGAATCTCTCCCCTCAGACGCTCTGCGCTCTACACAAACCATCCACACACGGGCCAACTGCTGTGCGCAATTAGCTGCTGCGTTCCGTCCACAAAATCCACAGTCACTCCACTTTACAGTATAATCTGTGCAGCGCTTTGAGACGGTTTGACGACGTGAAAAGGCGCTGCATCAAATGCAAAGACTGTAAAGAATGCAAGGCAGCATCGATACAAACCACAGCAGTCTTAATAATCCTCGCGTTGGGCACAGCCCCCTTGTCACGTCTGGAGGACGTCTCAAAAGCGCTTCACCGGGTTTACTGTGACGTGTAGTGACTGTGTGTTTTGTGGACGGAAACGGCAGCTGACTTGGCCACAGCAACGTCTCTGCAAACATCTGCGAAGCGAGTAACCGATTTTATCGGGGGGGGGGGGGGGGGGGAGAAGGGGAGGATTGGCGGCCAGACAAAGGTGTGTGGAGGAGACGGGGAGAGAGAGAGACGGGAATTCGGATCAGGATCGGTGGCTTCTTGGCGGAGGAGAGACCGACGGGAGTGACGGGGATGGATGTCCAGTTTTCCGGGGGCTTAAGAGAAGGGGACGTACCCTCCACGCAGCGGCAGCCAGCCTGCAGCACCCAGGCGTACATGTCCACTCGCGACTGTGACATGAGCTGGTCCCCCATCAGGTAGGTGTTGTGGGACGAGGCGATGTAATAGTTGCACAGCGGCTGCCTCATGTCCTGATTCACACGGTTATGGTCCGGGTTATAGATGTCGCCCACTGGGCTGCGCATGTAACTGGTGAAACCTGCAGCGGTACAGACAGTGATCAGTCACACTGCCCAACAGCCCTCAGACCCCGCGCGCATGTGTGCGTGTGCGTGTGTGTGTGTATGTGTGTGAGCAAGTGTGCGAGTGAGTGTGCCAGAGTGAGCATGAGTGTGCAGTTGAGTATGTGAGTGCGCGAAAGTGTGATTGTCTGTGTGGGTGAGCATGAGTGTGCGAGTGTGTCCGAGTGTCTGTGCGAGCGCGAGTATGAATGTGCGAGCAAACGTGTGTGAACGTGCGTGAGTGAGTGTGTGTGAATGAGTGAGCGAATGTGTTTGTGTGTGAGCGTGTGTGTGTGTGTGGGGGTGGGAGTGAATGAGTGTGAGCGTGTGTGTGTGTGTGTGAGGGTGGGAATGAATGAGTGTGAGTGAGTGTGAGTGTGTGTGTGGGGGGGGGGTTAGCACACTCACCATCAATCCCCAGCGCCCCCTGCTGCTGATTCTCAACACACGGTTCAAATTTCTTAATCACCTCCAGGCAATGCTCCCTCGTCACATTGGTCATCTGCAGGAGCGAGAGAGGGAGAGAGGGAGAACATGAGAGGAGAGAGAGAGAGAGAGAATGAGGACTAGTCTCTCTAATCTCCGGCAGGGTTGCTCTCCGAGCCGGCTGCAGTTTAAGGGCCGGCGACGTGGAGTATTTTATGGAGTCACACATGAGACAGACCAGTGCAGCACTGAGCAGCCCAGTGCAGCGGTGATCTGCTTTGTACCGGTGACCCACAGACTGGGACGCTGCCAGTGCAGTGTTAAACCCTGGTACAATCTCAGTTGGGAGTGTATTTTGTCCCTCGGGGGCAATACCGGAATAATATTTTTGTGGGGGGGGGGGGGGGGGGGGTCAGCCGGGAGAGACCTGTCACCGTGCTTAAGAGTGTCCAAATCAAGCTGAGAATTCCATCCATCCGACCCACTTACACGTGGAAATCCCAGGGATAGATTGTTGGAACGAAATGCGCTCTCTCTCCCTGGAGAGAGAGAATTACCTAATTCTGGAAAGTATTAGGCGCAGGTTGGCAAGAGCAAGCGTTATTAATGCTCCAAAAAACAATTTGTGGGTCACTCAATCCATGGCTGCTTGTGGGATGCTGCTGTGCCCAATTTCGGCCACAAAATACACATTTTGCAGTGTATCCTGACAGGCAGACGTCTCAACAATGCGATAAAGCGCTCTATCAAATGCAAGGATTATTATTATTATTATTATTATCCGATAGTGCTCCCCACCCCCCCACCCTTCCCCACCACACTCTCGAGCACGGCATTGAGAGAATAACATCCGGGTCCTGTTGGAATTCTATCGGGGCCGACCAGTTCAGTAAACCAACAAACAAACGATCAACCAAACAAAAATAAAATAAAGTAGCTTGCTGGAGCCAAGCTGCCCTCACCAGTTATTACACTTTATTAAAACTCATTCCCACCGCTCCCCCCCACTGACTGAGCGGACATTTAACCACTTTATTTTTTACCCCCGCAAGGTGTCTCGGGAAATGATTGTGGAAACATTATCCTATAAAACACCGGGCCACAGGGACGGCTCAAGGCACGGCTCTCAGATTTCATTAAAGATGTTTTGTAAAAGGACAGCGGAATTATTAGTCTCATCACATTCTGGCTACTTCAGCTTCTGGTTTTCGCCTGCTCGGGTTTATCGAGATAGCTTCGACTCGGCAGGCAAACACAGCTCACAATGTCTCTGAAGGGTTTTTCAATGGTCAGCCCGGTATCTTGACACAGGCAGAAACCCGCTATAATAATATGATGATGATAATCTTTGCATTTGAAATAGAGCTTCATCATGTCGTTGAGATGTCTCAAAGCGCTTCACAGAATATACTGTAAAGTGAATTGACTGTATATTTTTGTGTTCCCTCCCTCCCTCACTTGTTCCCTCACTTCCTCTCTCGTTCACCTTCTGTTCCACCTCCAGGAAGCGTTGGAGGTCCTCTGTGTCCAGATGATCCTTGTGGTTGCTGTACATCAGCATCAGCAGGTACAGGTCTCGGCGTGTGGACATCATCTTGTAAAAGGAACAGAATTCCTCGAAGTCCAGCGTGCCCTGGTTGTCATCCGTGTCGGCCTCCTAACGGGAGGGAAGGAAACGGGGTCAGAGCGGCGATCATCAGCCTCCCTCTCCCCTACTCCTCCCTCCCCACCTCTCCGAGCCAGGCCTCCACTCCGCAAGTGGCAGCTCTGATGTGCCGGGCTGACCTGCGTCCCACCACCCCGGGAGGCCGTTTGATTTATGGCGTGGGGCCGCGCTGGCCCATCGTGCGTGTCTATAAATAAAACTCCTGACCTTAATAACAGCTCCTCTCGTTGAGCCTCTCCTCATCTCTGAGCAGACACTTCCGCTGATCCCATTAGCGAGCGCTAGGGACTTGACGTTTGGAAAGGTGCTGCAGTTAGCGCTGTAATCCCAAATCCTCTGACTCGAGATGGCTTTACGCAGGGAACGAAGGAGCCCGGACTCCATCCGAGGCCAATTTTGTGTGACTCAACGCTCCCCAAAACCTCACCCCGAACCTTCACCCCAGTCAACCCATTAACAGAAGCACCAGGAAGAGGAGGAACTGGGAGGGGAAGGGGGATTTAATACTGCACCTTAAGTAAAGCCACCTCCCTCTCCCCCTCGCTCGGTGTCCGATTCCCGACTGCGCAGCGCTCACAGACACTATCCTGCATGAAGGACGCTGTGTAAATGCAAGTTGTCATTGTCTGGTCAACTATGTTTCTTTCCATAATCTTGGCTTCGACACATCGTCTGGTCACATCGTCGAGATGTCTCAAAACGGGAGGATTCTCCAGGGAAGTGTAGTGACTGTGTGTTTTTGGAGGCAAACAAGGCAGCCGATTCTTTAACCTCCGCTTGAACAGGGAAAGACGGGGGGTGGGGGAAGGAGGAGGAGTGAGGTTTAACGTCACGTCTGAAGGACGTTATCTCAACAATGCTGGAGCGTCAGTCTAGATTGTGAGTTCGGAGTGCGTGGCCTTTGGAGCTGGAATCAAATGCGATGCTTTAAAACAAATCGTTAATAGTTTTCATGGGCGACTGATTGCTACAGCAATGTGGGAATGTGTAATAAAGGGATTAGCTCCGCTCTCACTGAGCGTAGGGCACTACTGATTACACATTATAACCAACCATCTGGGCTATGCAAGACATATGCTCTGAGCCCTTAAATACTGTCTTTACTTAATAACGCAAGCTATTATATTAGACTGGGGAAATGAACTGAGTCTTGTGCGGATCACTCCAGCGAAACACTTCATGTCAGCAGTTTGTTTTCAGCCTTAACTGCAGACTGACTGATTGCTCCCATTCCCCACCCCCCGCACCACCACTATTTTTTCCGCACTTTGTCTTAATGCGGGGTCTGAGCCGCTGGATAGAGACACGGGGTTGCCCTGAACGTGGAAGGTGGAATGGTCGGGGGAAGGGGTGGGATGGGAGGAAGGGATGGACAGGCTTGGTGGGCTGAATGGACCTTCTTCTATTCCTACAACAACTTGCATTTATATAGCGCCCGTCACGCAGGACAGTGTCTCAGAGCGCTTAACACCAACAACAAATTATATTTGTACAGTGCCTTTTACGTCAGGAGGATGTCCCAAGGGGCTGAATAGCCCAGTGTATTCCTGTTCAAGTATAAGATGTTCCTCGACTGTGTGTGTATGTGTCTTTGTGCCTCATAGTGACTAGAGGCAAAGGGCCGAAGTGGCTCACCTTGAACATCTGCTTGACTTTCTGCCGAGGCAGATTGACGTTCAGCTTGTGCATCAGCTGCAGCACCTCGCTGATACTCAGACTCCCATCCCCGTTCTTGTCCGCCTCCGTAAACGTTTGCTTTAGCCACGTGGAGTGGGAGTGAAGGATGACATTAACAACGAAAGGCCGCGAGATCGGATTGGATCAAGGAGCCCCTTCGGCCCATAGAAACCCATCCCCACACACCCCCAGAACACACACGCTATCGTCCCCCTCCCACCCACCCCATCACAGCATCGAGCTGCTTTTTTAAATGAGTCCCAGTGTCCTAGCCTCAACCACTCTTCCCGGCATCCATGTACCAGTCGTTAATTACCTTCTGGGTGAGAGAATGGTGGACATTAACATGGGGTGGGGGGGGGGGGCTGGGCAGGATTCACTAGCAGCCACAATACAACCCAATATTCAACTCCAAACCACCCCCACACCCGAAGAATAAAGCTCTAAAAAGAGTGTGGGAGTTCGTGGTGGAAGAGAATTGGTGAAATACGCTGATGTGACAAGCTAACAAGGGGAAAAAAAAATCCACTTTCCCTTCACTCAGCTGTTTCTCGCCTCCTGCTTGTCCCTCATCAGGAGCTGGAGACGTTATGCAGGCGGGGGGCGGGTGGGAAAGGATATTGGTCGCGGGTTCTCTGGCGTTTGGACAGGCTGTCCTCGTCGCTGATCCCTGCCATCAGGTACTTGAGGCCAGTGATCCACGTGCGAGACTCCTCTCCTCGGGAGGAGATCAGATCCAGCGACTCCATGTGGTCCCCATAATAAATACTGAAGCAACAGTTGGGGTCAAAGCTGCCGTCCGAGTAGCGCTGGAAGATCTCGGACTGCTTCCCCTCGCACACCTCCCGGATGGCATCTATGGAGACTGAAACGCACAGAGAGAAAAAGCAAGGATTGAATGGCTGGGTGAAACACAGAAACAGGAGTAGACCATTCAGCCCTGCAAACCCCTTCTGCCACTCTATCAGATCATGACTGATCTGTACCTCAAGTCCAATGGTATGTGCAGTAAAGAAACTTGCCTAAGGTTTCACCCTGCTCGGGAATCAAACCCAGGTTCTCTCAGTTGTGAGGCGAGGGCTCTAACCACTGAGCTACAGGACTCCACACAAAAAAAAAGCAGCACTACCTCAGCTTTCAATCAGTTACCTTAAAAAGCAATAACTTTCACCGTTTCCTATATTAATTAATAGCGATTCACCTCATTACAACGGCAACTCAATAAATCAATAAGTTCCTCAAACGATCCAGAACAAATGGAACAAGTGGTGTTACACAGAGGCCCTGCTTGACTAATGGCAGCAATTCACTCTAATAAATCTTTAATTCGATAATTATTCAGAGCTCGGAATATGTGCTCATTAATAAACCATTTTGCGCATTAAAATCCATTAAAATCCTTATTCAAACACAATTTCCCTCCCATCTCTTTTCACATGTCACCAGCCCAACTAAGCCTGGGCAAAACACTGAAATTATATTAATCTTTGCATTTCACTTGTGCGTGTGTGTGTGTATGTGACTTTGTATGTGCATGTGTTTGGGAGACGGTTTGTGCGTGAGTGTGTGTGTGAGAGTGTCACTGTGTGTGTGTGAGCGAGTGTGTGTGTGTATCTGTGTGTGTATATCTGTGTGGGTGTGTGTGAGACACAGAAGGTTTGTGTGAGTATGTGTAAGTGCGAGAGTGTATTTATATCAGTGTGTGTATATCTGTGTGTGTGTGTGTGTGGCTACCTGTATGTTTGTATGATAGATGAACAGAGCGGGCGTTGTATTTAACGTGAGAATAATAATAATTATCATTGATTATGAATGTCAGGTGACACAGTGGAAGGTTGTCCTCCCAGCTCGCTGACACCCAGACGCAGAGTGTGTTTGAGATCCCCCCAGTCGCTGTCTTGCCTTTTACAGACATTTATAATTCACAAGTCACCTTATTGACCCATCTGGAGCCCAGATCACCATAAGCAGGTTTGGAAGTAAATCTGCTTCCAACACTAAACCCTGTCTTACAATTCCCTGGGACGATCAGACAGGGCAGTCAATCCCACACACCGCATCTGCTTAGCAAATAGAAGCAGCAACAAAAACAAGTGACATTTACACAGCGCCTTTCATGTCGGGAGGACGTCCCAAGGTGTTGGACAGTTAAGGATCAGTCAAGCTGGGGGTTGGACAGGCCGGTATGGGGTTAGGAGGTCACAGAGGTAGGGAGGAGCAAGGCCCTGGAGGCCTTTGAAGGCGATGACGAGGATTTTGAACTGTATCCTCTAGGGGCCTGGGGAGCCAGTGGAGCCGGACGAGGATAGGTTCACGGAGCCTGGTGTGGGAAATCACACAGCAGTTGTACCATCCATGGGACAAGTGCGTGAGAGCGTGGCTGAGCCCAGCTGCCATCTACAAGCAGGGGAACTAGCTCCAACCTGATATCTATACAGAGCGGACAGGAGTGGACGATAAGCAGGGAAGAAAAGGAAATTCTGCAAACTTTCTCCCCCCCACTAACAGGAGCTGGGATTGGCCTGCTCCCAGTGAGTTCCTTGCTCCTCGCATTATCTTGCGCGTCATGAATTATAGACCGGCCACTCGGATGCCAAGTCACCAGTGTCTCTGCAATTTATTCATCTGAATTATTAATATTACAATTACACTGAGGCCGCAACAGCTGATAAGCAGAATCATCCAATGTCTACACGCTGTGCCAACTCCAAGGGCAACGCAACGTGGGGATCGAACCCACCCTCTGGGGTGGTCTTTGTCAGGCGGGTCCGCAGTATTCCAGGGCAGTGTTGATGACAGCACAGCCCAACCTGGCTCATCGGCAGGACTTGGAAGGGCAGACCAGTCACTGGGGGCAGGGAATCCTTCCCACTCAGCTCCTGCTAACCCTGCAAGCCAAAGCCCTAACGAGTAGGGTGCTCCTAGCTGGACAAGCAGCGGGAAAGCTTGCCAGACAGCGCTATCAACGGCAGAGGTTTTAGCTGGTTAGACTCCAGCAGTTACCCCAACGCACACTCTTGGGTCCCCCCAAGCCTGTGCTTAATACTCTCTGGAATTAGGTAAGCGTTTGACACGGGGAAATTTCCACGTGCAGGTAGCAGGCATGTCAAAGTGTGTCAAAGAGAAAGGGAGGGAGGGAGGGAGTGAGCAAGGAAGGGATTGGAAATGACGAAGACTGAGAGTGAGCGTGCTCAAACCCACACCCTTCTGACCAGGATGATGAGAGCAGGAGTTGGCGTAAACTTACTTTTGGCTTTCTCGTTCTTCCGTGAGGGTCTCCAGCGGATGCACGACTTGTGCTCGTCCAGGTAGTAGAAGCGCAGAAGCCCCTTGGAACTTCCTCTCAGCTTCACCATCTGCGTCCCCGACTGCATGGCACTCATACAGCGCTCCACTGCACAGAGAGCAGAGCAGATCAGCCCCAGCCCCAGCCCCAGCCACCCAACCTGGCCACAACTACACCTTCCAGCACAGCTTGGCGTAGCAGCCAACACAGAGAGACGGAGACAGAGAGAGGGAAGGGGGGGAGAAAAGTAGATTCTTCAAACATCCCCCCCCACCCCCCCAACGTCGCCTGTCTCCTTTTTCTTTCTCCTCTATCTCTCTCTCTCTCTCTCTCTGAAGAGAGGAAGATAAAGGGAGACAGAAAGAGAGGAATAGAAAGGAAAGCTAAAAGGAGAGTAAAAGAGGGAGTAGAAAGAGAAAAAGAAACACGGAGAGGAAGAGTGAGAGTGAGAAAGAGAGAGAGAGAGAGAGAGAGAGAGAGAGAGAGAGCAAGGAGAGAGGGAAGGAGAAAGATGTGTGTAAAAAAAGAAAATTGAACTTGCATTCCCTAGCACCTCGCCCCATTGATAGGTCTCAAAGGTCTCAAAGCATTTCGGCTATAAAATATACACAGTCACTACACGTCACAACGTATCCTGTGAAACGTACAGATTTTGGGTGGGGGGGCGGGGAAGGGGAGACGTGGACCCACAAAATAGCCCCTGCATCCAACTCGCTACGCGAGGCCATGAAAATACGACCTGTGATGTGTTACTAGCACATCGTTGAAAATTCCACCCAGTGGGAAGCTTCGAGGCTGACGGTCGCTGTGAGAGAGAGCTCTGAGATCATAGTGGGTAGAGGAGCTATCAATAAATGCAAGTGTTTTCTGTCTGTGTCCCCCCCCCCCCCCCCCCACGCACAACACACCGAGCACGGCACAGGTCAGGCACCCACGAAAGCTCTGCCCCACCACTCGCATCCCTGTCTCTCTCTCCTCTCCTTTTTTCCTCTCTCTCTTCTTCTCCTCCTCCTCCTCCTCTCCATTTTTTCTCTCTCTCTCCCCCCCTCTCTCTCTCTCTCTCTTCTTTCTCTCCGCTTTCTCACTCTCTCCTTTTTTTCTCTCTCTCATCTTTCTCACTCTCTCTCCCCCCCCCCTCTTTCTCTTTCTTTCTCCTATCTCTCTCTCTCTCTCTCTCTCTTCCTCCTCTTTCTCTCCCTTTCACCCCCCTCTCTCCCCTTGTTCTCCCTCTGTCTCTCCTCTCCGGAGGCTGGCCCTCTCTGGCCAGTGTGGCGTTCACACTTTGTGACCCTGTTTGGGGTAAATAAATAATTAAAAGCTGCGGTTCTGTTGGTGCAAATTGGCCTGATGTTAAATCCGAGCTTTCCTGCGCTCGACTCCATGAATAATTAACACCAGAGACCTCGTTACCACCAGATCCAGCCCTCCGCTCGTTCCCTGCTTTGGGAGATGAGCAACGACCAGAATAATAATAATCATCCTTACATTTATCACGTTGTCGAGACGTCTCCAAGGGCTTCACAGTGTATACTGTAAAGTGGAACGACTGTGTATTTTTATGGGCGAAAAGCGACAGCCAATTGCGCACAGCAGTGTCCCACACACAGTCTGGGATTGAGTGACCAAATTATTTTTTTTTAAAAAATGTTTTGAAGCGATTCTTGGAGTAAGGAAACATGCCCAAGGTTTTGCCCCGCCCAAGAATCGAACCCGGGTCCTCTCGTTTGCCAGGCGAGTGCTCTCACCACAACCCTACAAGACTCCGTGCAGTGGCTGAGTGTAACCTAACTTGTTCCCAACTAGTATTTCCGTGATACGGGTGTAATGGAGTCCGTGTGAGACCTCCAGTGTAGTCTCAGGAAAGCGATTGTGCGCCATGGGCAAACCACGTGTAAGGCGGAGAGAGGGACGTACTGTCGAATTCGCTTCATTGGCTGTAAGTCACCTAATGAAGGACACCAGTAGTTTGTCCTGTGCACTCACGTTTACACGTGGTTTGCACAAAGAGCATAACACAGTCATCTGTACACATGGTTTGCACACGCCGCGTGATAGTCAACTTTTTTTTGGCAAATAGAGCATGATAAGCGTTGCTTTTACACATGCTTTGCACATAGCATGAATCGCATAATACAGTCACCTTTATACTACTATTATTTAGCTTCTCCAAAGACCCAAGTTCTCCCCCCACTCACACGCATCCCTGCCACCTTCACTAGGCAATACTGACCATCTTGGGGTTGGGGGGGGAGAGGAGGTGGGTGGGGGAGAGGAAGGGGAGAGAGCCGCGAGCCGAGACCTACCGATCTGCCCGACCTTCCAGAGGGGGGGCGAGGCCACACTCCCACCGATCCAGAAGAAATCCCGAGCGAGACGGGAGACGATGGACCTGTGTCGCAGCACAGGCTGGGGGCTCATGGTCCTGGAGTTCATCTCCTCCCCCACCCTCTGCACTGCCCCGCCGCCCCCCCACCAAAAAAAAATATAGAAAAAACTAAGAAGAAAAGAACGACGGCTACTGCGAAACACCTCCCTTATGCTTCCCGATTTCTCAGCGTTCCCAAAACTTTCCTGGAGCGGAAAATGCCATTTCACTCCCAACTTCCGAATCTTGTGCGGAATCACCAGACCATTCCCTTAACCGTCCTCTGTCGCTCCCTTTCCTCTCCTCTCCTCTCCGTCCGGAAAATAAATACACTATATATATATAATCCCGGGAGATAGGAGGGGTGGTGGTGGTGGTGGTAGGGATGGGGGTGAAAGACACACACTCGGCAGATCCCGAGGGGTTTCCTGGAGTAAGCCCTCGGAAGCAACGATCACGGATTAACAAGCGATCGTGTCAGAAGCTTTGTTAGACAGAGACACAGAGAGAAATACAAGGAGCAGCTTGTTCCCAGCTCACAGTTCCGTTCCCCACTCACTGAATGAAAGCCACAGCAAAACATGTCTGCACAGAGCGTAAATCCCTTTAGATTGTAATCCAAAAGCTGTCAGCGCTGGATAGGATGGGTCAGGGCACGACAGGGCTGGGTTAGGCGGGGCTGGGCTAGTCAGGGCTGGGCTGAGCAGGGCTGGGCTGGGCAGGGCTGGGATGGGCAGGGCTATGCTGGGCTAGGGCAGGGGGCTGGGCAGGGCTAGGCAGCGCAGAGCTGTGCAGGGCAGGGTAGGGCAGGGGGCTGGGCAGCGCAGGGCAGGGTAGGGTGGGGCTGGTGGCTGGGCAGGGCAGGGTAGGGCTGGTGGCAGGGCAGGGTAGGGCTGGTGGCTGGGCAGGGCAGGGTAGGGCTGGTGGCTGGGCAGGGCAGGGCAGGGTAGGGCTGGTGGCAGGGCAGGGCAGGGTAGGGCTGGTGGCAGGGTAGGGCTGGTGGCTGGGCAGGGCAGGGTAGGGCTGGTGGCAGGGCAGGGCAGGGCAGGGTAGTAATCACTCAGCCACGGTCACTCTTGGCACAGGCTGCAGAGATACCAAGATCTGATTGCCCGCCCACTTGGTCAGCAATAATTACGCCTCTTCGAGAATTTCTTTTATTTTCTATCAGATTAACGTTAAAAATTAATCACTCTCGCTGAAAGGAAAACCTGAACCACACAGCGTTATTAAATCACTAATTAACCCCCCCCCCACCTTTCTTAATATCGAATGCAATCATAGTCCTTGCATTTGACTTATCGCGTCTTTGAGACGTCTCAAAGCGCTTCACAGAACATACTGTAAAGTGGATTGGCTGTATAGTTTGTGGGTGAATCCCCCGTGATTGTTTTTAATGTGTAACACTACAGGCGGAGGAGGTGGGGGGTGGGAGTTGGATGGGGGGGAATTGGACTCCTCTCTCTCTCTCTTTTGTTTTCTCTCTGACCCTCTCCTCCAACCCCCGCCCCGCGCCCCCCACCACCAATCGATAGCAGAAAGCGAACAAGAATGGCATTAAACGAGATGGCTTTTTGCCTTCTCTCTAAAAATAAAATGCGGCGAATTGCTAACTGAGCTGATATTTCGCTGTGAGATTATTTTTTGCAGCGAGAGAAGGTTCCAGATAAAAACCGTAACTAATCTCAAATACTGTCCTGCTTTTGCTACGGCACAAAACCATTTGCTGGTTCCCCAACCAAATGGAACAGCTTCCAATGTTCCCCTCCCTTCCTCTCCCCTTTCCTCCTCCTCCTCCTCCTCCTCCTCCTCCTGGGAAAAGAAGTGGAAGAGACACACACACAGAATGAAGAGAGAGAGAGACATACAGAGAGAGGCACAGACAGAGAGACACAGCTGAGAGAGACACACAGACACAGATAGACAGAGACACAGCCAGTATGTTATTCCTAATCCTGTGTTTAGCCTCCCCGTACTGACAGGTTGCACATGTCTCTTAAGTAGATTAGAGTGAAGCGCTGACTGGGCGATAAGTGTTTATTAATACACAAACCCAATGAATGTGCGCACCACACACACACACACACACACATGCGCACACACATGCGCACACACAGAGCGAGAGAGCACTGACCTGACCCGCGCAAAGAGGTGGATTTGAACAACTAATTTTATCGGGGGGGCGGATTGTCGGTCAGGACACTGGGAGAGAGAAACTCCTTTCCCTTTTCCAACGGCGCCACAGGATCTTAACGTCTGCCTGAGCAGGGCGCAGACAGTGGGGGGAGCTCGGTTTAACGTCTCATTCAAAGGGCGGTGCCTCCGACATCGCAATGCACCCCCTACCCTCGTCCCCTCTCTCTCTCTCTCTCCCTCCCGCATCCCCCACAGTACTGCACTGGAGCGCCAGTCAGCCCATGACTGCTGAGTCCCTGACGTGACGGGACTTGAACCCACAGCCTCCAGAGCCTGAGACACAGGAATGAAGTCTGAGTTTTACGCACAGCACAAAACACTTTAGAAAATCTTGCAATAAATATGCTAATATCAGATCCTTTGTGAGCCAAGAGAGGTAATTACTGATCCCCGGGCACCAACTGAGCTGAGTGGAGCGTGGCTTACACTGAACGAGGAGAGAAACCTTGTTAATCAAAGCTGTGTTGTTACACAGTGATGTCTGCACCTCTGGTAGTGACTGACAGAGCTCTAAGTGAAATAATGAACGGGAATTTGAGTGGACAAT